ATTGAAACTTAATTAATTTCAAGCCACAATATCAATGGCCATTTCAGGAACCGATTTACCGGAGGTGTCTATCATACATTTTTGGCCTATTTTCCAGGCCTAAATTTCAGGGAATATTCCCACATATGGCCTGAAAGATGGTACTAACGTAGCGTACCTATTTTTGGATCCGGACATTTCCATTGACTATAGGATACGTATAGGTATATCATAGATATATCTACCACAAATCCCATCTAACTTTTCACCAGTGACTTTTCGCTTATCGATTGGTACGATGTGGTCTCTAACCTCTTCCGGTGCGCCCACCTATGAGATGGACCATTCACTGAAGAAGTTTCAGAAAAACCCAGGGTAAACATTGCCCAAACGATGTGGTTAAACCCACTATTAAACTATTAGTATAGGATTTTCCGAACGGAAAACCATTGGGCTTTTCCACATCTATCTTAGTTTACCCTAGGGTAATCCTTAAAATGTCCATTGCTTCTTCACATTGGGCATAGTTGACAGCACGCAACCAGAGTGCCTCACCCGCAAATCCGCAGTGACTTCGCTGCATAATCTGCAGCCTTTCCAAGATTGGAAAATCCGAAGAAACAGAATCCCTAATTTTAATTATTTTAAAATGTTATGTTAATATGTGAATGGGATGAGTTTAACATAACATAATTAATATTAACTTTTCTGTTCATAACATTATGTTAACATGTTTCTTTTCATCCCATTAACTTTATGAGAAAAATAATTCATTTAATCCATTTGTTCCATTAATCTGATATTTTACGTGTTTGCTGTTTCCATCTCGCAGAATTGATCACCAAGGCTGGAAAGTAGGAAACTCAAGTCCCTGCACGGCCCATGAGTTTGTTAGGTGGAGGGTAACCATCCCAAATCTTTGAGTAGGGTACCCTCTGGTAAACTAACATAACTATGGAAAATCACCATTTTTCATGGGACAATCCACTATAAATGGTGATTTTCCATAGTTATGTTAGTTTACCAGAGGGTGCCCCATTCCATCTGGTGAATCATCCTTTTCCCCACTGCAAAAAAAAATGGGCCCATCCGATGACCCTTTTCCGCAGAGCCACTTTATTGTCACTATGGTACTTGGAAGATCATTCCGGTGAACAACTATGATCTTGTGAATCTGAAGTTAGCTACCCTCTGGTAAACATACATATTTAGCTTTAAACATCACCATGGGTTTTATCATGTTTTATATGTAAAATCAATAAAAAATGGCCATGGCTTCCATGGTTTCCATAGTTATGGCGCCATGTTTTACTGGATTTTTCAGATCTGAGGCACCGGACTCTGATGGCCACCGGCTGGTGGTTGGGAAAAGGCTGGTGATTGGGTGACCAGTCCCAAAGAGCCATCAATCAATGGCCATTTCAGGAACCGATTTATTGGAGGTACCTACCATATATTTTTGGCCGATTTTCCAGGCCTAAATTTCAGGGAATATATATGGAACATTTTTTGTGGGGAACACCTTCTACGAGTACATGGAAGTCTCACCCTATCACCAGTGGAAGCTTCAGTCTCGAACCAACGCGAACCAACTGCCGCGTGCAGCTGGTTCGGGCGGGACATTGCCTGAGTCACAAGCATATGGTTTTGTCCGAATTACCCTCTGGTAAATTAACTTGTTGACCCTGAAAATAGCAAAAATTTTCCATGAAAACTAGTCTTCCAACCCCAACAACTGCCAGGGTTGCAACAACTGGGGGATGATTTCTCCCCGGTCTTGGACCGAAATTTCGAGAGGAAAGTGATGCTTACCCCCTGGTAAACGTTTACATAACTATGGGAAGATCCACCATTTTCAATGGGAAAATCCACCATAAATGGTCATTTTCAATAGCAAACCGTTAAATTACCAGAGGGTATGTGATAAATATGGGATAAACTATTGGATGATACATCCCATAGGATCCATGGTGCTGGTATATATGCTAACATGAAGGGGGTATATTGATGGGATCCATGTTACCATATATAGCATACACGGATCCTATGGGCATGATGATACATTTTTTTTATTTCTGCCATTACATGCGGGAATTTTCAGACAGGCCCATATCTTGTGTGATTTACAGGCCAAATAAGAGCTGGTGGCGATGCCCAGGGTGCCATCTTGATAGAAATTGGGATTGAAACTTGAAAAGGAGGGAATCAAATTATCCCGGCAAGAGACCCCAAACAGTGTGGGGGTGTGGGAGGATAATGTATAATGTTGGTGATGATGACTATTATTATTATTATTATATATATATATAAACATCATAAAAACCATCATAAATCAGTTTCAAATGAAGGTGTTAAATGGTCATCCCCCATTAAAATGGAGGCTTTACCCCCGTTGGATAGCTAAGAAAGAATGGGTTTATACAATGGGTTTATAACATGTAAAGGTGATGGAGGTGATAAACCATCGCGACATCCTCCATGAGCTCAGTTTTTAAGCTTAGAGCTGCAGCTTATTGGTGGTTTGGAACATCTTTATTTTTCCATAAGATGTCATGGTTGAAACATCTGGATGGTTGAGGTAGATGCTGGATCCATGTTGGTGAATATATCACTGGTTGGTGGTTTGGAACCATGGAATTTTATGACTTTCCATGTATTGGGAATGTCATCATCCCAACTAACGAAGTCATATTTTTCAGAGGGGTGGCTATACCACAGACCAGATAGAACTACAGTAACTCAGTAACTATATAACCAACTACAATAACAGTGGTTTATAACTACATATAACTACAATAACTATAAAGCAACTTAGCTATCGGAACTTAGTCGGACCCTCACCTTGTATGGATGACTCTTTCTATGTCCATTTCTCGCATGATTCAGAATCTGACATGATGCGTGGCTTAAAGTTTAATTCTTCCTTTGTGCACCCATGACATGATTTGTTTTTAGTAATCATAGTTTTTATGTAATCTTCAGTAGAGATTTTGTTGACATCCACTTGACAAGTTTTCTGGTCGGTGGTTTGGAATCCTTGGAACATGTTTTTTTTTTTTCCATATGTTGGGAATCTCATCATCCCAACTGACGAAGTCATATTTTTCAGAGGGGTTGTTTCACCACCAACCAGTTTTGGTTGAAACTATTGGTTAAAATACCACTATTAACCACTGTTATAACCACCAACCAGTACATCACCACCAAACTGTAAGATGCCACTGTTTCGTCATCTTGGTCATCGCTAGCGGCGCCACGTAGTCAGAGTGACTGCAGCGCAGCGAGATCATGGCCCGTCATCCAAAGAGGAACGTAGTCTTCCAACCCCCATCAACGGCAGGGTCTATATTACTTGAAGGGATGGCAATCCTTATATATATATATATACGTATATATATATATATGTATATACAAATTAAATAAACGTGTATATATTTATATATATATATGTATATGTATCCTGTTAAAACCCATGAGTAACCATGTAACCATGAGTATTCCATGAGTATCCCACGAGATCCATGTTGTTTCCCTCCTGACCTTGTTTTGGGGCCAACCTCATCCTGGGGATAAACTTTTGAGCAACCGACCGTTGCCGCCTCTGGTGATTTCTTACAGCAAACTGGAAGACATGCCCTTTCAGTTCAAGGATGTTCGATGAAACACATGATGATTTACATTAATTTACTGATTTAGATGATTTACATTGCTATACTGATTTAGATGATTTACATTGATTTACTGATTTAGATGATTTACATTGATTTACTGATTTGATGATTTACATTGATTTACTGATTAATCTGATTTACCGTTTTCAATACATTATATTTTTTAGTTCGCAGGGCCATGCATGGAATGCATGGCATACAACGGTCCCTCTTTAGGAAGCTGCGTTTTCCAACGCAACTTCCAGCCCTAAATCCACAGGTTTATCACCATCTTCCCTATCAAACTAATTAAAGATTGCAAATTTGGGCTAGTAGGGAATGGATGATTATTACTAGTGATTATTGGTGTTTAGTAGGTGTTTAATAGGTGTTTATTAGCCAAAATAAGAAAACATCAATAAATTCCCTCATTTTCTTATTGGTGCTAAACGTAGGGAATGGATGGGTTGCTGGGGGTTGCTGGGATGATTCTTACTAGTGATTATGGATCATTCCCGAAAATTCCCTGCGTTTAGCACCAGTAAGTTTTCAGACATACATACCCACATGTGTGTATCGTTTTCTCTTGCTATTTTCGGTCGGACTATGACAACTAATGTCTCTGATGTGTGGGATGAAGGATCACCCACTGCTGAATCTCGGTTCATCAGGACATGATCCAACTGTTTTTTTTTTGGAAGTGAAAAACATGGGATATCTTGCATTTTCAAAGAACACCTGTGACAGATACTAATATAATAGTAATGTATATATATATATACATATAATTATCAATAATTTGATATAATGTAATAATGTACTATAGTACTATAGTATTGTAGGAATATATTTATATGTAGGAATATAGCAATTACTAGTAATATAATAATACAGTAATATAGTAATATAGCAATTATAGTGATTAACTATAGTGTACAATACCAGAACACCATAGTCTAGTAATTCGGAGGACCTGAACATTGTGACCCATGGCCCCTGCGGCATGCTGCGGCAATTTTTGGCCCTCAGCCATTGTGCCTGTTAAACGATGGGGGATCCCAAGGTCAATTGGGTACCTCCAGAAACATGGATGCTCAATAGAAAAATATGCAGCATATTAAACCATACTGAAACATACCATATGTGCAGATGTGTATATCTATAGATTACTGCTGTAATTTATATATCATATAGAAATATTGTAATACACTGTATACTGTGTGTATATATATAGAGTTATATAATAACATCTAAAATCACATCAGTTATCTCCAAGGCCTTACCATTTGACCCATAGCCCACCACCTGAGATAGTCCCTTTGCACAGCTGCCCACACCCTGGTCTCGCCATGTGTGGCGTTGCCGCCCGCCATGTCTCACGCAGCTTGGGTTTGTCCTTAAACATGGCTGGCTGCTGGAGAATCCCCGAACTAGATGCAGGTTTATAGCTGGGAAATTCATCTATCTCTAAGTAAATGTACATATTATGTATATATTTATTTATATATATATAACCATTTATATACGTATATATATATATACACGTGTATACACATATATGCATACATATATATGTATATATATATATATATATGAGTGGGACATTTTCCATAGCTATGTGAAACTACCCGAGAGTACTGTGTACTTCAATATGATCATTTTAACCATGATAGTCCATACGTTTTTCTTTTTGGAAGATTATTTTCACAGTCACTGTAGAGTCTTGAGGTGGAGCTAAGCTGTCGAATGCTATAGTTGGATTGTACCCAGAGAAAAGTGAACATCAACACCACGCAGAAATGCACACATCACGTCACTCATGGCCACAAATTAATTGGTGGTTTCAAATTACCTGCCCAGCCTGCTAAAACAACGCAGGTAGTAGCAGTGTAAGGGGAGAAATCACACAGCGGCTTCAAGTTGTTTCAAAGATTCGAGACATGTTGAAACAGTTGAGAAGCTTCTAAAACCCTCAGTTGGTTTGGATGATTATATAATATATAGGGACCTCTACTAGCCAATACACTCCCCTTCCCCAATATTGAATACCCCCAATTCACGGCGCCCCCAAAAATGGCGCCAGGGAATCATCAGAATCCATTCTGGGAATCCTGATTCACCAGCCGGCCTTCAGTTATGATCAGTTGCCATCCCTGGGTCAAACATATAACTGGGTTTCTCTTTTCGCGTTTTGGGAAGCAAAAAAAATCTGGTGGTTGATCATCAGACGTTCTACTTAAATGCAAGTGTGTGCAAATCATTCATCTTCAGACACTTCCAAGTATCATACTGTATAGTTGGTAAAATATCTCATGACATATCCTCATAAAATGGTTAGCTTTGTACCACCAGTTTGTTTGTAAAACCAAACAACGTAATCATTGGTTGAGTATCTATGTTTGATAGTTAAACCATTTGACTCTGACGTTTTCAAGGTAGAAACACCAACTTTCCGCCTTTTTTTCATGTGAAGTCATCGTAAATACTTGGTACCCACTACTTGTTTACGACCCTAAATATTAAATACCAAACAAAAATCCCAAACATGATTGATCATGATTGTCCTAGCCTGGATGGATTGGGGCTTGATGGGTTTTCCATTTGCCTATACTACTAAACAAATACTTTTCGCAGGTCATCAAGAAACGTCTATTTATTGGCTTCCAACCCTCCAAGATGGCCCAATCCTGGTGGTGTATGGTGTGAATATCACCATGTCACTGCGGGTTTCAATGTTTTTTTTGGTGAAATGCCATCCATGTGCTTATTGCTTAGTGGTTTCAATGTGTTTGTTCATTCATATGACTGGCATGATGATCCCCAATGACGATCATATTTTTCAGATGGGTTGAAACCATCAATCAGATCACGCTCATCATGATTAATGCATCTCTTCATTATATTCCCATTAATATCCTTCATGAAATACCACCATTGTGTTGCTCAAATCCCAGTTTTTTGATGATTGAATCAGCATCCAAAAGGTTGCCAAAAATATCCGTTTCCTCCCAGTAAAATCATCATTTTTGGTGATGAAATCCAAATCTGCTTGGTGGTTTGGAACATGAATTTTATGACTTTCCATATATTGTGAATGTCATCATCCCAACTGAGGAAGTAATATTTTTCAGAGGGGTAGGTCAACCACCAACCAACCAGTCATTTTGGTGATGAAATCCTGTTTGATCCTTTTTTCTCACCATTTCTTCGTGAAAACCCGGTGATTTTCTTCCGATTTTTCTGGTTGCACTGAGGCGGATGAATCACTGGGGCTGGATGTCATTGAGGTTCCAACCGAGGCGCGCAGCGATGTCCGATGTAAAAAGCTGGGAAAATCGACGCAAAAATCATCGGTTACCCTCTGGTAAACTAACATAACTATGGAAAATCACCAGTTTTAATGGGACAATCCACTATTAATGGCCATTTTCAGTAGCTATGTTAGTTTACCAGAGGGTAAAATTTTCCAAGACCGGTTCTGATTGGTGGTTTGGAACGTTTTGGAACCCTGGAATTTTATGACTTTCCATATCTTGGGAATAAGGTGAACAACTGAACAACTGACTTTCATATTTTTCGGTTGAAACCACCAACCAGGACATGTTTGATATTACAGAATGATTTTTGATTATTTTTCTATATTTGATAGGATGTTTCTCTTGATATTCTGTAACATTCTGTATAAAATGGGAATACATTGTTTCTCTTATGAATATAATGCATGGGAACATAATCGGAATGCACTGACATCCTGACATGCACTAAAATGGGAAAATCATCGAATTAAATGGGCAAACAAATGGAATGACACTGACTATGTTCCGGGGATATCATGGAACATCCATGAATTTCCCATGGAAATGGTGTTTTTTTTGTAATTACCCTCTGGTTATTTAACATAGCCATGGAAAATTGCCCATTATAGATGGTTTACCTATTAAAAATGGTGATTTTCCATAGCTATGTTAAATAACCAGATGGTATCTAATTTTAAATGGCGGATGTTCGAGCCACGTTTGATTGCGATCTCGGGTCATTCACCGCAGTTTCTACACAATCACGGTTGATGTCTTCCGAAAAACGCTGGAATCCTGGGATTCTGCTAATAAAGCACTAATTACACAGGTTCCTGTTTCCATTTCGCTCAATCATGACCTTGAAGAGACGTTGTAAGGAACGAACGGACGACGATGGCAGAAAACACTCGTGCTGGCAGACTCAACCACCTGTCAGCTTCCTTTTGTCGAATGGGAATAGCATTCTGCATTTTGCCTCGAATGTAGCCATAAATGGTTGGGCTGCATGCTTTCCATGTGGGCCGGCCACGGCCAGGGGAATGGATGGTTGAATCTTGTTTAAGTCTAAGTCCCCTTATTATAATTTCTATAATTGCTATGGTGGTGATATCATGCCAGAGTGGCGGTTTCCGAAACAGAACTTTTTTTGATCCACTCCAAAATGTCCCAAAATCATGTGAAATTCATCCAACAACAGCCCAAACTCACATTCAGATATCATGAGTCATGAGTTGTCTATATAAATATTCCCACCCCTAAATCAATGATCAGCCGAACATATCATGAGCCGACATCCCGGTTTCCGTAAGTCTAGGAGCGTGGAGAGTGAGCACCAACAGCCAGTTTTGCTTGGAACCAATAGCACCCACAGCGGATATCATCACTCGCAGTTTTTGTGGAACTGCGTTTTTTGCTTCTGTTTATATACAACAACTTTGGAGAGTGCTCAAGCTTACAACATTTGAAGGAGTGTTCAAACACTCCATGGACAAAGATCACCCCTGATGAAGCTTGATATCTGGTAGGTTTTCTGCAAAGGGTGCAGGGCATTGCATTGGAACTACTCGTACAGTTTTTCGGGGTGCCAATCGACTGTGACAACCTTAGTTTCGTAGGTCAAGTATGGATAGTTTTTGTGTGTGTGCCATCGTGTTTGGAGATAGACCAAGGACATGTCGTTTCGTGGTATCTGGCCTGAGGGGGCCATCCGCAGAAAGCAAGTCTCACACTATTGCATACATTCCATACAATAGACTACAAAGGTACAACCAATATACCCTACCATACCCGGAAACTTCAAATGCCTGGAATACTCATCTACGATCATCTACGATCTTGCTCGCAGATACGCGTGGCATCAACATTGCTCCCGCGCATTGGTACGCCTTCGTTATCAAGTCATGTCTTTCAGTGGAAACAGTGCGATGGCCCAGTCCTTTCCTTCCGGTGACGCTTTTTTTTTAATAGCTGTGGATTCAGCCAATTCATGGGATGATTTGAGATATTCAAGGACAAATACCCTCTGGTTATTTAACATAGCCATGGGACATGGCCCATTTGTAGATGGTTTACCTATTAATAATGGTGATTTTCCATGGCTATGTTAAATAACCAGATGGTAATGACAAATGATTTGTGTGTTTGGCATCAACTATGGGTTGCCTTTAAAATGCCACTGAAACCAACAACCAATGCCATGATTGCTCAATTTTCAAGCCTGGAGTGGTATGCCATTCCGTTGACGGCGACCAATTTTGATCCACAGGTTTGGTCTAGAACTCTTATGATATTCCAGTTCGAACGTGGATCTTCTCCTAGAGATTGATGAGATTGTTGTTTTCCCATGATCTGACTGCTATATTGTCCTGCACCCTTGGTAATTTTTGGTTAACACCGAAAATCATGGTGATTGTGACATATTTTAACGGGACATTCCCCATCTACCAACTGGTGTTTTTTATACCTGGAGGTTTCCTGAAATGGTACAATGAGGTACCCCCAAATGGGCGCACGAACGATGCTTGCCATGGTAAGTCTCCCCATGGATGTTCCAATTTATCTATCCTGGGGTCAGTATAAATGTATCCAATTGGGAATTGCAAATATCTGGGTAAATTAAAATAACGACCTCGCTGTTCTCCCGAACCCTGGAATCATGGTTAATAGGAGGAATCATCCCAAAATGGCCCAACATTTCAGGTTAGTTAAGTATTATATATATAATTTACCCAGAAATATGGTTTAACGGTATCATATGGAGGTTCTGATTCGTCATTGAATTAACCTCCTTGGTAGCCTTCTTAAAATCTCATATTTTTGAAGACCATACATTTGATATCATTTGATCAAAATGTGCATCTTAAACAGATCACTCATATCATGTATGATATATATATATATTATATACCTGGTTGGTGGTTTGGAACATTTTTTATGTTTCCATATATTGGGAATAATAGCCCCAACTGACGCATATTTTTCTGAGGGGTTGAAACCACCAACCAGATACAGAGATACTACAACTCCTCCAATAACCTATGCAATTTTACAGCTTTTACTCCGCAAAAATTAGCCTTTACACCAACGAAGGTATTTTGGACATTGCCCAGTTATAGAAAAGATTCACATTTTTTCATTTAACGAACGTGTAGATACGCCCAGATACTTCCAGGTCCATGGTCCATGGATTTTCCACATAGGTCATGACCGTTCAGATTGCCATAAATTTTGGTGCCCATCGCACAGTTTTCAGACACACCCAAATATCAATTTGTTTATTGGTATATATATATATATTGGTTTGTGGCTTGAAACATTTATTATTTTTCCATCTGGTTGGGAATAATCATCCCAACTGACTTTCATATTTTTCAGATGGGTAGGTCAACCACCAACCAGTATATATCGCTTTATGTTCTCCTAAAATGGTTGGTGTATGTCGGTGTTGTACCCAGTTCTTCTTATTGAAATCCAAACCAATGATATGTCCAAATATTTGCTGGTTACATATCCCACCATATTAATCTGTATGTGTATATATATATATTATATATATATAATATATATATATATAATATATATATATAATATATATATATATATGTATCTCAGATTGTATCCCCCTATTATGGTTTATTTTATCCCCACTGTTTCAAAGTGGTACATCACCCGTAGCCCTAATCTTTCGTATAAATCATACCTAATTTTTGGTGGTTATATCAGGTTTTTTGTCCCTATTGTTTTCAGTGAAATCCCATGAAATCCCACAAAGGTCGCAATCTCAGGGCCTCGTGGGCATTTCGAGCCTGGCAGGAGGCAGGAACCGTTAGCGATCCGTTGGTTGAAGTGAACGAATTCGATGGTTTATGGTAGGTATATACTGTATCTATAAAATTCTATAAACTATATATAGTTAATGATATATCTATAAACTATAGCTAATGATATAACCATGATATAACTATGGTATAACTATGATATAACTATGATATAACTATGATATAACTATGATATAACTATGATATAACTATGATAGGTATATATCTATGATATAAATATGATATAAATATAGCCAATGAATGTTAATGAGGTTTATAAAGCAACAAACATAAGTAGGGATATTAGCTGTATGGTTAACTATGGTTATAATTCCTAAGATACTTGTATGGTAGATTCTATGGTCTAGGTATAGCGAACTAGTTAATAAAAGGGGGTGTATAAACATATAAGCCAACACACATAGCGTTTGAGGACCCCACAGTGTATGGGTGTGTCTGAAACTGGAAGATACCCTCTGGTAATTTAACATAGCTATTGAAAATGGCCATTTATAGTGAGTTTTCCCATTAAAAACGGATAGTTATATAAACGTTTACCAGAGGGTACCTCCCAAATGGCAAATTTCATGGGAAGATGCTGACTCATCGATTTAATGACTGATCATCTCATTTTGGGCATAAAGTGAGGCCGCAGGTCGTTGGCGAAGTTGTCGCAACTAGGTGAACGTTTGGGGGATAGCATGCAATAAGATGGGGTTATAGAATGTTCAATGGCCATTTCAGGAACCGATTTATTGGAGGTAGCTACCATATATAAGGCCTATATCAGGCCTATGTAAGGGGATATACCCACAATTCATATGGCCTTAGGTACAAATACCTCCATTTTAGGATCCTGGAGATCTCCCATTGAAATGTTTACTGACCCACTTACAACGTTTGGGGGGCTTCTTCCTGGGTAGTGGCGAACAGGCAGCTCCGGCAGCTCCGGCTTCCCGTCGCCCAGTCCCAGTCGGCAAGGCCTGGTTTGAACAGATCTTTGGGTTTGATCAGAGAGTACCCTTTGGTAAAGTAACATGTTGACCCTGAAAATAGCCTAGTTTTAATGGAAACTAATCTTCCAACCCCGATGACTGCCAGGGTCGAACTGTTAATTTGCCAGAGGGTAAGTGGATTATAAGTCGTAACCCACAAAAAATTGTCAGCTTTCAACATAATTATGAACATGCCTCGTTTGTATAAAATGTTCAACATTTTGATTAGACAATACATTGGTTTATAAAAATGCTCCCCTGGTCATAAGTTTATAAAACCCCTGATAGTTATACTTACGTACAATAAACCATAGTTAGTTCACCTATTTAGAAACCGACTTCGCTAACGTTTGGGGGGCCTACCGTGTATAGGGATCCCCAGTCGTCACCATGGTTGTTTCAAATACTAGAATGGTCGTCCATGACTTGGATGATTTTGGGGTAGTAACTAATCCCTGGTGGTGACTGGAACCATGGAATTTTGAATGACTTTTCATTCAGTTGGGAATGGAAAATCATCCCAACTGACGAAGTCCATTATTTTTCAGAGGGGTTGTTTCACCACCAACCAGATAGTCAATGAATGTTAATGAGGTTTATAAAGCAACAAAGATAAGTAGGGATCTTAACTGTATGGTTAACTATGGTTAACTATGGTTAACTGTTGGATGGAAGTACTTACTAATCCCATTCCCCTAATTTCAAACACCCCAAACTCTCCGGCAAAGGTGGTGCAGGCTGGAACAACCACTTAGTTCGATGATTTTCGCAGCTTTAAACCTCTATTAGTTCGGGGATTTCTCATTGCTGCGTTTGATGCAGGGTAACTCGTACCAAACATCTGTAAATCCCCTACTAAACGACAGTTTTGGGGAGGTCTTTAATATTGATTGGCCATGAATTGGTTCACTGCAATTGGGGTCTTGTGGTTCGCAGGGAGACTATCTCAAGAATGGCGAACTTTCCAAATTCTCTGTCCCAAAAAAATTAGATCACTAAAGAACCCTGGGCTATTCCTAACAGGGCTACTCCTAAAAGTTGCTACTCAAAAATCAAAAAAAACTCAAACAGTCAAAAAGAAAATGCAACAAATCAGAGATTCAAGAAAAAACAAAAAACAAAAACAATTCCAACAAAAAAAACAAACATAAATAATAAACATGAACCAGAAAAAGAACGACAAATTCCAACAAAATACCAAACACAATGAAAATACACAAAAACAACACATAAATCAAAAAACATTGTAAAAACAAACATATTAAAAGAAAACAATCAAACGTACTCAAACAATTCAAACACAAAAATATTATTGAAGGAAACACAGCAAACAAACAAACATTGAAAACAAAGCAAAAAAACAACAAAACCATAACAAATCAACAATAAACAAAAAACATCAAAAACAAATCCAAAAAAACACACAATTTTGAAAACCATTTTAAAATTCTAATGTTTTTTTTCAGTCCTTCTTTAAAATAACCTTAAAACATATGAATGAACAAGGCTTATTTGGAATTAAGGTGAATGAAAAGGAATGTTCTAGGAGTGTCCCTAAAAGGAATTACCCTCTCGATAAGATTAGATCCCAATACAGTAGTTCCCAAACAAATCATAGGCACGGTGGCATGGTGTGTGCTTCGACTGACAGAATTTGTGTTTTGAATTTCAGCAGGACCAATACCAACTGGTTGGTGGTTTGGAACATTTGGATTATTTTTCCATACTACATGGGATGTCATCCTTCCCATTGACTTTCATATTTTTCAAGATGGTTAAAAACCACCAACCAGCATATCATTTGTTCATATATATATAATATCCAGTAATGGTAGTATACTACCAGCCAACAACTATTTGCTTGTCCCTTATGTTTGCCATTGCTGTCCGGCTGAAGGGTCCTCATCCGGCATCACATTCCCATGACGGATCCATGGTGCTGGTATATTAATGCTAACATGACTGGGGTATATTGATGGGATCCATGGTACACCATATATAGCAGCACCGTTAGGATCCTGTGGGATTTTATTCCCACTTGGTGTTGTTGGTTTTATACCCCAATATTTGGAGTTTGTTCATGCCCGGACTGGCGAGGATACTACACTTAGTACACTGTAGCCTTATAATAAGCCAGTTATGTACGGGATTTTCCTACAATCTGTGGCAACCAAACATGGCTTGCCCATGTGCACAATAATAAATGTTTATGGCATTTTATGGCGTCATTTTACCCCCGTGTGGGTGCATGTGCTGTAGCTGCTATGAGAGCACAGGATTGTCTAGTTTCAAGTTGCCATGGATTCCATAGATGCTAGTCAAGTTGCTACACTTTCCAACCGCCAAATCCTTGCACTCCTCCTGGCCATTGTCTGTGACATAGCCTGGCGTCTATTTGAGCCTGTGGTGAACCTCAGTCATCCGCTTGGGATGAGGAAACCGGCGGATCTCTGGACGAAACACACGTGCGAACTGCCATAATGGTTGTGCTGTTCCAAGTTGCCATAGTTGGTGTGAAGTCAGTGGTCAACATACACGACACCGGTGCAGTTTCCATATATGCCATAGCTGGTTTTGACCTCGTGGCTGAGTGCAATGGTTTTCACAAATGTTGGATGTTTGACACTCCTGCAAGCAACAGGTTTTTTGGTGTGGCCAACGGGTGTGCTTCCTTTTTCGAATTTTGCAATTCCCTTGTCATCAAGTTCCTTAGGTCTACCTGCTTTGCAATTATAGATGTTTCTCCCAGCCATAAACCTTCATTTATAGAGGATTGACACTGGAGGGTAGTCACCAATGTATGTCATTAAATATCCCACTACTAACCCATCATGAATCCATAGAAATGGCCAATTATTGATCCATAAATGGACATTTAATTGATATCCAATAGACATTTAATTGATCGTAATGGATATTTAACTGATATTTATATAATTAAATAGTTATATCAGTTATGAATCTTGACAAATCTAATCCTCATCATTATTGGATATTTATATAATTCATCATGATATGATCCCATTCTTCACTCATGATGAGCCCAACTTTTTCGGAGCGTCTCATGGGATCACCTCAGACTCTCTTGCCGCAACCAGGTCTGCGAAGTCTGGCTCCAGATCTGCGCGCCTCATGTCCTGCGGGCTTCGGCTTCTTCGGCTTCAGGACGGCGGGGTGATGGGGTGATGGGGATGTCAGTTAAGGAGGTTTCTCATGGTTTTTTTAAACGTGTTTTTAAGCATTTTTTTTTTTTTTTAAGGATATATATAAGGGGATTAACCATAAAACATGGGTTTTAGTAACTAAGTATGGTTTTAAATGAGGATATGCTATGATATAAAGTGGGGAACACATATGGTTGATTGGTTTTAATGGGGATGTCTAATGAACATGATGGTTTTAATGGGGATACACCCGTTTTGAATCGAATGAAAATATGGGTTGTGATGGGGATATGAGTGGATATATACCGGTTGGAGTTCGGGACATATAGTAAATCTACCTAATATATGGGAGAGTACGATAATCCATGAACTGGGAATCGCTATTGACCAAGTTGAGAGAATTTCAGTATTGGGTTTATTTTGGGCTTCACTGTAGTAACGTGTCCTGGATGGTTTGCTTTGGCAGAGCGGTTTACTATGGCTACAGCTCACTTCCCACTGGGACCACGTACTGTACGAATGGGATATATACTGATATATGCAAGTAATAGGATAATCCATTCCCATGATATATATATATATATTATAAACTTTTTTGTGGTAGATATATGCATATATATATATTATATAATATATAATACATTGTACATGTACATGCATCTTACAGTGGGGAATTCACGTGCAGGATATGACCAACTTGGGCCCTTGGGACCTCCAAGCACGTCAATTTCAGAAGATGATCCTCCAAGCACCGATCCCTAGATTTTCTGTACGGAAAGCTTTTCGAAATTACCCTCTGGTTATTTAACACAGCTATGGAACATGACCCATTTATAGATGATGTACCTATATTTACCTATTAAAAGTGATTATTTTTTCCATGGCTATGTTAAATAACCAGATGGTACCTTGTTTTAATCACCCCAGGTCGCGCTTTTGAGCCGCCAAGATTTTTTGCAAAGCCATGCAGCAACGATCAGGTATCTCGAAGCCAGGAAAATCGACATTTGCTTTCAACAAAAGTAGCAACAGTGAATATTCCGCGAAAAGTAATCAGTTAGATCATGTTCCAGTTCACAGTTCTCGTTTTGCCGCCAAGTTCCAAAGTATTCCAAAGTCGAATGCTCCATGGTGCTGGGATATTTACTTATATTTACCCCGAAAATGGCCCAGTTTTGTACATCTTCCAGCACCAGGCGAGGTCGAGGTTTCCCTTCAGTCATCGGGGTATGACTCCGTGATTTGGACCATTCAACTATGGGATTCTAACCTCTATAACTTGGGATATCTAACCTCTGGTAAACATACAAAAAGCTATTGACAATTGCCATAGAAATAGTTGATTTACTCATGAAAAAATATGGATATTTCCATAGTTATTTGTATGTTTACCCGCAAAAAATCGTGGACGGCCACAGGAAACCTCACTTGGAACTCGACAGGCGCCTGAGAGTTCTCTTTGGGTTAGGGATACAGCTGATGTCATTGGGAAGATCATTGGGAAAACCGGAAAATGGATAGATCGTTTAGTATAGCGAAGGGCGCTATTTTCTGATATTTTTAGCTATTTTCAAGGGGATAGATCGTTTTCTGATATTTCATATATAGGGAAAGGATGCGAAAGGCATTGTTTTGGATTTTGGAATATCGAATGGACTTTAGCAATAACTGGAAAAAACAAACGGCATTGTTTTCAAAGATTTTAATATATATACTGTATATATATATATACTGTATATATATATACTGTATATATATACGTATATATATATACGTATATATATATATATGTATATATATACATATATATATACATACGTATATATATACATATGTATTTGAGCTATTTTCAAGGGGATATTCAGTGACCAAACTGCGGTTGAAGACATAACCTTTGGATCCTTTGGATATCTAAGTAATTGGTCATGCTGCGATGTATGTTTTTGTTATCTCGACAAACCGGTCACTGTTGGTCGTGCTGGTCACCTTTGTAAAGGTTTCGAAGGGGTGCGCATGTCCATCTTTTGTATGTTGGAATGATCAAATTCCACCAGAAAACGGGTGCAGTGACCTAGTTTTTTTGGGTTTCAAGACATTGAGTATCCCAAATGCTCCATGTATTGAGTGTGTTCTCCGACATTTACCCCAAAGAATCGCGCAAATCTAGGTAATTGCATGGAGCTGTCCTTGCCTTATCCAATTTGATTCAAGTGAATTCAAGACATTACAGCATTAATCCATATAAATCCATATAAATCCAAAAAAACACATTGAAAAAAAACACATGAGCCACAGAGGATTTTGAACACTGCACAGTTGAAAGTTCCTTGGACAGGCCGATGACCTGTGCACCAGCTGCCGAGCGCAAGTCGGCGATACAGGTGCCACACTTTGGTGTTTTTTAGCACCTGAAGATGGTACGATTTTTTCACATGACGAACATGGTATGGAATACTTACCAACAATAGTGTATATAAATAGATAGTGGGAGTTTCCCAAAATACTGCAAATAAATATTTACATCCATGAATACACTATGGGAAGTTTACATGAACCATTGACTTTGTTGCTCCATGGTGCTGGAATATTTACCAAGATTTGCCCTAAAATCACCCAGTTTTGTAGGTTTTTATATACCAGCACCATGGAGCATATGGGACATTTACATACATTTACAATCATTTACATCAGTTACGGTATTTCGGGGAACACAAATTGATTTTACCATCCAAAAATGTTTTAGGAACACGTCGAGCCTCGAGCAACAGAAAAGCTGAGGGTTAACCTTGGAGAAAGTCAAGGGTGTGAATCATCCTTAAACTTGGATGGTTTGGATGGGTAGAAACTCATCGAATCCTTTAGTTTTTTGCTTCTCAAAATGCCTCCTGCAAGTGAATCGTGTTCGAGGTCATGACAAAAGAGCCAAATACTGCCCCACTCTGTCCATTCTCCACACTATGGCGTTTTACATCACAAAAGATGAGTTGTTTATAGTTGTTTGATGTTTTTTTGTGGACCAAAGATTGATCATGAAATAATGAACCATGTTGTGGGCCCTTTGCAAATGTGGGATCCAAGACCACCACTTACTGGGGGTCTTGTAGGTCTTGTAGTGGATATGCATCCCGAGAGTCGTAAGTGGTTTATAACCCATACAGCCCACACATATCTGGGGATACCCTCTGGTAAACTAACATAACTATGGAACCTGGAAAATCACCATTTTTCATGGGTAAATCCACTATAAATTGCCATTTCCAATAGCTATGTTAAATTACCAGAGGGTATCCCATATACGACTGGGGATATCCCATTTACCTCATTCCTAGGATGCACCACAGTGCCATAAACATTCCCATACCCATAGGATCCTAACGGTGCTGCTATATATGGTGTGCCATGGATCCCATCAATATACCCCAAATGGATGTTAGCATTACTATACCAGCACCATGGATCCGTCATGGGATGTGCTCTACTATGTATGGCAATGTATGGTATATAAAAACCTACCAAACTGGGTGATTTTGGGCAATCGGGCAAATGTTGGTGTGCATATTCCAGCACCATGGTGAGCATTTGGGATTTATAATCCATTCCCAGTTTTAGATTGTTAATTGTAATTATATTTCTATATATTTCTTCGCTCAAAAAGTTTCACCCACTATAGCTTGTGGTGTCTTGCACCGTAACGTCCTTCTGCAACCCTCTCGCAAACCCATTTTGTAGGGGCTTCGAGTCAACCACCCATTTTGTAGGTGAATTGACGAGAGATAGAAATGGAATGAAATGGATAGAATGAGTCTTCTTCTTAAATCTTTTCCATTCCTGGTTTATTTTTCATTATTTTTCATTATGCTTCATTTTTTTCATTTTTCCATTGCACCTGTGCGTGAGGAGGACAACTTGTTGGGCGACGAGAGGCATTTTTGCGTCCGACTTTCCAACCAAATTCTGGCCAACACAGTGACGTTTCTTCTTCTCATGGCCTATTTTAGGCCAAAGCTCCGGCTGATGCTTGAGCAGCCACTATCTAGTTGGTGCTTCAAACAGAAAAACGTCCTCGAAGCCATCAGCCGGTGGAACCTCAGACGTTTCTTGACAGCTTTGGACACGATCTTATGAAAGGAACGCACCTCAGGTCCAACCTTGGTAGCCTGCAAGAAATTGAGCGATGTGCCACTGCAGATGTGAAGGAAAAGCACCGCCAGCGAGTGCAGCGCAAGGACGAGATTGCAGCTGCAGCTGGCCGCAGAATCAAGTCTTACGTTGTCAAAGACGAACATCGTATGGAATACTTACCAACAATAGTGTATATGGATTGATAGTGGGAGTTTACCAAAATATTGTAAATAATTATTTACATCCATGAATACACTATGGGAAGTTTACATAAACCATTGACTTTGTTGCTCCATGGTGCTGGAATATTTACCAAGATTTGCCCTAAAATCACCCAGTTTTGTAGGTTTTTATATACCAGCACCATGGAGCATATGGGACATTTACATACATTTACAATCATTTACATCAGTTACGGTATTTCGGGGAACACAAATTGATTTTACCATCCAAAAATGTTTTAGGAACACGTCGAGCCTCGAGCAACAGAAAAGCTGAGGGTTAACCTTGGAGAAAGTCAAGGGTGTGAATCATCCTTAAACTTGGATGGTTTGGATGGGTAGAAACTCATCGAATCCTTTAGTTTTTTGCTTCTCAAAATGCCTCCTGCAAGTGAATCGTGTTCGAGGTCATGACAAAAGAGCCAAATACTGCCCCACTCTGTCCATTCTCCACACTATGGCGTTTTACATCACAAAAGATGAGTTGTTTATAGTTGTTTGATGTTTTTTTGTGGACCAAAGATTGATCATGAAATAATGAACCATGTTGTGGGCCCTTTGCAAATGTGGGATCCAAGACCACCACTTACTGGGGGTCTTGTAGGTCTTGTAGTGGATATGCATCCCGAGAGTCGTAAGTGGTTTATAACCCATACAGCCCACACATATCTGGGGATACCCTCTGGTAAACTAACATAACTATGGAACCTGGAAAATCACCATTTTTCATGGGTAAATCCACTATAAATTGCCATTTCCAATAGCTATGTTAAATTACCAGAGGGTATCCCATATACGACTGGGGATATCCCATTTACCTCATTCCTAGGATGCACCACAGTGCCATAAACATTCCCATACCCATAGGATCCTAACGGTGCTGCTATATATGGTGTGCCATGGATCCCATCAATATACCCCAAATGGATGTTAGCATTACTATACCAGCACCATGGATCCGTCATGGGATGTGCTCTACTATGTATGGCAATGTATGGTATATAAAAACCTACCAAACTGGGTGATTTTGGGCAATCGGGCAAATGTTGGTGTGCACATTCCAGCACCATGGTGAGCATTTGGGATTTATAATCCATCCCCAGTTTTAGGAGTTTCTGACATTGTGCATACCCCGCTTCTTGCGATGATTTATATATGGATCCCACCAGCAGATTTCAGGTTTCATGGCTATCTCAGATCTATGATGTTTGTAAACAAAATTGAGAGGTAGGCTTGATTCAGGTGGGAAAAATGGGGGGGTGGCTAAAGTCCATCGGTTCACGTGTGTTTATATTAATACTATTAAGAATGTCATGTTTGACTACATACTTGTACACGCCATTTTTTGAGCCACGTAGATTGGAATGAGTCTTGTCCACGTAGATTGGATAGCACTTCTGACTTGGCTCTAAGTGAAGGCCATGATGGGAGTTTCTCGATCTGTGAGGACTGTATTCTCTTCATACACATACATCACATATCTATATATATAATGTTGGTTCCTGATTAGTGTGTGGCCCCCCCTAAACTATATCTGGACTCTCTTTAAAGTAGAAAGTCAAAAATTTTCTTCCCAAAAGAAAAACATATCCTCAATTAAGTACGGATTTCAATTGGCTACAATTGAAATCTAATCTAATTGCTATTGTTTTTTTTGCCGATGAAGTTGTGGTATTTGTAGTACTTGTAGTACTTGTAGTACTTGTAGTACTAGTAGTACTAGTAGTACATGTAGTACTTGTAGTACTTGTAGTACTTGTAGTACTTGTAGTACTTGTAGTACTTGTAGTACTTGTAGTACTTGTAGTACTTGTAGTACTTGTAGTGCTTGTAGTACTTGTAGTACTTGTAGTACTTGTAGTGCTTGTAGTACTTGTAGTACATGTAGTTGTAGTACTTGTAGTACTTGTAGTACTTGTAGTAATTGTAGTACTTGTAGTACTTGTAGTACTTGTAGTACTTGTAGTACTTGTAGTACTTGTAGTACTTGTAGTACTTGTAGTACTTGTAGTGCTTGTAGTACTTGTAGTACTTGTAGTATTTGTAGTACTTGCCTTACTTGTAGTACTTCTGGGTCCAGGAGCGCTCTGGCGAGCTTGCTGCAATAGTGAACCCAGCAAACAAACCTACTAAAGTGAAATGGAGCCTCTCCTGGTCCAGGGCCTTGGGAAATTGTGGAAAAGCTGTTCTTTAATAAGGGTTTAATAAGGGATTGGCTCCTTTGGGAAAGGCTTGGAGTTTGAATTTGGCAATTGCCTTTGGAAAAGGCTTGCTTCTCTTCTGGGCTTCCAGGAGCTGCTCTGGCACAGCTTGCTGCAATAGTGAACCCAGCAAACAAACCTACTAAAGTGAAATGGAGCCTCTCCTGGCCCAGGGCCTTTGGAAATTGTGGAAAAGCTGTTCTTTAATAAGGGTTTAATAAGGGATTGGCTCCTTTGGGACAGGCTTGGGGTTTGAATTTGGCAATTGCCTTTGGAAAAGGCTTGCTTCTCTTCTGGGCTTCCAGGGGCTGCTCTCGCACAGCTTGCTGCAATAGTGAACCCAGCAAACAAACCTACTAAAGTGAAATGGAGCCTCTCCTGGTCCAGGGCCTTGGGAAATTGTGGAAAAGCTGTTCTTTAGTAAGGGTTTAATAAGGCATTGGCTCCTTTGGGAAAGGCTTGGAGTTTGAATTTGGCAATTGCCTTTGGAAAAGGCTTGCTTCTCTTCTGGGCTTCCAGGGCTGCTCTGGCACAGCTTGCTGCAATAGTGAACCCAGCAAACAAACCTACTAAAGTGAAATGGAGCCTCTCCTGGTCCAGGGCCTTGGAAAATTGTGGAAAAGCTGTTCTTTAATAAGGGTTTAATAAGGGATTGGCTCCTTTGGGAAAGGCTTGGAGTTTGAATTTGGCAATTGCCTTTGGAAAAGGCTTGCTTCCCTTCTGGGCTTCCAGGGGCTGCTCTGGCACAGCTTGCTGCAATAGTGAACCCAGCAAACAAACCTACTAAAGTGAAATGGAGCCTCTCCTGGTCCAGGGCCTTGGGAAATTGTGGAAAAGCTGTTCTTTAGTAAGGGTTTAATAAGGCATTGGCTCCTTTGGGAAAGGCTTGGAGTTTGAATTTGGCAATTGCCTTTGGAAAAGGCTTGCTTCTCTTCTGGGCTTCCAGGGGCTGCTCTAGCACAGCTTGCTGCAATAGTGAACCCGGCAAACAAACCTACTAAAGTGAAATGGAGCCTCTCCTGGTCCAGGGCCTTGGAAAATTGTGGAAAAGCTGTTCTTTAATAAGGGTTTAATAAGGGATTGGCTCCTTTGGGAAAGGCTTGGGGTTTGAATTTGGCAATTTTGGAAAAGGCTTGCTTCTCTTCTGGGCTTCCAGGGGCTGCTCTGGCACAGCTTGCTGCAATAGTGAACCCAGCAAACAAACCTACTAAAGTGAAATGGAGCCTCTCCTGGTCCAGGGCCTTGGGAAAATTGTGGAAAAGCTGTTCTTTAATAAGGGTTTAATAAGGGATTGGCTCCTTTGGGAAAGGCTTGGGGTTTGAATTTGGCAATTGCCTTTGGAAAAGGCTTGCTTCGCTTCTGGGCTTCCAGGGGCTGCTCTGGCACAGCTTGCTGCAATAGTGAACCCAGCAAACAAACCTACTAAAGTGAAATGGAGCCTCTCCTGGTCCAGGGCCTTGGGAAATTGTGGAAAAGCTGTTCTTTAATAAGGGTTTAATAAGGGATTGGCTCCTTTGGGAAAGGCTTGGAGTTTGAATTTGGCAATTGCCTTTGGAAAAGGCTTGCTTCTCTTCTGGGCTTCCAGGGGCTGCTCTGGCACAGCTTGCTGCAATAGTGAACCCAGCAAACAAACCTACTAAAGTGAAATGGAGCCTCTCCTGGTCCAGGGCCTTGGGAAATTGTGGAAAAGCTGTTCTTTAATAAGGGTTTAATAAGGGATTAGCTCCTTTGGGAAAGGCTTGGAGTTTGAATTTGGCAATTGCCTTTGGAAAAGGCTTGCTTCTCTTCTGGGCTTCCAGGGGCTGCTCTGGCACAGCTTGCTGCAATAGTGAACCCAGCAAACAAACCTACTAAAGTGAAATGGAGCCTCTCCTGGTCCAGGGCCTTGGAAAATTGTGGAAAAGCTGTTCTTTAATAAGGGTTTAATAAGGGATTGGCTCCTTTGGGAAAGGCTTGGAGTTTGAATTTGGCAATTGCCTTTGGAAAAGGCTTGCTTCTCTTCTGGGCTTCCAGGGGCTGCTCTGGCACAGCTTGCTGCAATAGTGAACCCAGCAAACAAACCTACTAAAGTGAAATGGAGCCTCTCCTGGTCCAGGGCCTTGGAAAATTGTGGAAAAGCTGTTCTTTAATAAGAGTTTAATAAGGGACTGTTTCTTTTGGGAAAGGCTTGGAGTTTGAATTTGGCAATTTTGGAAAAGGCTTGCTTCCCTTCTGGGCTTCCAGGGGCTGCTCTGGCACAGCCTGCTGCAATAGCGAGCCCAGCAAACAAACCTACTCAGATAGAGATGCATTTACAGGCTCAGTTAGAGAGATGAGCAAAAACTTGACTGAGCTACAGCGTTTTTGAGAAAAAATTGCCTCTCAGCAATTACATTTTTTCAAAAAAAGTGCTCTCCCAATTTTGTTTTGCCACAAAAGCGAGCCCTCCAAACAATACATGAGTTTCAGAATAATTTGGAAAAAATTCCCACAATAGCGACCCTAGCTACTAATCAGGAGCTAACATTATACAGTATATACATATGATTTGGGTGTGTCTGAAAATTACCATCTGGTTATTTAGCATAGCCATGGATAATCCCTTATAAATGGAGGTTTCTAGATGGGAAAATCATCTATAAATGGGCCATCTATACTATGGCTATGTTAAATATCCAGAGGGTAAATAGTGTAGCCATGTGTAGCCCATTCTATGGTTGATTGTCAACTTGCCAGAACTTGTTCCCCAAACTCTGATGGCACTGATGATGACCAGCTCTGGGAAGGTCCTTCTATTATCTAATACTTGAACTATATTCGACAATACGAAAAAAAAACAATCCTCATATAACATGCTGGTAATTCTAGTATATACGAATCAAAATTTTAGTGCATACTAATACTAACACGAACATTCTAGTATACTAATAACTGATTTAAGGGAAAATCGAAGCCGGAAACCACTGGTGTTCCCTTCAAAATAAGGGTTTTCCAAATTTTCCCTTAAAACTGGAGAATCCAACCATAGCTGCATCCGTTTTTTTTTCGTAGGCAGGTCGCACGGCCGCCATCATTGAGGACAACTTGAGGAGCCCCGTCGTGTTTTTCACAACATGGTAACATGGTCAGATAAAAGATGGGAACATCTTAGGAAAATATGGGAAAATGTGATTTCAAACCAGTGAAACAAGTGGGATTTGGCTATTTTTCAGACAAAAATGCTGCTTTTCATTGAAATGCCTGGATGTGAGTATGGCGTATGAGCCGGAAAAGGCTACCAATGGACGTACACATTTTATTGGTGCATCTTCCGGTGCAAAATTTTGACGACTGAGTCATACTGTACCAAGCATCCAAGCATTTGATGGGACTTTAGGCAGTGTAAGTTATTTTTATGTCAACATGAATAAACCCCGTTTACGGCTGTTGAATTGGGAGGCTACCATAAAAAAGTATTAGATGAAATGACTATTGGAGGAGTAACCCCCTTTTTTTCATAAACCATGGTTTATTAATCCAGGGTTGACATTACTAGTCTTATGAAGAATGGGCACTTGTACCCAGAAAAGCCGGATTTGACCCGCAGAACTTTGTCGCCGGTTGAACCATCGCGGGATATTTTAGAAAACATAGAACAACAATGTGTGGATATGACACACAGCCTCCGGGAATCAAACAATTCAATGCTGGCAATAGCAAATCCACCATGAAAATCGCTGAACTTCTCATGAAAAAACCTTCATTTTTAGGCATTGGAATTGCCGTGTTTGATGAGTTTTATGGGTCACCAAATCATAATGGCAAACGTGATGAACGAATACGTGACCGGGAAGACAACTAACAAGTTGTATGGATTGACGTGGCCGTAATGTGGCCAGCATCATCAAACGTGGCTAGTTTTGCTGGTGGATTTTCCATTGCCATGTTGATTGTATACAGAAGGGTAGACTGGTTTCCTTCCTCTGAAATTTCCAATTTGTATAGGGAGTCTGTAGGGAATTAAGTTTTTGATTTCTAAGTGTTTGGTCTTCAATGTGAATTCAAGAACATATATATATATATATATTATATAATTGTTGTGTTGCAGGGCGATCACCACAATGATAGAATCATTCCCTTGCTATACCCTTCAAATCTGACATGGACCGCCTGGGTTTGGAGTCAATACGGTAGATCCTCGTTTTCAACCAGTGAACGATGTACTTTAAGAGGTGATGCTGCATTGCTAGCCACTTGATCTAGGATTGGCAGAGGATACTTGGGGGATCAGTTGTAGCCTAGTGTTATATCATATTCCAACTAGTGGGAGGTATGAAACATGGTATACCATGGTTATACCCATCGCCCAAAAAAGCGTACTTCGCGTACTTCAAATGGCCCCAACTTTAAAGAGCGTTTGTGGTGACCCTGACAGTTGGAACACAGCCTTCGCCATTTTAGATCATGGGATATTATGGGATATGTGATATTATGTGATACTAACAGGGATAGGATTCTAGGACCTTCTTGGAGCCAAAAAATATGTCGAAATTGGACATCAAAAAATTGGATGGTGAATAGCGTGAATCCCCGTCCGCCCTGATACAAAATTGATCCGACGCAGAGCGTGCCAGTTTCAGGTTCGATTTTTTCAGAGACAATCCCAAGTTGGACGCATGGCTAGAGCTCGCATCCCAAACAATGGCTGTGTAGATAGCCATATCCCATGACGGATCCATGGTGCTGGTATATATATATATATGCTAACATGACTGGGGTATATTGATGGTAAATGTTACCATATATAGCATACATGGATCCTATGGGTTGTTAGCCACTTGATTTTTGTACAATCCGAGACAATCCGTTGTCCTGCCCATTCCTGGTGTAAATCATCCTTTTCGTTTGTTGCTGGAAAATCATGAAAAGTTGAATGAAGGGAGTTGAACTATTTTTGCAAGTTCACCTAAAGTGCTGTATATAAAAAGTCCCAAAAAGATGGAAATTGATCGAAATTCTTTCCAAACTAGTGAAAAGTTGAGGCACCCCAAAGCATCTATTGCTGATCCATGCTCTCTCGTCCTTGAGTTATACGCCATGCCGCCTTCTCGCACCAGCGGTGGTACCTGGATTCAGATCGGGGTGATGTGGTGGATCCAGTTGTGAAGCAAAGGTGTGGGTTTTACCCTCTGGTAAACTAACATAACTATGGAAAATCACAATTTTTAATGGGTAAATCCACTAGAAATGGCCATTTTCAATAGCTATGTTAGTTTACGAATTCAAAATCCAAGATCTGGAATTCATCAGAATGTGGATTGAAGTAGCAACATGAATTTGGAGTTCACGGCCAGGAAGTATGTGGCTTCAAAAAGAGAGCCGGCAGTAATGGGAGCCAGCAATGTCGTTTTTTTCCATGAACAACTGAAGGTCACCAGCAAAATAGGATTGGAACCGCAAGCAACGCATAATACGGTATAAAACGAAAACATATTGGGGAATTGCATCTGAGTCCAAAACAGGTTTATCAAGCAAAAACGAAATTTGACGCAGGGCTTGAAATGTTTGAAAAACAATCAGGGGATATTCTGGGCACCCAGGGGTGTTGCTCTGAAATTTTCTCAGTTCCGTTTTCTCTTTTCTCTTGTTTTTGGTGCATCCAACAATCATTACCCTGACTAAGAGGGTGGAGCTGAAGCAGGAGCGAGAATTATTGTTACCCTGTGGTAAACCAACATAACTATGGAAAATCACCATAATCACCATTTTTAATAGCTATGTTAGTTTACCAGAGGGTACCCTATGTTTACCCTTTAAAAATCCATCATTTCTAGATGAATTACCGCATAAAGTCGATGATTTTCCAGTCTGGTCAAAGTCAAATTACCAGACGGTAAATTAGACTAACTCCCATGGAAAACCCCAAATCCCATGGAAAACACTATACATTGGTTGGTGCTTTGGAACATTTATTTTTTTCCCATCTGGTTGGGAATTTCATCATCCCAACTGACTTTCATATTTTTCAGAGGGGTAGGTCAACCACCAACCAGCTATACATAGGCTATACATATCTATAAATTCCATAGAACCACCCCTTTTTTGGAAAATCACAATGTCCAATTGGAAAATCCACTATAAATGGTCTTTTTCAATAGCTATATATATATATGTATGTTTACCAGGCCGGGTATCTATAAATTCCATAGGAAAGCTCCCCTTTTTTGTTGCTAAATCCCTGATTTTTGACCATGATCCTCTCAGCTCCCGGCGACCATTCGGAGCCTGCAGAGCCCACGCGAGCGGAGCGGGCAATGGGAAGCTTCTCGGTGGTGTTTTTTGTTTTTTTGTCGATGGGATTTTAACATATTTTAACCATGAGAAATGGGACTTTCATGGGATTTGACCAGGCCAAATGGAGATTTTTTCACATTTTACCCTCTGGTAAACATTTACATAACTATGAAAGATCCACCATTTTTCATGAGAAATTTCACTATTTTGATGGTGATTTTCCATAGTTATGTAACAAATTACCAGAGGGTAACCATGAGAAATGGGACTTTCATGGGATTTCACGAGGCCAAATGGAGATTTTTCATGACTGGTTTGGCCTGGTTTGTAATGGATAGAAAGGGGTATGAATGGGATAAAACCAGCAAAAATGGAGTTTTATCCCATTCATACCCCTTTCTAGCCATGGAGATGATTTTCCAGCTTACTTGTTTTGCATTGGCAATCATCTCCATGATGTCCATGGCTAGCTGGAAAATCCACGATTTACTTCGAGGATTTTCCCGGCGAACTAAACAACAACGTGGCCAGTTTTTGGGATTTTAGTTCTTCATCGTTCGAGTTTGTTTCCCCGGTATTTTGTTGGGAAAAACTCTGAACAATGTAGAGGGCCCCCCCAAACAATTGAGGGGATCTGAAATATTGTGAAGACTTAAATAATTAGGACCAGGTTTGGGGCACCAAGGATCATAACACAAAACCTCAGGATAAGGCAGGTGTTCCATTCATTTGAATCTACTTTCAGTCTTTCATCCTCTCCTTCGTTCTTCCTTTGTTTCCTTTTTCTTGCTTGTTTTCTTTCCTTTCACCTTTTTTTCTTCCTTTGTTCTTTCTTCCTTCTTGATCTTTCCTTCTTGCTCTTTATGATTTGTTCTTCCGTTCTTTCTTCTTGTCCTTTGTTCTTTCTTTCTTTCTGTTTCTATGTGATGGAAACTTGATGTTGGCTAAAGATGACATTTATTGGTGAATCTTGGCATTAGTACAGGCTGAAGCAGCTGAGATTTTTTACTGCGATAGTACAGGTCTGGATCCACAAAAAGTGGGACTTTTTCTTGGACCTATTCTTTTTTGCTTCCTGAAAAAAGCATTAAAAACCATGGCTCTGGGAAGAAGGAGGAGAAGCACAGAAAGGAAACAAAGATATACAAAGATAACTTTTATTTTGCCCAACTTTAGAATCTAATTCTTAGGAAAAAAAAATACACTGTTCCCACGTTTTTGGTGGTGAATTCACAAGAACTTGGTGTGTCAGCCGTGAAAAAAAACGCCTCAGGCTACAACGAAGGCCTCGAGGCGATCTCCAAACGCTTACAGGAAGGGCTGGCTCGAGGAGATGTGTCTTGGCAACAAGGCGGGCTGGGAAGAACCACCCATGGAGGTGTCTTAAAATGGGGGCACCCCAATAGCTGGATGGTGTTTCTTTTTTCTGGAAATTCCTAGCAAAACATGTTTCATTTGTTTTCTCCTTTGCCTTAATTCTAGGGGAATATGTCATGCCTAGCGAGCTAAAACTAAGTATTGTTTTTGCAGGGTATCTACGATAAACCATGATTTAACCAATATAAGTGGGCTTAACTTAACATCCGGCCAAACAAGTTCATACCAACAAACATGGATTTGTCGAACACGATTGGGCTAAAAACCATCAAGAAATGATGGAATTTGACCATCCATTCACATTTGGATTTGGTTGGTCCACACGTTCACCAGAACTTCAAATTCAATACTGGTTGGTGGTTTGGAACATTTATTATTTTTCCATCTGGTTGGGAATTTCATCATCCCAACTGACTTTCAGTCCATCATTTTTCAGAGGGGTAGGTCAACCACACTTCCGTTCATCCGTTCAGCCATGATGGGATGTGTTCCTGTCCAATGATATGGGCTCACAGGCATGGCCATCATGAACATTGGGGAATCCTGGAATCCCCAGCTGTGAAAAGTGACCAGCCTTTCCCATAGGATCCATGGTGCTGGTATATATGCTAACATGACTGGGTATATTGATGGTTAAATGTTACCATATATAGCAGCACCATGGATCCTATGGGTTTTCGGGGGACCATCCTTCGCAAAGTAAAGAAAAGCCTCACGTCGCGACATCACAAAAAAATGATTCTTAGCATAGGGATTTTGTCCCTTAAAATTAGTGAATTATGATAATTTATCCAAATCTGAGATGCTTGTACAACAATTATTTGCAAATCTAAATTTGATAAAAACAATTGGGATGTTATAGCAGCTGATTGTTGAGCACCTGAGGTTTCTTTAAAAACAACACATATTTTAACACATGATATTTTATTCCAACAATATCAACACAATACGGATGAATTGAATGATTAATTGGGATTCCAATGGGATATATATATATATAAACCAGAATGAGAACGATGAGGTGATAAACCAAACTAAAATCACTGAGAGTTTAAGCGTAGTTCCCCTCAGGAGGCGGCTGTTGACTGGGCACAAGTGCTGCACTTGGCCCTGGATGTGCAGCAGGACTACATGGAGCGGGTGGCTGCCTCAGGGGATGGGCTTGGGATATAGAAATCTCAATCGAACAGAAATGAACAGAATATCATTGCATTATTTTATATCCCATAATCCCATGACGGATCCATGGTGCTGCCATATATGGATATATATGGTAACATGGATCCCATCAATATACCCCAGTCATGTTAGCATATATACTATATACCAATTATATACCATACATGGATCCTATACATGGATCCTATACATGGATCCTATACATGGATCCTATACATGGATCCTATACATGGATCCTATACATGGATCCTATGGGTACTATTTTGATATGAAGTTGGTAGGATTTGACCAACCTCAATCTTTTGAGGGGACGGGGGAGTGGACGGAAATGGGTGAGGATATGGGTTGCTCAGCACGTATCTGAAACCACAAAAACACGTGGAGATGCGGGTGGGCACGCCAACTTGGCTGGTACGCGTACCAGAAACGTGCTCCTTTTGCAGAACGTTCCTGCGAAACTGGCTCTGTGAGACCACACGATTCACCCTGAAAATTGCCCACCCTATAGTTTCAAACCATATCACAAGTGGAAACTTACGGTCACCTTCAGGGCTGATGGGCTGAAAATTGGGACCCAAAGTATATCATGAAAAACCGTACAGTATATTATATATAATATTATGTTATTTTAGCTAGGGCAACCCCCAAAAAAAGATAGAAGACACAAAAAATATGTGTCTATCTTTTTGGGGGTTACTTTTTGTGCAAATTCCATAGATTTGCTCGATCCTGGAAGCCGTTCAACTGGGTGGTTGGTAAAGAACCCGTTCAACTGGGTGGTTGGAAGATGCTTAGTATTTGTATGATTATCCTATTTTTGGATGCCCTCACTAGTCCCTGACATCCCACACACTGGACTAATTTGAAATTCCAGCGCACGATTCACGATACATTATGGCTGTGGCCATTTTCCACGGATCTGGCAGGATTCTTATGACAAACAGATCAATCCGGAAAAATCAAACACGCGAAAAAAAATGAACGTGAACATAGCGTGAAAACTCCGTGAAATAGACCGTTAGTTAGAAACCCATGAAAACCCTTCAAAACTTGGTGTTAATGTTCCATTTGTTTTCTGATGGTGTTTTCACGGTCTTTTCATCCGCCCCTGATATTTGGGCGGCTCTTGTTTGTGAGGGTGGATGAGTCTCAGGTGGTGAATTATCCCCAAAGTTTTGATAGCTCTGTCACTCTATTTATCATTGATGGATGATCATATAACTACCGTATCATAACATGGCCACTTTATAGATTTATATAGTGGTTGGTGCTTTGGAACATGAATTTTATTTTTCCCATCATATTGGGAATTTCATCATCCCAACTGACTTTAAGTCCATCATTTTTCAGAGGGGTAGGTCAACCACCAACCAGTTTGAGGGTGCCAAGTAAAGACACATGGGTGCACCAGAACGGACCCGTTAAAAAAAAAAAGATTTGTAGATCATTCAAAAGCCATCCTGGTAGATGATCTTTTTAGAAACACACAGCTCTCTCTCTCTCTATATATATATATATAGAGATCATAGATGATTTTAGATGATGTTAGATGATTTTAGATGATTCTTGATGTTTGTTTTAATGTTTTTTGATGATTTTTGATGATCTTAAATGATTTTAGATGATTTTAGATGATACTGGTAGATCATACTGGTAGATGATTTTTGATGATTTTAGATGCATATAATATAGTCCTATTAGACCGTGGTAGGTATACCATCTAATAGACACCATCAAGACCTGACACCATTAATAATCAGCCATATTTTCCAACACAAAAAAGATAATACCGGTAGATGATTTTTAGAATATATCATTCATAAATATATATATATATCATATATATATGTATCATATGTATCATATGTTTCATCTGCTTGTAGATGATTTTTAGAATATATATATATATATCATATATAATATTATAATATATATATATAATTATATAATCTGGTTTTAGATGATTTTTAGAAGATGAGTCAGCCATATGTTCGAAGATGAGTCAGCCATATGTTTCATATGTTCCAAAAATCCTCAGGAAACTGCCCTCCGTGCCTTCTATGTGGCGCTCTACGGCGCCAGCCGCAAAAACAAATTGCCGCGCGTGCCGGGGCCACTGCACGCGCTGGCGCGGGCCAACCCGGCAGGCTCAGTGATCCCGCTGAAGCTTCGGAAAACCCATAGGGAAACCATGGGGAAACCATGGGGAAACCATGGGAAAATGGTGAAAACCATAGGAACATGTAGGAAAATTAGGTTTTTTAACCAACAAAAATTGGAGATTGAATGGGATTTATAGTCATAGCCAATGTATGATACTAGTATTCAGCATTTACTGATGGAGGTTGCCAGTCATCGCGCTGATCCCCGTTCTTTTTTGGCCCATTGGTTTCAGGGAACATCTTAACCGGAAACATCCGGAAACCATGTTTTTTTCCATGGATTATAGGGGTTTCCTGTGGTTTCCTGTGGGCTTTCCCTTCACTAATTTCATGATTGGGATTTGAGCAGGATTTAACTATGAAATACTATGAACATCTATGAACTCAGAGGAATCTAATGGGATTTCAATGGGATTTTAATGTAATTCCCCATCGTTTTCAATTGTTTTCCACCTATATTTGGGCGGATGGTGGTTGTGAGAAAGTTCTTCCAGGCAGTGCCTCGACGGTGGCGGCGCAGATGCGGCAGCTGCAGATTTCCTTGCCGGAAGCCTTGCGACAGGCGCAGATTTCTGGGATCTGAGCCCAGAAAATGGCCAGGAAAAATTGGGACCCACGGTGATGAACCCATGGTTTTAGATGGTTGAAAAGGGGCTAGCCGCGGCTAGCCCATTTTCAAAGAAAGCCATTTCCTGGAGAGAATATAAGGGATCCTGTGTTCAATTGGTCAACCAATAACAAGAAATATATATATATACACACCTTATTTAGTATTAATAGTAATACTGATGATATGTATATCTATATATGATATGATGATATGATATGTATGTATGATATAAAATAGTAGTCAACATAATTCACTAAGAAATATTAAGAATGATCATGATCATGATGGTTTAAAAAAGGCCAAAACGGTATCAATTGACCCTTTCTGAAGTCTTCGACGCGCCAGCGCCACACGACCAATGTTTCCCTGTTTTGTTGGCGAATCATCCGGATTTTCCCTATGAAAGAATCATTGGTGGTATTTCATGTCAACCCTGGATGAATTTAAACCCCGTGTTTACACGGCTGTTTAATTGGGAGGCTACCATAAAAAAGTATTAGATGAAATGACTATTGGAGGAGTACTCCCCTAATTAATAAACCATGGTTTATTAATCCAGGGTTGACATTACCCATCGACCCATGTCGCGAATTGGGAGGTCAATACACAACGACATCCGGGTGCTTTTCTGCTGCTCACATGTCACTTGGGGAAAGAGAGGTCACTTGGCTCCCAGAGTCTGCTCTCATCGGATGACCCGTTTAGAGATCCCAAATGCGAACCATGGTGCTGGAATATGCAAACCAACCTTTGCCCGAAGAAATCACCCAGTTTTGTAGGTTTTTATATACCAGCACCATGGTTCACATATGGGGATGATTTATGACGATTTGTGTAGCTATCGAAAATGATGATTTTGCTATAGCTACCTTAAATAGCCTGATGGTAATTTGCTGAGACTGGAAAGGGTAGCCAAACTAAAATGTATACCTGCATGTGATGCTACACTAGACACAACCAGCAATTTCTGGAATGGCAATGCGATGGTGCGAAAGGCTCAGTATATTCATGTAATTTCCATGTTTCAGAACTAGTTTCAGAGAAATCATGCAATATTTGCAGAAAATCAGAAATTTGAAAAACAAGGTTTTCAAGCCAGTTCTTCCAGTGAAGCCATTCAACAATTCAACATCATTCAACCATTCAAAAAGCAACTGGGTTGAATTTCCATGAAAATACCCTCTGGTAATGTAACGTAGCTATTGAAAATGACCATTAATAGTGGATTTTCCCATTAAAAATGGTGATTTTCAATAGCTATGTTAAATTACCAGAGGGTAACTATAAAGGTATACCCAAGTTCTACCAGGGTTAATTCCATCCGACTGCAACTTAAGGAGGCCTTCATTTCCAGTAGAAACATGTTTTTGAGTCATCTTTTCCTGGACAATCCTCTGGTAATTCGTAACATAGCTATTGAAAATTGCCATTTATAGTGGATGTTCCCATTAAGAATTATGATTTTCCATGTATTCATGGTGATTTACCTATCAAAAATGGTGATTTCCCATAGTTATTTTTGACATAACCAGAGGGTATCCACCCACATCCAGCCCTGGATTTTCTGGTTTTCAGGCCAGCGGGTTGCCAAAACTTCCCTTGGCTGTCCTTGGGAGCTTTGTTGCTGCTGACGCCTGGCATGCATTTTCCAAAAGGGACGGTCATTCCCATTGTTGTCATGTTGTTGTATTATATACATATATATGTATATGTAGATATCGTGTGTATAAATATATATACATATGTATATGTATATATTATGTGTATATATTATGTGTATATATATATATACATATGTATATGTATATATATATATACATATGTATATTATATAGATATATGTATGTATATATATGTGTATATATATATGTATATATATATATGTATATATATATATATATGTAAGTATATATATATACTATGTATACACATGTGTTTGTATTATTATTATTATTCTCATTATTATATACATAAAAAAATACTATTATTATTCGTGTTGTCGTGAATCCTATTCATGATAGTGGGATAACATGGGATAATCGGATAACCATGTCCCATGTACCATGTTTTCACGTCACACGTTTGAACACGTTGTGGATGGAATGGTGTACCCTATTTTGAGGCTTAAGTTTTGTTGGCCGGATTTTGGAAGATGTTTTTTTTTGGGCAACGTTGAGTGAATGATAGGTGAATAGATGTTATAACGTGGCATATAGAATATTACATACATTTTATAAGCTCTTGAACAAAGACATATTATGCAATTATACTTAAGATACTTTTTTGGACAATATGTCTACTGTAAGATTGTCTAAGCTTATGCTCTCAGCTATGCCAGCTCCCTTAACTGAAACCGTATATATTTATATACATATGTGTTGTTGCACATCTTTATGCACTATGCAAATGAACCTTATATGTAATATGGCACATAGATATTTACTTGCACGGACATGCAGGAACTAAAGTTTTATACAGATTATGTTAATTAATGAATGTTACACGAGCACCCAGATTGCGTGTTCAAACGCGAGCTTCTTTTCTCCACATCAATCAAACATGGGGGAACAAGTTTACCGCCTATTGGGTGAAATGTAAGGCCCTGCCAAAAGGAGAGGTATGTCGTGCAACCTTTTTTCTCCCATGTTTGGCGACATATTCCCATGTTTGTCAGTTGTAGCCTCTCACTATAAATTTGGGTAGTGGTATTTCCCGATCATAAAGCATGTTGTTTGTGTACACCTATTTCCACCCCACCTTTTGTTTTTTGTTTGCACCAGCTTTTTTCAGCTTAATTCTGGACTCTTCACCATTTTTCGTGGTGAAAACCCACAATTTCCAGTTCAATTCTGATATATTTCTCCATTTATTCTGAAAACTGAAAACCCTCAATTTGTTCTTGTTGGGAACTAAATCTCCACTTTTACAAGGCTTGGTAAATGTCCCATGGAGATTTTGGGTTTTCAAGTATTTGTTGGAGATTATATCCCCAATAGTTCCAAGAGTGTGTGACAAATTAGGACGTTTACCAAGTCCTGTTTTACCCTCTGGTAATTTAACATAGCTATTGAACATGGTCATGGAAATAGTGGATTTACCCATTCAAAATGGTGATTTTCCATGTATTTCATGGTGATTTACCTATGAAAAATGGTGATTTTCCATGTAATTACCATCGTTCCCTAGGGATTGGCATCAGCTCCGCTAGGATTGGCATCCTCTGTGGCCCCAGCCGCTCGGATCGACCGCATGGTGCCGCCGGCGCCGGTGGTCCGGTCCGCGTGGAGGTCTCGGAGGTCCGGTCCGCGGCGCAGCAGGTCAGCATGGTCTGCTGGGAAGTGCATGGAAGTCATCCTGAAAACAGGGTAAATTATAACCATACTGCTATGGGATAATATGGTAGTTTTTGATGGAACAATATATATATATACACCAATAATCAACAATCAACCATATTATAAATCTGGGTAAATTTCATCACGACCGAAGCCTGTTCTCGGACGGAACCCTGGTTTATCCTGGTTTATTTGAGGGGAATCATCCCCAGCCATGGCCTTACAATTCAGGTTAGTGAAATATTATTTCATTTACCCAGATACTCCATGGGAGTATCATGGGATCATGGAGATATGTGGATACCTTTCGGGGTTGAAAATTTCCGAGTTCTTTGGGTGGACTTTTTTATGGTTACTGTGGGCATCTATGGGCCAACAGATGTTCAGTTTAGCTTCTGGAAGTCCAATCTTCAACCAGCTGATTTTTTTTTTGGCCCAGAAATCTGCAGAGTTTGGTCATGACAATGTTGCAGCCATAGCCTGATTTACAACAGACAATTCCATGAGGAATATGTGGGAACAAGCAGCAAACATTGGGATTGGACTGGTACATATATATATATATAATATTTTGTATGTATATGTATGTATATATATGATTATAATTTATTGTAAGTGTTTCAATAAGGACATTATGACACCAGCAGATTTGGCCATTTCTGATTTTCCCTCGAATTCGTTTAGGGAAAAAAAGTACAGGAAGCCCTGAAAATGAAGGTCCTGGCTTCTCCGAGCACCACATTTCAGGGTACCCCAATGTGGATACATTTCTATGTATTCATGTTGGGCGCTGAATAGAGCAACCAGCTACCAGATTCAAACTGAAATGAGACTGAGCCACCCCTGTTGAGTCAGAGATATGCAGAAGAATCACGGAATTGGGAAACCATAAATTTGTGTTTGCATTTTGTAATGGTATGAAATTGCGACATCAATGGTTTGAAATGGACGGTGTTTTTGTTCTCCTTAAGTCCCTCAGGTGTTTGTGAAATATGTGCAATTGGTTGAGTCAGTTTGATTTCCACTGTTGTTGATGTTTGTTTCAAAAGTTGAGTCATTTCTATTGGCAAAATATCCCCCTGTTCTTTGCTGAAAGTCACCATGTTCATATCAGTCACCACCATGTCTCACATCCGATAGGCCAATGCCATCCGTCGCCATCCGTCGGCAGGTGACTGTCCTCCCAATGCTTCTGGTGGCGCTGTGCGTTCCTTGTCATGTGGGCTTTTTGCTGCTGAAAAATCGGAGTGTCGGAGCGGCTTAAAGCGTAGCCGCTACTGTCTTTATCTGGTTGGTGGTTTGGAACATGAATTTTCATGGTTAATCTACGGTTAATCCATGTTTAATAATGGTTAATAATTGGAATAACAATATATCTGGTTGGTGGTTTGGAACTTTTTTTTCCATTCAGCTGGGAATAATCATCATCCCAACTGACGAATTCATATTTTTCAGAGGGGTAGGTCAACCACCAACCAGTTATGATATGATGATCCCTAGCATATCTAAATGATGTGTGATTTTTGTCCTGGATAATTTTTATGGCACATGTACTACGGAGTCTTTGGGTGGAAGTATAACTTCGGATTTAAGAGCTCAGATTTAGCTATCGTATCGTATCTATGTATTGTATTATCACATATTACGGCATAAATATCTATATTGCTAATTGAGGTACAGGTGATAGGAAAAGAAGGCAACCATTTCAATGGTGATGCAACATTTGCTATGATAATGTCCTTGTTTGGCAATACCAGATACTAATTTATGCATGTTTGGCGTTTGGAATTATCAATTCTACTATTTTTATCGTTTTCATGCCAAAATTTAAATATGTTCTTAAGTACTGCAGACCCCCTTTTTTGCTGGTCAAACTCAGGTTTTCTTAACAAAGCCATCATTTATGCTGCTTGAATCATCACATGCATTGGTTCACCACCTACCATCATTTTTTGGTCTTGGAAGGGACAGTGCTGGTGCTCCTGCTGGCTTTATCCTAAATCCCTCCTTTTTTCTTGCTTAAAAACTGCATATATATATAGATATCCAAATATATATATACAATATAATCTATATATATATATATATCCATTTATACATATATATATATAAATACAGATCAGTGTTTCTATTGAAATTCCATGAAATTCCTACGAAAACTAACATGACCCATGGGAAATTACCGTGTCCCACCGTGGCCCACCGAGCTCTGCCTCTGTCGCCACTGGCGCAGCGACGTCGGAGCCGCCACATGCCTTGCGCTGGGCGCGGTGCTGGCGGAGAAGTCGACCGAGCCACGTCGCTGGGCGAGACATATGGCGGAGAGGACGTTTTTGGGGGTTTCACTGTCAACCATGGGGGTGTTAACCAGGGGATAGGTTATTAAATGTTATTTTAATGGGTTTATTTGTAATATAATACAATATAATAATATATATATATATATGTATAATATAATATAATATAATATAATTTAATATAATATAATATAATTTAATATAATTTAATATAATATAATATAATATTATATTATATAGTATAGTATAATATAATATAATACAATATATTATAATATATTTTGATATAATATTTAATATGATATGTTATAATATAAAATAATATAATATATTTTTAAATATTTAATATAATATATAGTAGAACATAATATAATATGATATGATATATATATATACATTATCTAGTGGGTTGTAATTACAACGCTGCAATGGTGTTTAAGGTGAAACAATCAACAAACTATTGAGGTTTGTACCTCTAAACAACTTGGATTTGCTAATGGATCGTGCTGAATTTTCCGATTGCTTCAGCCACTATTAAGGCCCCTTGAGCAAATGCATGACAATGGTGGTTTAGCCAGGGGAAAACAACAGACAAACATGTACATGCTCATGGAAATCTAGCAGTTTGTCTAGTTTGGTATGGACAATACTGGAGGGTTCATTTACGATAAACAACAGTGGAAACCTTCAACAAGGACTGGTTATTTGAAAACATGCTTTGAATGGGCTATAATCTTAGTTTAGGATTCCCAGGATTAAGGCCCCTCCAGTTTATGAATAAAGGGTACCAATTCGAACAGTAATCTATCACTATGTGTTGGTAACCACCCCAATTAATAGCTAGGGTTTATTCATGTGGGTTTCGCTTTAGATGGGATGATCAAATGGCGATTTGCAATGTAAAGGCTATATGGTAAGAGGGATGATGTTTACCTTCAACAACCGGCGGTTTAAGTTCTAAAAATGTGGGCCCTCCGGTAATCAGCCATGGCAATTGAAAATCCCTCGAAAAAAATTAGAGGTTTGCCTGGGATGATCATCTGTAAATCTGGTGGATTTCAAAATATTTCAAGACTGTGGGTTTTGATGATGAACTAACACTAACACTAACAAGCATGATGTGGATTTCAAGAATGTGGATTTCATTGAAAATCACCTGCAATGATGAACTAACACTAACAAGAATGTGGGTTTTGCTAACCAGTCGACAAACTCCATGGCATCCATCAGACTGTACCATAAAACCAACCGACCTCAATGGTGTTGCGCATCCTTAAGGGTAGGTAGTTTATATATGTTTATACGGTATAAACTGGGCATAATTAGTGCCAATATGTCCACATATTGTCTCTATATACCTGGCTAAAAAAGTAGTTTCAAACATGTGTTTGAACATCTACAGTAGCCCTTTTCCATACCCGAGGATAGTCCAAGTATTCCAGAAAAACCGATACACAAAATAGTGTCATGAGCCACTTGCTGGGATGCACACCTTACTTGGGATACCATGGGATGGTGGATACCTTGGGATACCACAATTTACTGCGTAAACCTTTGTCAATGGGAGATCTCCAGGATCCTAAAGTGGAGGTACCATATTTCTGGCCATATTTTGCTGGTGATATCCACTGAAAAATAGGCCTGAACAATAGGCCTTATATATGGTAGGTACCTCCAATAAATCGGATCCTGAAATTCCCACTTTGTGAATCATGGGGATAAGAGTTCCCCTGATCCACCGTGGCAGTGGTGGTCAAGTTGAACACGACTTTGTGACCCAAGTTTCACGAAGGACTTTTCTCTTTAAGCCCATCGTCATGTTTTCAATAAACATGGAGGTTTAAGCAATGAATAGTGGGTTGTTTGGTAGTTTAATTGTGGTTTTCCCCCAGAAAATATGTTGAGTTAACGTGAGCTCACCATAAATGACCGTAAATGGTCATATAGCTTATATATATTATATATATAGCTTATATATAGCTTATATGACTGGCTAAACCTTTGTGAATAGTAGGGATAATGGAACTTAGAAAACCATTCATCAACCAATAGCTTTCAGTTCTCGGCGTGGCCAGGCCGCGAAACTGATGAGATGGGAATTTTCCAAACCTACGGGACCTATGGGGCATTGGTTGGAGGAATATCATCTGCATGAAAGCCTTAAAAAGAGAGGACAAAAACCCATAGGTTGATCGATTTTCCCCTTGAATCCATCCATTCTGACGTCGGTCATGAAGACCGCGACCGCTAAGGTCCTACCGTAAACAGTGCAGAGAGCGAACTTCAGCTGCAGATGTTTTGGGCTGTTGGATGGCCATGGAACCTTACTTGGAGGGACAGTACCAGATATAAGGCCTATGTAAGGGCTCTGTAAGGGAATATACACACGCAATTCACACGCATATACCCACGGAATATCGCCTTATATGGTACAGTACCTCCGTTTTAGGGTCCTGAACACCCCACTGATTTGTTGATTCAAGTTTTGACTCATATCATATCAGATCCATTATGTTTATTTTCAAATCATATTTGGGATGATGACTAATAAAAAATCCTGGGGGTTGGAAACCAGCAACTAGTGTGAATGTGTGTGTGTGTCTAAATTTTGGGCTACAGCAACATCATATGGTTTTGAGATATTTTGAGAGGAACATGAAATTATGTGACTTCTGCATTGATGATGTTACATAAACAAGCTGCTTCAAAAGCAGTCCTGACTCCTTGCGGCCTATAAGCTGTCACGCGTGCGTATTGAACACCCATCAACCATGGTAGAAAGTAGGGGCTTTACACAGGTTTGGGACCCCAGTTATGGGGTGGTGTTGAACATATTAGAGGGATGGGAGTATTATCCCATCATTACTGGTTGGTGGTTTGGAACATTTTTTATTTTTCCATCTTTGGGAATAATGATCCCAACTGACGAACTCATAGTTTTCAGAGGGGTAGGTCTACCACCAACCAGTTATCATCCCTGTATTCATCATGCTTAGTTATCACAATTGTTGTTGATTAAATCCCTTTTTTTTCCGCTTGTAAAAACGCGCTATAAAACGCATGTGTATGTCCCTGTTTGAAACACCCATGGAAGCTTCAGTTCCTCTGGGATCAACCTTTTCAGGCTCCGTATGTTTTCCGGTAACCGTGGGTACCTTTGAGGTCTCACAGCATCCGGGTAACGAATGTGCAAATCCTATTAGAATCCCAATGTTTATCCTATTGGAATCTCAATAAATCCCATGTAAACCCTCTTAAAGCCTATTAGAATCCCAGACATTGTCTGCTTAAGATTCCAGTTGCGATTGGTCAGATGAGTCGAATATACATGAAATAACACCGTTCGACAAATTCTAATCCCATCATTGATGGATATTCCGCCCAACTTCGGGACTCCAAAAAGTACAGGGCTGTATCACATACCCAATTGACAGTGGTTCTCTCAGTATTGAACACGTTGACTCAGATCATTTGGCTCCCAAAAAAGTGGAGCGGCGTGTCAGAGAGGTTTTGGATTTGAATGGACCGAGTCTGAAGTGAAATAAAAAAGGGCAGCCCAAAGGGTCCACCGCTGAGGATCGCAACATCTTCTCCACGGAGAACCTGGAGAGGTTCTCGAATGTTTCCCCTCCATACTGGCCATGATTTTCATCTCTGGGAAGACCCACCCTGATACACCCTTAAAGGATGGCCTGAAGAAAGGGGATACAGGAATTCATGCCCTAATAAATCTAAGTATTCAATTTAGACCTAGTTACTATATAGATGATATTCAGATATTGAGTTACAAAGTATACTTAAGTATTCAATACTCAAAAATCACCAGTTTCCTTGGTTTATTGATGTTTATTGCAAGCAAGCTTCGCCAAATCCTCGCAGGTGCGGCTTTGGCAAGGCTTCGCACCGGCTCCGAGCTCGCTGTAAAATTCGCGGTTTTCTGGGCTGTTTTCATGGGCTCATGTGGTAAAAACAGACGTTTTTGGAACCTTTTTTGCCAGCAGAAAATGGTTGTGTTGGTATCTAAGTTGTCGAAAATCCCCAGCGAAAATGGAGAATTGACGGGGCCACCTCCTGCCACGTACCAGATCGAGGATTCACATCCAGCTTCAAATGCTCCGATGTGCATTCTGATGTTCACCCACATCATTCTATTGTATCATATTGTATCATATTGTATCATATTGTATCAAAGCAATTATTTTTCGTCAACCATGCTATTGTGGTTACAGTAGTGAAGTAATGTATGTGTTTTCTGAACATTGGCACAATCATAGCACCAACTGATGGGACAATTGTGTTTCATGTTTGGATCCCCTCTTGTAAACTAACATAGATGTGGAAAAACCCAGCATTCGTAAGTCGTTTTGGGGAAACCATCAGGTTTTTCATATCTTTTGTATGATTCCCCCAGGGGAGTAAGGGGATCCCAATGACCACATAGCAAGGTTACCTCGCATTGAATTGTGTTGAATCTGCTTATTAAACCCCCATCTAGACTCTAGACCCAGAATTGATCATAATTTCCTTATGATGGGTATATGGCAGTGTGTCAAAACCTTGTACCCCTGGTGAACATCAAAATAGCTGGTAAATGGATGTTCATCCCACTAAAAATGGTATTAATAGGTATTGATCCATACCCATATGAGTGGGCATGTATCTGTATCACCATTCAATCACCCACATCTCCAATTCCCATCTCACGTTACGCATCTCCCCCGGGAAGCTTCGCCGTTCAGAAGTCGAACTCGACGAACTCGACAGGAGTTCCAGAAAAGCTTTGCCCGAGGTTCGGATGATACGGTGGATGGTTGCGAAATCCTGCACCAGTTGATAGATGGTAAACACCATATGGTTGAAACATCCCATTATTTAAATAAATAGGTGGGTTTCAATGGTTTCAACCATAGAAACACCATTTATAGGTGGGTAAACATCCCATTATTTATAGGCTTTCAACCATACCAGGTGGTGCAGGATTTCGCAACCATCCACAGTATTTTAAGGGATAACTCGAAAAATGTGGTAATGTGGGATTTAACAAGCCTACCATAAAGCTACCATGACTGGGGATAGTTTGTTAGCCATAGAAATGGTCATGGGAACAGTTGAATAATTGTTGGGTTTACCACATTATCCCATTGAATACCAATAAAGCAACTGTTTCATGGGATATGGTCTATTAAGCATCACATTTCAGGGTACTGGTACCCTATTCTCAGACAAACTCAATAATTACCAGATTGCACATGCGTAATCAATTGAAAATCGGAGATTGTCAATCCAGTTGGTGCTTGGTCAAAGATTATTACATATAGCTAATATTGCAATATATTGCATATATTATCATATATTCCAGTCTCTGAAATATTGAAAATGGGGAGAATTACTCCAAGGAATGACAAGAATCTGGCAACACACATGAAGACATTGGATATCCAACTTCTCAGCAAGTCAAGATATACAGTGATGACTAACGACTATGTAAGCAGCAAAGGGGTACTGCAGATCAATATTGGACCCCCAGTAAAGCGCATGGTTTTATGTTAAGATGGCTACTTAATGCTAGTTACTTCCTCAGCAAAACTGATACTCACAAAGCTCACCCATTCTTAGCTCATTCATAATCATTCATGCATTAATCATCATTAATCCTTTGTTAAATTTCTTATTTTTGGCTCTCAAACATCTCAGTCACTACCTTAGTTAATTCTTCATACTTTGGACGAAATCCTGCGTTAGTAGATGGTTCATCCCGCTACTCTCCCATTATTTAGAGGCTGTTCTATCAATAGCGACGAAGTGGTGCAGGTTTTTCAAAAAGTGGATATAAACCATTAGTTATAGCATGTTAATGCATGTTATATGTAATTTTATTTTTGTTCTCCCAACTTTTTTTTAGCCATTGCTATATATATATATATATATAGCAAACCCGAAAAATATACAAGTTACACAAGTAAGTTGGTAAAATCCCACTCAACTAGTTGAACATTACGTTTCTATCCTTTTGGGGGGTACTATATAGATATATGACCTGCTATAACTATATATCATTATATCTCTATCTGACATGAACAAACATAGTTGTTGTTGTTTTTTTACCGTGGTATACCATGGCTCGATTATAATTAAGTTATGACACCATCGTTGTTTCTTTCAGTTACCATGGTTTCATGATTTATTCTGTTTATTTTGCATATTACATATATATATATATATTATTGACTTTCTAAACAACAGTGATAGGTGATATCTATAGATTTTTGTTTATCCACAGTGTTGATTGCTTCGCCGGACACCTCAGGCACCTCAAAGCCTTCATATTCATCGGAGGCAGCGACAAAACAGGATTTGTTTGTCACTGTCGGGATAACATGGGATATATGGATTAACAATGGTTAACAAGGGGATAACGAATGGTAACGAATGAACATTCTATCCGGTTCTGAGAATGTAACCCAAAGTGATAGGTATAATATGACTAATAGTGACTATAGTCTATCGTATCCCATTTATAGTAGCGATAAAACTATTGGTAAATGAACGGTTAAAACATGGAATAAACTGTCTATGAACTGAAGGACAAAGTATTGGTTATGGGAAATAGCTGGAAAAACACCTTATAGTCTATAGTTATGGTCGTTATGTGATTTGTTTATGGGATAACTGTCACTTTGGATAGCTATAGGTCACTATAAACTCATTGTTTACAACACATATGTAGTTTGTTTGTGGGACATAATCTGGGGGTCGATGAACTGAAGGATGCACCAGCAATTGTTTCGATGTATTAATCATAAACACATGGGACTTTTCAGAGAACAATGGGGATTTTGATTCCCTAAAAACGGTGATATATCAGCGTTAGATGATGGCTAAACCCCGCGGAATGTTTTTCTGCCAAGTCTCAGGAGGAATGAAGCTCTGGAGAAATTACAACGACCGAAAACGTCGCGACGGAAAACTCGAATCCCGGATGGTTGGCCTTGTTTCAGGCTGGAAAGAGTCAAGGTGCGGACAAAGGTCAGCTCCGCAAAGGATCGAAAGCTGCTGAGCATCGTGCAGCAGAACGCGGAGATGCTCAAGTTGATGTGGTTCCTTGTAACTTCATCGCAAAAAGAGTTGGATGCTCAGCCGTGGTGATGATGAGGGGATTGTATATGTACTATACAGATAACATTGGAGATATTGCTATATATATATATATATTATATATAGATCATGTATGTTTTCCATGATGTGCACTATGATATACTATAAATATATTTATATATACATAATATACACATATATACACATACAAAAAAAACACCAGAATTAGATGCAGAGGAATTCCAAACCAACAGAATTGGTTGCAGGGGAACGTAGAATCATCATAGATAGGTGCTGTTTAGGCCTCACCAAAAGCATCCCAAAATAGAGGTCCCAATGCTTGAACGGTTTTTATCGTTATAGATGACATATGATGGCATGGGATTCTCCAATTTGAATCAACGGTGCTAAACGTAGGGAATGGATGGGTTGCTGGGGGTTGCTGGGATGATGAAATTGATAGCTAGCCAGTGGATCATTCCCGAAAATTCCCTATGTCTAGCACAAGTAAGTCAATCTCATTGCCACTTGGAGGACCTTAGGGTCAAACCCAGTGGTGAAATCCGTCCAATGTTCGTGGACCAAATCGAGCCAACCACCTGGCATTGGCGATCATTTTTTGCCACAGCCAATTATTTCCACCTACATCCATTATCATTGTTATATGAGTTATAATCCATTATTATCAATTATAATCCATTATTATCAATTATTATCCAATTATGATCCATTATAATCCATTATGATCCATTATAAATTATAATTCATACTCAACTCAAAGAGATTTCATCTTTTCAGCAACTTCTCCCTGCCAAGCCATTGACACCGCTGCGGGAAAGCTCGGCAGGGTTCATGGCATGGATATCCTTCGCGCTGGAACGACGAGTCACGACCTTGGCCTCAACACTGGGTCCAGCTGGGGCTGCGGCTGGCATTTTTAGTGTGGAAATATCACGCCATCCCCCATGCCATGGGTCGCAAAGATGTGTATTTTTTTCAAATCTCAACAGTCTTAACAATCTGTTTGTGTAACCAGTGGTTCTCGCTCAAGTTCAGCAACAACTGACTTTCAGAAGTTGCAAGAACAAGCATGGAGATGTTGTAGATACCAGTAGCGTATGGGATGGCTACCTAGGGGCATCAACGGATTGTTTTCATGGATGCGGATGGGCGGATGGTCACCCCAGTTCCTGCAAATGGCACACATCCCAGGCACCCAATAGTTGTGAAATTGTTTTTTTTTCAAACAAAAACACCCAAAAAACGGCAATGATTTATCAACTATAACTGGTTGGTGGTTTCAAGCAGTTTCTATTTTCCATAATATATGGGATAATCCTTCCCATTGACTAATATGTTTCAAGATGGTTAAAACCACCAACCAGATACCCTCTGGTAAACTAACATAACTATGGAAAATCACCATTTATAGTGGATTTTCCCATGAAAAAATGGTGATTTTCCATAGTTATGTTAGTTTACCAGAGGGTAATGATACCAACATCTTCCCAGAATGGCCATCCGTCATGGTCCTGTAGAGTTTCTCTGTCATCGATGTGTCATCAATGTGCAGAGATAGACATTAGACATTAAGAGTCGACCTGTAGAAAGGGTCTTTTGAAAACATATATCAATATATTATATTGTAATATATATATATATATATATCATATCTCCACTGAAGTTACCATTTTTGAATAATCATTGAAATAATCAGCTTTTGAATCATCCATTGAATCAGACTTGAATCCATCTTCCAGGTGCAGCGATGATTGATGCTGGCAAAAACAAGGACAGCGCTTTCTTCGTGACAGCGCCATGGTGAATTCTGCGTTGTGTTCCTCTGTTTTCCAGCTCCAATGTGGCCAAGATAGCCAAGTCACATTGATTGGCCAACTTCGAAGAAGATATAGCCTCATTGTGACTTGGCAAAAAATACCATTATACCCTCCATCTATACCATTGTTTGATTGAAATGATATCATACCACCCAAAAACCATCCATCTATACCCCCATGATACTATACGGATGATATCCCCAATCTGTGGTGCACCACGTTCCATCCACTTCCTCTGGCCAGGATCTGGCAGAGACATGGTCCAGCTGGGGACTCAGGATCTTCCGAAGATTCGATGGTTCTTCGACATGGGGGATTTGTCATCTACAAAAAGTGAAGATTTGATCTTGAAGATTTAATAGATCTTAATGACAATTTACTAGATCTGAATGAGGATTTCATAGATCTTAATGATGATTTGATAGATCTTAATATAACTAATAGAACAAAAAAACCTTAAGATTAGATAGATCTTGAGTAAGTTTTAATATAACTGACAAACACTTACGATTTGATAGATTCTCATAGTGATTTCATGATGAAAACATGTATTTGGCCAATGACAAGTGGTAAACAATTTTGTCTGACACATGGATTATATGAGGATTTAACGAACAAACGCATGGATTGAATAGTGATTGAACCATCCAAATAAATGAGATGTAACCCTCTGTCTGAACATGAATAATTTAACACATATGGCAAGTCAAAGTGGGGAATGATGATGAAGTAACCATCAATTTGTTTTAGGTACCCCACTCTCAGACAACCCAAGTGTCGCCCAGCTTTGAAGTGGGGGTTCAAGCAACTAGCTGTCAGTAACTCGCTAAATGAGTTTCATATGGTTGATGTTGAATGATTGTTCAATCAACCAAATAATATATAATTGCGTCATATTGTGCCTTAGCTGGTCCTCTTCGACCAGCTCAGAAAGCACAGGGCTTAAGGCTGGAAGCCCAGCCTTTCGTCGCAACAGATCTGCTGAAGAAACCCAGTTTGGTGGTGCCAACTTGTTCAAACCATTCCAACTCTTGCTGCATCCAGACAGGGTCAGATAGGATTTGGATCCCTCATCTATAGTTACTATAGTTCAGTATCAGGATTTATTTATTTATTACTTATTTAATTCAGTTTCAGTTCAGTATCCCTCATTTAATATTTATTTATCTTTACTAAAATCTATTGCCATCATCGAGTGGCCCCCCACAAACTGTTTTGGTGTAGATGATGACCTTGGAACACGCTACTCTCTGGCGACAGGGACGCTTTCTACTAGGGGAATCTACTCTTCATGGCGGATCAAACCCTCCACCCCCTCTGAACTTCAGATCACTTCCAGCACGGTCAAACGTGGGGTTTGCAGCGAACATGTTTAAACTTATGTGTGGGGCTGGTTTGAACATGTTCCAGGTGAGCGATGGAGGAAATAAAAACGGAAGAGCGAAACAGAATCTCTTGGAATTCGTTTGTTCTTCTTGACGAATCTCGAGGAAATTGATGAAACTCATCAACCTTTGCATGTCCATTCAGACGGCGTCATCAATCATAGAGGATTTGTTTAAACATATTTAAACATGTGCTTAAAAGTGTTTGAACATGTTTAGACAGATTCGCTAGGGTCCTTTACTACTCTGGATTATATAGTTTAAACGTTTTCGGTTTCAACATCCTTGAAACAAACAAAAAAATGGACCGTTAAATATGTTTAAATCAACCCTAGGCCAAACCCTGATGCACATTAACAAATCTTAAGGGCATTTGTGTGATTGTAGATGTTCTGGCACAGATGATGGGTCTTGATTTGATTTACCGAAACTGATTATTGCAAAACAGGCACCATCAAATACCGTTCCTTCGCCATGGATTGGTCCTACTTCTTCGGTGATAAAAATGGTTACCGTCCCTTTCAAACTTCAGTTATGTAAACAGATAAGACATGATAAATTAAATGATAAGACATACCTAAAACTTCAGACATGTTTTTTTAATTCGATGACTTGACTTTGATGCTTTTGGTCTACGACTGTTGCACATTTCCCATGTTCCCGTCACATGACGCCTTTAAAAAAGGGGTGGTTCCACCTGACCGCCCCTCAGAACCGGAACAAGATGATCCCGATGCAGAGGCCAAGGAGCGACTTCGACTGCAGAGGCTCCATGGCGTTTCGTGGGGATTTCAGCATCGATGAGAATTTGTATGGAATTTGTGGTTGATTTATGATGGATAGGATCCATATGGATCCATGGTGCTGCTATATATGGTGCTGCTATATATATATATATATATCCCATGAATATACCCCTTAAATGGATGTTAGCTTTTTTTACCAGCACCATGGATCCGTCATGGGTGATGGATTGGATGATTGATAGGTTTTTGAATTGGGTTATGATAAGTTGAGAAGATCCATAGGTATATGATTGAATGATATTGAATGTTATCATCCAACAAAAAATATCAAAAAATCAACGTAAACCAACATACCTGGGCGGGCACCACAAATCGTGGCAATCATTCAAAGTCATTCAAATCCTCCATTGATCTCCATTTATTTCGTAGATTGTTGAGGACACTGGAGGCTCGACCAGTATCCCCTTTTCAATGTTGGCTATATGCCGAGTATGTCTTGCCGTACTTGTATCCCCGTTGTATTTCTTTATCGGAGCTGCTCGTTCTGGCTACGCGAGGCTGGTTGATGCCTTGAGAGCCAAGCGGAGAAGAGAGCAAGGTGTGAGGATTTTTCGGCCTAATTTCATCCAATTCCATAAACCTCTATTGAGGATGTTTTTTGGCATTGGGTTTACCACATGAGAGTCCATTTTTTGCTAAATGTTTAGTATGTGAAAGGTAACCTGCAATAATTTTCACAGTGCTAGGTTCAGCCGCCGAGGGGTCTGAAGTTACAATCAATAGTTAATAGTTGTTTAACCATCGAACATCAGGATAATCATCATGTGGTTAATGGCACCAGTTGTGAGCAGGGATGTGTCTCCGGTAGCTTGTGAGAACTGAGAAGAATCGGGATATGCCGAATGTCGAGGTGTATATCCGATACAATGTGGTTCGAACCAATCAGAAACAATTCAGTTATTTCACTGCAATCGTTGGTATAAACAAAATATAAACAAATATAAACATATATAAACCTCTAATATAAACCCTCCGAATTATTTGAGGTGTATGGCAATGGGATTACCTCATTAACAAAATGTCCTTTCAATTTCCTTGATGGTCTCGCTGATATTGATCTCTAGCCTCCACCAATATCATCGAATATGGCCATGACCCAGGATCCGATTTATTGGAGCTACCGATTCCATATATCTTTGGCCTATTTTTCAGGCCGAACTTTCAGGGGATATACACTCAATTCATATGGCCAGAAATATGGTACGTTTATGTTCTGTACCTATTTTAGGATCCTGAAATTACCATTGAGAATATAAATCCTACTAACGAAGAACTTTAAGTATGATGATAGTGATGATAGTGAGAATATAAATCCTACTTTGGAACATTATATATTTTTTTCAGAGGGGTTGGTCAACCACCAACCAGATTTGAACATGTGGAAAAACCCTTTGGATCATCCCCCGCCCCGCTCCACCATCGTTCATCGGTTGGACCGATGACTTGGATACCCCAAGAAACATCGTTAACAAAAAATGAATCGAAACCGACAACCATGTTTTTTAAGCCTCAAAGATAGGAGTTTCCTGCAGATCGTCCTGGATTTGTAGTGGGTTCATGTCCAACATTTGCAAAATTGATATCGAACTATCCGAGCCTGTGTACCGCTAGCGAAGTTAGTGTTTGAGTAATGACAAATTGTAAGACACCTAGTTATTTACTCACTTTGGGACCTTTGTTCGTGTCCTTGCATTGTTAGTGTCCTTCAATTCAAGGAATTATCATGACCTAGGTCATTATCTATGATTTTCTATGGCTTTACACTATGGTTATAGCTCTAAATCCATCCATAGTTCAATTCAATTCGGATCAAATCATGACCTTTCCGGGCTCAGCCCAGCAGGCGAGGACTTGGAGATTGACCTTGCTTCGGAGGCAACAGGAAGTGCAGCAGGCGAGGACAAAACGATGATGGCATCGGCGTTGTTTATCCCGTGGATTTAGGTACCACATATGGAGTGTATAATATATACATATATGGTTTGAGATCATAATTAGTGTAAACCATGAAAAGTGCTGAAACATGGAAGATCCTGAAATTATGTTGCAATATGTTGTATAGTTTCGTTACTAGCCGATGTCATCAAACATGGTTGGGAAATTCCAGAACTCAATGCGGCATTTCCCAGCTAGCCATATTTGATTACTAGAGGACATCTGATATTTTGCTACTTTGATGCATCATATTGATGGATATTGATGGTCATTTCAGAGTGGATCAAAAGCCTATGAAATACTCAATGCTGGGGATTTTTTAGAGGATCTTCAATGCAGCCAGGGTTTCGACACAGCCATTACACCAGCAGTCCAGTGTTGCTTTCACGGTTACCCTCTGGTAAACTAACATAGCTATTGAAAATGACCATTTATAGTGGATTTTCCCATGAAAAATGGTGATTTTCCATAGTTATGTTAGTTTACCAGAGGGTAAAACATGTGAGTTCCCCGGCCCCTACAAGAAAAGTTTGGGAATTCAACCAGAAAGCATGGAGATTATCTCCCACCGAGGTGGGGATTGGGGGATGAAAAACCAGAAAGCAGTGATTTCCCAATGTTCTAAGAATGGTTTAGGCTTTACGAACCAGCAACATAGCAATGAACTATGGCCCATTTATAGATGGATATAGATGGTTTACCTATTAAACATTGTGATTTTCAATTAGTTTAGCAACAATAATGTTTATGAGGGCGTATTATGTAACCATCCATGGTTGGGGGGGGTCACCCAAAAGGGAGTGGCAATTGAATTCCCATGAATAAAGTATATATAATATATATATATATATTCCTTTATTCCTTCTGGTTATGTAGCGATTTGCCATGGAAAATCAGCATTTTCAATGAGGGAAATCATCAATACATCATCTATAAATGCGCCATGTTCATCCATGTTCCATAAGTTCCATAGCTATATGAATTAGCCTCTGGTAAACTAATTGAGAATCACCATTTTGAATAGCTAAACATAGCTAAACCATCTATTTCTATGGGCCATAGTCCCTAGTAAAGTCCATAGCTATGTCCGTTTACTGGAGGGTAATCAGAGGGTCATCACCTGGGCAGGAACTTCAGAGCCAACCAGCCCCACGGCGGCAGCTCTCAAGGACTCGGTCGACTCGGTTGGGGAAGCCGATGCCGGAGGCATCGGTGATCGTAGGGTGATAGGCCGCTTGAGAAAGTAGGGAACTATAGCCATAGTTTTTTAAGACTTCTATCATCTTCTATCTCAACTTGTTTGGAGTTGTTGTGGTTATACCATGTTATACCATGTTATACCCACTCATAAGACTGCACCCCGGTGATAAGAATTTCTATTCAATAGAAGGTTAAGGAACCCGATCCACCCCGGGAATCAGCAGATGTCCGACCCCTCAGAGGAGCATGTCACCCTTGCCCAGGGCCGTATTCAGGGGTAGCTCTGCTGGAACGAGACAATCAAAAACTAGCAGCTAGCAGTTTTTTGAGGATATCATAATATACATATATGATATATACATATATACATATATATATACATCTATATATATATATAAAATTACATATAGTGACTCCAAAAAAGATAAGAAAGAACAATCCCACCGAACTAGTGACAACTTGGCTGCCACTCTCCTCCAGGAAAATGATTGGCAGAAGATGGTGGAACAACTTCTGAGAGCCTTGGTCGCATCGACCAGTTTTCTGTTTTTTTTTTTGCGGGTGGATGTTGGTCCCGACTCATCTTTTTTTCATACCTTATAGTGTATATATATATATATACCTGTGATACATATTAACAAACAGATATACCAGGTATGTCATTTATACATACACATGACACATGCTACTACATGCTAAGAAACATACTTTAGATGACGTGTATATTATATATATATGTGCATTATCTATGCATACAACTATATATATATATATTAGTATGTACATATCAACTACAATAAATATGTATGCATAAGTCATTGTAAATCCACATGCAGACTAGAACCCTGTATCTACTTGTCTAAGCATACATAATATATATATATATATGTGTCTATTGCTATATGTGTATAATAATATATTATATATTAAATCATGTACATACAAAGCCTTCCTTATCTGTGCTTTGACTGTTAATTGTTTGTTACACAACTCGAATTCACCAAGTGGTTGCCATTCAAGTGGCGCGGTTCACACATCGCTCAGCTGTCACAACAAACAAACTCCTGGCTCGGCACTTTTTCTCCAACTTCACGTAGCCACCAGCGGGGGGTACCCCAATTATCTATGATCCAAAGTTGCTGATGATCAATGGCATTAATGGGAAAACTCAGGAAAAGCGATGGTAGTTTGGGGTACCCATATTTTAGGAAACCTCCACTTGCTACTAATTGCTTTCAAATAAAAGGTGGCTACAAGGCTCGAATTCCTTGCGATTATGACGCTGGTGATAAACCAGCCAAGATATTCTGCACTTGGGGATGAACGCCTCTTGTGCCCTATTTGGATGGTTCATTAAAAACTATTCACATCCAGCATCATCCAGCTATTTTTGTGTGTGATTAGATTTTGATGATTTTGACCCACCATAAACATATCGGGTTGATGATGAACCGGACGCTATATGAATCATAATCATATGATGGAACATAAACACACAGAATACTCACAATACATCACAATGCAATATGTTTGACACATGTCTATCATCCAGATAATACTGTTCTTGATAGTAGGTTAATAATCCCTATGAACTAGTTCGATATACTCAGGGCACGGGAGGGGCAGGAAGGACTCTGCGGCACGGCGGTGGGTCGTGGTGGCATGGCCAATGCTGATAAAATCATGTTTTTGTTGATGCAATTGAGAATCAAATATGAGAACATATAGATTAATTTCCCAGTTATATACTGACTATATATATAAATGATCATATGTGGGTAGCTATGTGTTTTATATATGTTATCTTATATATATGTTACATACATTATATATATATATATTATTATATTATATTATATTATATTATATTATACTATATTATATTATATTATATATCTTATATTATATATTATGTTATATTATATTATATTATGTTATATTTTATTATATTCTATTATATTATATTATATTATATTATAGTTATATTATGTATATATTATATATATATATGTATTATATTATCTATTAAACTATCTATATATATATCTACAGGTTGCGAGGCACTGACCCTCCAAGGTTTTTCCTTAGATACGGCGTACGGCGTACGTCCCAGGAAGTTATGAATTCTTCAAGCCACTGGAGGCCACGGCACGATGTCATGGAGATGTTGTGGAAGCCTACATGGATAATATGGGATACTAATGGGATACTAATGGGATACTAATGGGATACTAATGGGATACTAATGGGATACTAATGGGATACTAATGGGATACTAATGGGATACTAATGGGATACTGGTGGGATATGAATCAATCTATATATCAACAATCAATAATCTTAATCATAATATCATAATCAACAATAATCAATTATACTAATGGATATAGATATATATATATATCAATAATCAACATCTCAATCTATATAAATTAGTTCACATATTTTTTTGAATGGGATACTGTATCTGAATGGGGGCCAATGATTATTCGTGAAATTAAGATTTTCAAGATCTATTTTTATGACATCCCAACTGCTACATAGACATTCACAAAATGGGGTGTCAAAATGCATGATTCTTGCATGTCAGACATGGATGTTCTTTTGTCAAGATGCCTCAGCCCTCCTTCACTACAGCCGGAGTGTTTTTCCTTTAAACATGGCACGCATTTTTGGTCCCACCCCCTGGATGGTAAAGAAAAAACAGCATTCTCCTCGAGAAAATGCATGTTTTCTTTTGCATGTTAGCCACGCTTTTTGAACATCTAGCAACACGCATTTTGGGCCTGTGCCCCTGGAAGCTGAAAAAATGTATTTTCCTCGAGAAAATTCATTTTTTTCCATGTTGCCATCTGGATTCCGTAAATTTTTGGGGAAATCTGGCAACATGCATTATTGAGTCCATTCCACATGCATTTTTGAAACTGCGATTTTCGCATGCATGTTGGAACATGCATTTTCCCATCTGGAACATGCATGTTGGGTTTATGGTACCCTGCCTGGATGGGAAATTATAAATCTATTTACCCTCGGGTAATCATACGGAACAATGTGGAAAACTGATGGTGAAACAGTTCGGAAAATGATCTACATTCATTGGTGGTTTCCCAAAAATGGCAATTTTCACCCTAAGGGGAGTTAAACATCGGATTTTGATGGAATCTACCCTCTGGTAATTTAACATAGCTACTGAAAATGGCCATTTATAGTGAGTTTTCCCATTAAAAATGGTGATTTTCCATAGCTATGTTAGTTTACCAGAGGGTAACTCACAAAATGGGAGGAGCTGGGAATTTAACCGTTTAACCATCAAAGATTTGTGAAAAGGTGCCGTTCGCCCTCCGTTCGCCCACGCCCCAATTTGAGGCCCCATGATACCCTCTGGTAAACTAACATAACTATGGGAAATCACCATTTTTAATGGGAAATCTCACTATAAATGGCCATTTTCAATAGCTATGTTAGTTTACCAGAGGGTATATGATGCAACAACATGTCTTTTGAATACAACGAATTTACCAAGACATATGACGGACCATGGTCTGTGATTGGCCATGGCTGTGCGGTTTAGGAGAACAAAAAAACATCACGCTTACCAAGGACCTGAAACCCAAATGAAAATACCTAGCGCTGATGAAAAGGATTCATTTATTCTCTGGCTATTTAACAGAGCTATGGAGAATGACCCATTCAAAATGATTTATGATGATTTACCTATTAAAGACATGGTAAATTTCCACAGTTACGTTAAATAACAAAAATTATACAAAAATGTTTTACAACCTCCAGTAATTCAACACTTTGACGACCTGAAGCCAGACCAATGTTTGTGAAAAGAAATCTTCCAACTTCCGGTTCAGATGGTATTTTTTAATGAACCCCTGTTCCTTGGAAATTCTGCTTGGGAGATGTTCCATGTTTATACAGCGGTGACCCTTTACGGGATGTTTAAAGTATATAAATCAAACAGGCAAAATCATCTAGAAAGGCGGGGAATTTTCAACTGCCAGGATTATGTGTTAAGAAACGGTGTGATACTTGCTGAAGATATAGTTGATACTAACAAAACAAACAAAATCTGTGGATAGCTGGGTCCACCCCATTTGAGGTATTTAAATGTATTTTTTCATATGCGGTGGGCGGTGGGGTATAATATTGCCCCGCTCTTGGGCGTATGTATCATCCACCAATTATTTATATATATATTTATCTATATGTAATGTCTAATTATATATAATTTTATTTATATATATATATACACGTACATAAATGGTGGATAGGATCATGCAAATATATACCACATAATGCTTGGTCTGGTCCCCTCCTGGAGGATCCAAAAAGTCTCCCATCTTCCACTCCAGGCTTTATCGCCGGGTTTAGTGCATCGATTGGCGAAGGAGGCGACGCCGCCAGCGGAAAGTGAAGGTTAAGCTAAGGTCAATTCCCGTAGATGTCATGATCTACAACTGGTGGATTTTCCACATCTATAGGTTATTGTTGGGTATCAATACTGGAAATGGTATGAAATGGTGTATGTCTGACTGGCACATGTATGATACTGGTGCTGACTGGCACATGGGAATTGCAGCTCCAAAATCCTCTTACATTGGCTTTATTTATATATATATATGGTAGGTACCTTCAATTTAGGTACCTGGAATGGCCATTGATGGCAATGCAGGAGGCCCAACTGTGCTCCCAACTGTCCCGGGGATGATCCCAAGTTCTGAACCGCTTAACGAAGCTTCAGCCGAGGATATGATTGGGGAAAAGATCATATAGTATATAAGTATATTACAGTATACATTACAATAAATAAATATATATATATATGAAGATACTTTAGTAATATACAGAACCTGATATTTTGTATGATTTAATGTAACTTAATATCATTAAAAATAATTTACATATATATATATATGCACACATATATGTAATTCTATGTATATATGTATATATTTCACATAATGTCTTTATGTGTGTATATATATATACACAATGAAACGCCAACTTTGAACCTTTGATCAGTGGCAATGGGACAAACAACTATCCGTGGTACCATGTTTCAACCAATATCCATGTTTTCAACAACAAATTCCACACCATTTTTTTCGCACTTTGGTTTCAACAACTATCCATGTTTGATTTGCATTACAGCAAAGAGTTTAGTATATCCACATGTCAATGTGTTCTTACCATCATGTCAGTAAACCCAATTCTTTAAACAAACCCAAAGTTATCACAAATGTAATGGGTGGTATGTTTTAACTATCTCCAGTCATGGTAGTTGTTTGTGGCAGCCAGGGTTGCTCAAATGATTTAGCCAGATCCATATAGTCCTTAATAATCCCTATAATCATTGGTATCCATTAGATAATGATGCATAATTTTGAAATCTTACCATGGACCATATTAAGCCATTCATTGCTAAAAAAGCCATTGTAATAAGTAATTACCATGATTACTAAAAAGAAAGCACATTGCAATCAGCAAGAATTCATAAATTTCCCTTCAAAAACATTGTAATTACATGTGGGTATGGGTCAAAATTAGGTACCCCAATAATTGGATGGTTAATACTAAACTAGACTAACATCTGTGGTCCCGTAGGTCTTCCATTTTGACCCACATCCATATGTTGTCATAATAAATCATTACAAGGTGGTGCCCCCCAGTTATAAGTTGGTTAACAAAAGCCCATTAACTATAGATATATCACCTATAAACCATAGTAATTACCAGGATTCCTCAATTGCGACATGTCTTTTCACCGCTGAGTTTTTTAGGTGATCTACCAGGAGGTTCCTGCGGAGGTGCCGCGATGGAAGAAATGGGAAGTGATCGTTGGTTTAGAGTGGATTTGTGATATTTTTGTTCAGTTAAGGTTCACTAAATGGTTTATGATATGTATATATATATATATATTACATATATGTATGCATAATATACATGATATATATATAGTATCTATATATATACATAGTATATATATATATACAATACATATATATATATACATTACATATATATATATATGCATAATATACACAATATATATATACAGAGTATCTGTATGTATATAAATATATATATATACATAGTATATATATACAATACATATATATATACACATTACATATATATATGCATAATATACACAATATATATATATATCTACATTATATGTATATATATATATACACATAATATATATATATATATACACATAATATATATATATATATACATAGTATATATATATATATACATAATATATATATATATATACATAATATATATATATATATATACATAATATATATATACATAATATATATATATACATAATATATATATATATATAATTTATTTATATCTACATATGCAATGTGAATACATAATATATATATATATATATACATAATGATAATAATTGTGATTATTATTGTCAAATTTTATTATGTATATATTCAATTCGGCTTATAAACCAGCTCAGAACTGGGAAGAGAACCAACATGGAACATGGAATTTTGATCATAAGCCAATTTGTGTGAGGACGTTTGGAAATTGTCAAAATCTATCTTCTATATTGGTATTGGTATTAGATGAGCCATATTTTATGTTTTTTTTTAATGGTATATGAAACAATCATGTTCGGATGGTAGAAGGGTCTCCCCGGGTTTTCCCAGGGAATCGCAGCTGACCACAAGATGGGGGGAAAACATCTCCAACCTTGGATATGTAGTTTAATCATGTTTAAATTTTCAGTTTTGAATGAACATTAATTTAATGATCGGAAATGGGTTGAAAACTCATTCATTTCAGGTGAGTCTTGTTGCTGTAAGTAGAACGTAACCATAACCAACAAGATATTATTTGTTTGCGGACTAGCAAAGATTGACCATAAGATATTCGAGTGATGGTAGAAAAAACAATTGGTCACTGTTGTTTTTTCACCAGTGACTGAGAGGATGTCTTCTTTTTGAACCAATAGATGAATGTAGAGCCAGTAATCCAAATCCCCCAAAACGAGCCTCCGAGCCTCGACATGCGCGGGATTTTCCAAAACTGGGCTATCTGTGGCAACAAGAAAGGCAAAGCCACTGGGATCACATCACCAATCCCTGCTTGAGGGTTGCTGCTGGGCATACCTTGCTGGATGCTGGTGTTCATCTTGGCACCTCCAACAGGGGCAGTGGGACGAGCGTCAGTGCAGCGATCTAACCTGTGCTGTGAGCCACCAGCTTCGAGGCTCCCCCGACTCTGAAAAAATCTACTGTTGATGCTGTTATTGGTATCATCCATAGCCCATAGCGATTCTGATATTAATATGTGTGCTGTGGATTAGACATATTAATTCAATGTAATTTGTTCATTAATATTGATCTATGTTATTGCTTTAACCAACCCGGATGATAATTACAAGGTGGTGTTCCCCAGTTATAAGTTTGTTTCTAACCCACATTAACTAGCAGCTAGTTCGATCTATCTACCATATACCCAATCCTCAACCTATTTTGTTCAATGCATTTAAGTTATGATAAACAAACATCAACGCAATAGCAACTATAATCAAAATGGCTAATAATCAAGAATGCTAGGATATTTGCAGTACTCATGAGGGATTAAAAAAGAGAAACAATCACCATAGAATCCCTCAGTAGTTCCTATGAGATCACCATACTGGGGATGTTTTTCATTGGCAAGTGGAATTTTATGGGTACTGTACCCTCTGGTAATGACTAACAGTCTGCTATTGAACATGGCCAGTTTGTTCGTGCAATTATATATTAAACAAATGGTGTCCATTTCGCGTACCATCTGCTTATGACTAACAGTTCGCCATGGAAAATCACCATTTTTGAGTTCGGTGAACCATCTATTTCAATGGGCCATCGAAAAACCATGGCAAAGCGTTAGTACCAGATGGTCAATCCCCAGTTATAAGTTGGTTAACAAAAGCACCAGTAACTAGTTCTTTCTATAAGATGTTATTTGCGTACCATAAACCATAGTGACATTGGATAAGTACCATATTATTTTTCCATCTGGTTGGGAATGTCATCATCCCAACTGACGAAGTCATATTTTTCAGAGGGATAGGTCAACCACCAACCATAGTGAAACCATAGTGACATTGGATAAGTACCATAAACCATAGTTATTGGATAAGTACCATAAACCAGTTCGTGACATTGGAGTTCTGTAGTCCCCAACTGAACGCTTTCTCGTGGCCCCAACGGGCGACTATCCAGGAGATGATCTTCCGGCAGACCGATCCGCCGGACGGCTGTGCCTTGGTGGAAAGTGACGAACGACACCGAGACTTTCCAGGGAAAGTCACCCGAAAAAAACAGGGAAACCCAGCAGATTTGATAGGTAAATCACCATGAATACATGGAAAATCAACATTTTTAATGGGAAAATCCACTATTTCTATGGGCATTTTCAATAGCTATGTTAAATTACCAGAGGGTACATTTTGCCGGGAACATGTAGAGAATGCATGGAGATTAAACATCGATTTATCAATCTGACCCGAAAAAATGGCGATTGAGCAACTCCAATCTTGGACTTTGTTATGAAATATGATAAAATTATATGTTTTGAATAAAAAACCTGGGAGTGTACCGGCAAAACTGGTTGTATTTTCCGTTCCCATGGTACAGAACCAAGAACGGCAGAGTTTGTACTGAATTTTCTGCAGCACGTATTTCAATATTCAAGTCTGGCACACAACTGAGGCCCCAAATTGGAATAGTTTTCTCCAGCAAAACGATTTGACCAAAGCTACATGAATAATCACATCCTGGGTAAGTTCAACAATTTATGCTGTCCAACCTTGTGGTTGTGGTGTTTCTGAAGTACCCAATGATGAGGGTGTCCCATTGTTTCATATTGTTTCCACTGTGTTTCGGGATGTTCAACAGGATCCCGATGTGGAAAATACCAACCATTTCTATCCATTTCTAGACGATTTTCCCGGGGCTTCCCCATGGTTTTCCACATCTATGTGAATTTACCCAAGGATACCATTCCAGTTGTTTGGGAATCCTGTCGGAGGGGATGGCCTCAATAGTGCAACAGTGCTGCTCCACGGGTTTTTGTCCATGCCTTGTTCGGGGATTTCCCAGCCATGTTTTGACACCGGTATGTCACGGTATGTCAGTAAATATCCCAGTAAACATCCCATGATTCATCATTATTGACCATCGTTGAGCCATTATTAACCATCAAGTTCGAACTTAGCGCCCGTCTCAGCGTCCGCCGTGCCTAGGCTGGGTGATTTTGAGCGGTTGCGTTGGGGTGTATCTCTTCAAACATAGCGAGCTGATGGATGAGGAAGCACCCACTCCACGTGACGAATACGACCCTTCGGACACTTGGGAAATACCCGGCAGGAGATGTAACTGGTTGGATTAAACATGTCGATATTTCAAGGGTATTATAATGTTAGTAAAGCAATAAAACACGACCCATATTTTGATGGTTTATCTGTTTATAGATTTTATAGCACCCATTTATGGTCAGATCGCGGATGGCTTATGATTGTTTTACCAAAATTAGAGGGTGAATAGAGAATATAAGGTATACAGGTTTGAAATGGTCCTTCCCAGTTGCTTGGAGGGATAGGACAAAGTTGGGATACAAAGAGAACCAGCTATAGATTTGTTAAGCCTTTGAGATAGATGCAGATATCTATAATTATTTGTCATAAACAACAGTTATAAATTACACACTGTAGACCCTTATCTTCCACGACCTAGTTAAACTAGGCCTTCTCGAAAGACCTAGTTAAACTAGGTCCTCGACCTAGTCTTACTTTTAAAGTAAAACTAGGGCCCTAGACTTGGTGTCAAGTATGGCCATGTCCTGATGAAACGTCTTTTTCAGCTGATCAACAATCATTAAAACATCCGTATGAATACTGCATGCTGCAGCATGAAAAAAACCGACTGTATAGGGATCATGGGCTGGAGACATGACGAGATATGTAAATGGTGTTTTAGGGACATCATCACATCCTTGAAAAAAATCCTTCCAGACCTCACTCATCAAAGTTTTAGAAACCGCACTTCAGCCGGATTAGCAAAATGAAACCGAACTAAAAACAACAAGCAAATCATCAAATTGTGGCTGAAATTATTTAAGAATGGCCAAGACCTCCCATCAACATCATGATTGTTTAACAAAATGAAGTGCAGCGATTCTCATATTGATCCCCTTCAACATTACCTCTGATGGAGTACTAGTAAAAAGAAATGTTGCCTGCTACTTGTCAGTGTGCAACCGGTTTGAAGGATGGCCGCTGTAAGCGCGCGTGTCCGATATTTGCTTGATCTGAAATTGTAGTTGGTGGTCTTAAAATCATGTCTTCATGGTTTCCGCGGAAATTGTAACAAAAATGCACGAGCAACGCAACACCCAAAAATGTGAAAAGACCGTCAACAACTCGTGAAAAGGCCGTGACAAACACGTGAAAAGGCCGTGAAAAACTTCCACATGTGGATACATCTCCTGTTTGGGCATTCTGGAGCGGGATTCCATATTTTCACCTGTGAATGTGCAATCAAATTGATGTGCATGTTGCGCATTTGAGTTTATTCAGAGCCTCCGTGGACTCAGGTTCATGTTCATTCCTTTTCAGCCAGCGGTTCAACTTTTTAATTCCTCCTAATTGGAGCTGAAATGGCCCCTGCTATAGTAATATCCCCGAGAAAGGTAAGGAAACAGCTCGTATAGCAGCAAGCAAGTTAAAGGATCCCCAGAACTCACCGAGAGATTAGCTTTACAGACTTGACAAGGATGGATCTTTTCGCCGGCTGTGGGTTTTGCCAGTTTCACTTTGCCAATGTGTGAGGTATGAATAGTGCACGTTTTGCTGGAGCTAGCACGAAAAAAGCAAGCCAACCATGGCATGACAATGCCATAAAATGGCCGTGGAATAAAACATATGTTTTGAGTATCTTTGAGTCAAGTAAGTGTGTTCTTTGCTTGGACGTGCCATTTTTTTTGTCCCTTGGAAGCCATAGTAGTATAGTTCAAATATACATGGTTGGAAGCTGCTGTAGATTGTGTGGTCCATGGGCTGGGAGAAGCGACCCTCAAAAACTGGGTATGAGCAAAACAGGCTCTCGAAGTAAAACAGGGTCTTACTTGAAAGACCTAGTTTCCTGCGTCCTTTGGAAGAACTGGGAGAAATAATAATAATAATATTAATAATAATGATAAAGATATATATATATATATATATTAAACAATAATAGTCACAAACATCCCGTCGGGGGGAAAACCGCGCCAGCGGTTGTGAGCGTTTTGACCAAAAATGTCGTTTTCACCATAGTGAAACTATTGGTTCATTCTACAAAATAGGCTTAAAATTCCCCGGGAATTTGAAGCGCATTTTTGATGATGTCCTGTAATTTACAGGGAATTTGCTCTTGAAAACGCGCGCGATGTTTTCCTCCTCTCACATCGCCATGCGCTTCTTCAAAGAGCGACCAGTGACCTCCAAAAGTTTTTTTGATTTGGAGTTCATGTTTCGCATCAGTTTTGGGTTCACATGGCTGTTGACTCTGGTCTCAAGACTACATGGTATGGCCGATTTTATGCAACATAGCACTCTGATTGTATGAACAGCAAATCACAACATGAAGCTTAGCGTCGACAGGTTACTAGGTCTTGTTCCTGTTTTGCATCTGTATCAACATCTGTGTGCATCCTACAATTATGATGCCAGCAAGGGGAAACCCAGACGTGACGTAGCATGTGCATGTGACGCAAGTTAACATGAACCTTAACACACCCCAACCCCCCAACCCAAGACGTGACGTAGCATGTGCATGTGACGCAAGTTAACATGAACGTTAACACACCCCATCCCCCCAGCCCAAGACGTGACGTAGCATGTGCATTTGACGCAAGTTAACATGAACGTTAACACCCCCCACCCCACCCAACCCAAGACGTGATGTGGCATGTGCATGCGACGCAAGTTAACATGAACGTTTAACACCCCCCCCCCAACCCAAGACGTGACGTAGCATGCGCATGTGACGCAAGTTAACATGAACGTTAACACCCCCCACCCTCCAACCCAAGACGTGACGTAGCATGTGCATGTGACGCAAGTTACATGAAAGTTAACAAACCCATCCCCCCCAACCCAAGACGTGACGTAGCATGTGCATTTGACGCAAGTTAAATGAACGTTAACACCCCCCACCCCACCCAACCCAGACGTGACGTAGCATGTGCATGTGACGCAAGTTAACATGAACCTTAACACACCCCAACCCCCCAACCCAAGACGTGACGTAGCATGTGCATGTGACGCAAGTTAACATGAACGTTAACACACCCCATCCCCCCAACCCAAGACGTGACGTAGCATGTGCATTTGACGCAAGTTAACATGAACGTTAACACCCCCCACCCCACCCAACCCAAGACGTGACGTGGCATGTGCATGCGACGCAAGTTAACATGAACCTTAACACCCCCCACTCCACCCGACCCAGTAACATATGCGTGTTTTCAAAAACGTGCACGAGTACTGGCGCGGTTTTCTTCCCGCTGGCACAAAATAATACTAGTACAAGCAACAATAATAATAATGATAAGATTTATAAATAGAATAATTAAATAAATAATCATATATATATTATAAATACCTGAACTTTCGTTTGGTACAGAAAAAAGTGTACAATGCTTCGTTCGATACACTTTTTGTAAAGTCGAGCTCTATTTGGGGAGCCCCCTAAAATCGAGCAGTTTTTTCAAACGAGCACTTTTTTTCCATAAAATGTTGGTTTGAATATTCTGTAGTAAAATGTTCACGATATGTATGTTCATGCATGTTACCTCTCATAATGCCCACTCCCCGGCTAGAGGAGGCTGATATATTTTTTATGAAGCCGAAACCATGCATGCGCATTCATACACGCATGTCATTCACGCATGATGTTTTAACGACCTTTTGTTCCTGCCTAGTGCAGGACGAAGACATCAGCCAAGTGCTGTCATCTCTGGCAGCTCTGGCCCCGAGCCAGGACCAAACACATGCATAGCACATGCACCCATTGCCCATTCATGCATGCATGCCTGCATTCCTGCATGCATACCCCCAGGATCGTGTGTCCAATATCCCCGAAAAAGAGCGGATCCTCAAAGTGCAAGCGAAGAAAAGGTTGGAGTTTGCATGCATGAACCCTTTTTGTTTTTTTTCATGCATACGTGGTATTAGCATTTTCCTGTTTGCCTTTCAGGCCGATTCAAGGGGTGGAGAAACCGAAAGACCTGCAGCAGCCTGAACCCTCACAACCCTCCAGGTCGTCAAGGCCTCCAGAGCCAAAGTACCCACCCCGCCCATCGGCAAAGCAAGCAAAACGCACTCCTCCAGCACCACCAAAGCCGCCAGTTCTCCCAAAGCCCTGGTGGTCGCCGCCCCCGCCACCAGCTGTGAAACCTATTGTGGGTGCAAAAGCACCAGCGGCGAAATCGACCCCAATGGACCTAGGGTCAGTGCCAAAATTCATACACCCTGAAGAAATTTGAGCTGAAGACGTTCAAATGTCTTCGTGTTTTGGCTTGAAATCATGCATGTTTGTGCACGCATGCATGACCATGTTTATATTTGAAGATATATATGTGGCATCTCAACTTCACTCTGACTTGTGTTGGGGCTGCTGAACCTAGGCTTCAATGTTGGCCAGGGGGGTGTGGAAAGGCCCATGACACCACTGTGCTATGTCAGTGGATGCTGTCAGTTGTGTCGCAACTCCGAGATGGCCATGATTCTGAGCTCAAAAACGCGCATGAATGGAAGCAAACAGTCGATTTTGCTGTCTCAGTTTTGTTTTGCCATGCTTTAACATCAAACCCCACGCTCAGAAAGCTCCTGCTGATGGTCTGGCACTTTACGCTGGACGTTGCAAGCTGTGGATCGGTATTTCACGACTTTAGGAACAAGAAGGCTTTGGCTACTGAGAAGCCAGGCTGTTACATGTGTTCGGAGCTGCCAACAGTTCACAGAAACATGGCAGCATGCAAGCCAAGCTATGAGCGGTGCTTTGTGTACAAGCGCGTCCATGCATGCACATGACATGTGCTTGTGTACTTAGGAGGGCATCAGTGCTCTCAACAACTTCTGTGTTTCCCGTTCCTGGAAACTTTACAAGACCAAGCCGAAATTGCACATGCAACAAGAAATACAGTGCCTGTGGCAGCCAAGTTTGTTTCACCTTTGGACCAACCACTTACTCAGTTTACTTGCTGAATTGCCTCAGCCTAGGGAGTTCATCAATAACCAAATCAAAAGTGGCGCCGAATATGCGTTCAACCCGAACCGTTGCTTGCCTGTGAATTTTTATCGGTATCTATGCATGTGTGTGTGTCCGTTGCTGACAGCCAGGTTTTGCAACATGGCAAGACGAAGACTGGATAGGAAGGGTGCCTTGGCATGCGTGCATGCATGTTTGAAACCCCTATGCATTTTCATGTGGTTGATGCAAACGCCTGTGCTTGTGAATGCTTTACATCCCTTTACACATCTTTGCGTCCATCTTAGGTTTGCTGGGTAAGCCGGCGCGGTCATGCATTTGGCATAGCAATCAGAACAACAACACGTTGTCTTAGCCATTACAGGCGACTATGGACCAAAAAAAAATGGCTTCGCTGAAAAAGAAATGTGCAGTATGGGTCTTTGTGTGGCAGCATGTGTGCCTATGTTGAACCCTGGTTACCTCGAGCGCTTTTTTTTGGGGACCTAGGAAACGAGCAGAAAACATAGAAACGAGCAAAAAAAAAGCGAGCACTTTTTTTTGCTCAATTTGAGGCTTCCGGTATAGATAGACATGTATATAACCGACCACTTGCAAAATTTTATTGTATAAAGATCCCCCTTGGAATTTCCTTTACAGAATTGAGAACGTTGGCCAGGAAAATGGTGCATTTTAACCCCCTGACTTAATAAGGGGTACCTACCCAACGTCAACGCTTACAATTTTATAGAGGACCTTGGGGCCTCTGATTCTATAGAGATTTCATGTTGAATGCAGCACTGAGGACTAGTCAGCAGAGAGTCTTAGGGACTGCGATTCTACAGTGGGATATGTTCTCTTTGGATGTATGTCATGTTCTTCAATTTTATAGAGAAGTATTGGCAGAACCAATTTCCCACAACAATTCTTTGATCATCCTTGATCATCCTTGATCATCCTTGATCATCTTGTATATTTGGAATCATTTGGAATCTTGACATATTTTTGGAAACTTTTGGATACTTTTGGGATATATTGGAGATTTGTTGGAGATCCATCATCAGGGTTTCATCAGTTATCATCAATTATATTCAGCAAATATGTACAATTTTGACATTTCAATATCTTACAAAAGCAGCTTTTTCTGGTTTACAAACTATAAAAGTGACATTTTTCATTTTGCATCATTTTCCCATTGTGTCTCCCCGTTGTGTTTCCCCGTTGTGTTTCCCCTTTCTTTCTCCCCGTTGTGTCTCCCCAGTATGTCTCACCGTTTTTGGGTCGAAGTCCTGAGACGGCCTTTCCGCCTTTCCGCTAAAAAAGAGCAAACGGATGGAAACAAAATGAAACAAAACGAAACAGAGCGATTTTCAAGATCTTTCAGGCATTTTTCACCAGTCTATAAAATTGAAGGGGTTGGCAGTGAACACTTGGAGCCTTTGGGCTCTATAAAATTGAAGTGCATAAGGCAAGATGGGCAAGAGCAACTAGAGTATTCAGGTCAGTTGTCAATAAAGAAGGGTTGGGGAGCCTGATTTTATATTTTATAGAAGGCCAACTAACCCCCCCAACCATCTACGAAAGTGACTTGGCGGCATCGATTCTATAGAGATTGTCAACTTGAAAATACCTTGGGGTCTCTGATTCTATAGATGCATTTTCGGAAAGGGGGGTCATGTCCTCCTGATTTATCACTATAAAATTGTCAACACCAACCCTTTCACTTAATACAAAGGGGGATGTATAAAGATGTTCTTTCATTGTTTCTCGCGTCAGATTTTCGTTAGACTTGTCGTCGGGTGCCTTGTGGCAAAACGTTTTGCCACAAGATTTTGCCACAAAAAATGTCAAAATTTCATCCAAATTTTCGTCGAAAATTCATCAAACTTGAGTTGAAGCAACGAAATTTTTGACGAAATTTTCACGATCATTTTTGTGTGGCAAGAGGTTTGGCAAAATAGATTGCTATGAAAGCTCCAACGAATCTTCAACGACCCCTATTGCAAATCATGAGCAGTACCGTCACAATATATATAGTACTATATATTAAGCTACTACGATACAGATTCGATAGTCCTGCAACAACTTAGAACTCGGGCCCGCTTTGGCAGCCCTTGTCAAGGTGGTGGCCCCTCTAAGTTGGTTGCTTGTACCTATGTTTTGAACATATTCGGTGACTATTGGTCTTTGACCTTCTTCGCAGAGTAGATTGTCACTTTGGGAACACAGATTCAATCATTCCCCGCATTTTTTGAGTGTATGGTTGCTGGGTCACATCACTATTTTGTCATATTTTGTCCCATTTCAGGAAATCACCCATGTGTGCGTTTATGTGCGATGATCTGTTGGTCAAACCCCCATGTTGAACGCCAGACTTGCAGCAGCTTTGTTGCTGGTTACATGCCAAGTTTTGCTGATTACATCATGCGAGACACCGAGTTGTGTCAACTCCCCTGTTTTTTGCCGAGGAGTTTCGAGTTCGCATGTGTAAAAATTTCCGATTCACATCATTCTGCTTAAGTGAAATCTACAATTTTGGTTTGATCCACCAAAATTCAATGTGTGTGCTCGTAAAGTTCTATTTTTGAATGGTTCGATCCAACATTTCTGGTGCCAAAATCTATCTAATTCATTCAAATTTTGGTGCTTCACGTCTATTTTGTTCGGCTTTACCCAGGGCATTGTGAAACATCCACTTAACATATCCCATCAAATTATCCTACTTCAAACATCTTCAAACTATAAGTTTTCCCAAGACATGTTCCAAAATATTTTTCCCAATATCCACATGTTTTCCCCCTAATGTTGTATCCTGATTAGTGTGTACCCCCCTGTCCTAAACAATACCTATACTCTCTTGAAACTTGTGCGCCAAAAAAATGTTCCCCAGGAAAGGAAAAACGCAATGAAGTAAGGATTTCAAGTGGCTACAATTGAAATCTAACTAAAACTTATTTTGCCGATGAACTTGTGATATTTGTAGTACTTGTAGTACTCCAAGAGTACCTTGTAGTACTTGTAGTACCTTGTAGTGAGTGGGGTTCAGCATGTTGATTGCGTTACCTTTTCCACCTTAAGCTGTTTATTCAAAGTGTGCTAAGGGAAAAAAAGAGAAAGAGAAAGGGAAAGAGAGAAAGATAAAGAGAAAGAGAAAGACGAAGAGGAAGAAGAAAAGAAACAGGAAGAGGAAGAGGAAGAGGAACAGAGAGAGAGAGAGAAAGAAAGAGGAAGAGGAAGGGGAACAGGAAGATAAAGAGCAAAACATTTGTAAAATGTTTTTCTTTCTTCTCTCGGCTCTAGGATCAGCTCTGGAAAAGTTTGCTGCAATTGTGAACCCCGAGAGCAAACCTACTAAAGTTAAGTGGACCCTCTCATGGCCCAGTGCCTTGGAAATTTGTGGAAAAATTGTTCTTTAACTGTTCAATAAGGGTTTAATAGTTGGTCTGATTCTTTTTGGAAAGGCTTGGACTTTGAACTTGGCAATTGCTTTTGTAAAAGGTTTTACTTTCTTGGCTCCAGGATCAGCTTTGGAAAAAAAACGCTGCAACTGTGAAACCTGAGAACAGACCTACTAAAGTGAACTGGACCCTCTCATGGCCAGGTGCCTTGGAAATTTGTTCCTTAATAAGGGTTTTATAAGCGGTCTGATTCTTTTGGGACAGGGAGACAAGGAATAATTTTTCAGAAAAACAAAGTTCAGATTGTTTACACGAACATGTTTTTTGACTAAAAACATTGCACCCCCAAGATTTCTTGCCACAATAGCGAACCTGCCAAACAGCGCATGGGTTCATAATAAGTTGTTTTATTTGGCACAATAGCGAACCTAGCTACTAATCAGGATACAAAATGAAAATCCACTTGAACAATATAGTAAGCACATATTTTCCCGACATGTTTCTCCATCTTTTCCCAGATCCTGTGAGTTTTTCCATGCAAAAAAAATAACAACGACTGTACCCTCTCGTAATTTAACGTAGCTATTCTGAAAATGGCCCGTTTATAGTTGATTTACCTATTAAAGATGGTGATTTTCCAGTTCGCTGTTTCTATGTTTACCGGGAAAGCCGAGGAATTCCAGACGTTGAAAGAGGAGAAGGAACGGATGAGGCAACGGGGCGCCTTGCGCACGCAGCGCACGGCAAAGGACCTGGCGGATCTGTTGATCGGTGCCTTGGCTGGAGCGGGGATGGGCAGTGACGGTTTCATCCCCATGGGTTATAGTTACCATTAAATATACAAGGGGAGGCCCCCAAACGATAGCTAAGTTGGTTTATAACTAGGTGAATTCTATGGTTTATGGTAGGTATAACTATAGTTGCGGGGGGGGGATTATAAACCAGCTTACAACTAGGGGCCCCCCGCATTGTAGACATGATAATTTAACCAACAAAGGGATTGTACCAACTGGATTTATAGGGATAATTTTATGGGATTGTTCCAACTAATTATAATACCTATAGGATGATTTAATACGAAATAGGGGATTGTACCAACGAATTTCCCATTTATGCTAAATATGATCAACTGCAGCGGAACCGTTAGATAAGAACCGATCAAGAATTTTCCAGCCTACCCTGGGATTCTTTAGTGCTATAGGTGGAAAACATGGGAATTATGAACGAGGGTACCCTCAAGTTTTTGACGGGTTAGTTCTTAAGGGGTTCAGACGGTGAGGGCTTTGCAAATTCTTAGTAATTAATTTCCCAATTTAGAATCATGTGGCAATAGTGCCTCCAGAGACAGCTCTGCAAGCAGCGAAGCGCGAAGAAGAACCATGCCAGGGATTGAAAGTTCATTTTGGCGTGGTATTAGGTTGCAAAGGAGGTGGGGAGGGGAAGAAAAAAAACAATTACTGTAGGTCCCGATGCTTTTTTAATTAACGGGCCCAAAATAAGGTCTGGTGGTTCGAGCCGAAACTTGAGCCAAAGGCTATGGACGACGTTTTAGATATTGCTGGTGTCATGACCTTCACCAAGCACAACAGGTTTTTGCATCTGAACCGTGATCCCCATGTGGAGTACAACTGTTGCAGCATCTTACAAGTGATTGCAGCCGACAAGACCGCCTAATCGTATAAAGTCAGCTTCGCCTTGTTGCCGACCTGGGCCAAGCAACAGTAGAAGCCAGCCGCGCCATCTCAGCCGGCAACTACAACACCCAGATCTGCTCCACCTTTTGCGAAGGGTGGTCGAAAAAGGTGAAAGCCGTTTCAGCTCTTATCACTACAAAGGCAAGACAAAAGGGAAGCAGCGCTTTGAACAGCGCATCCCTAAAGATATCCAAGATGCAGGTGGGACAGCTCAGGCTGTTGTGTTTAGAATTCTTCACCGTGTTGGGGTTCGAATCTCTGTGGCGCTGGCGACTTGCTTGCTTCTTGCATGCTTGCTTCTTGCCTTCATATATATATAATATATACATAATACATATATATATATATATATCAATAATCAATGTTTGGTATATTGATACCCGTTAAAAACCTGTGGCTAGAATTCCCGGGTACCCTAGGGTTCTTATTTCAACTAGCTGACAGAAAGGGTTGAATCCAGCAATCCAGCCCCTGAAGTTGTTATTGGATTAGGTTCTTAAACGGTGGTTTCACTGTAGTTGGTACGGTAGTAGATAGGATGATTCGTATATAAACTGTTTTTTGCTCTTGATTGGTTATCGACTTAATCATTAATAATAGGGGGGTCTGTGTGGATATAGTTGATAAATGATGGTTGATTGGTGGTTGTGAAATAGGGAGTTTTACTACCTGGGTTAGCGGTTATGAATTAGCCCTTTTTGGTGATTTAGTTAGTTTTTAGCTAGTAGTTAAAGTCGTGAGTTTTTTGTCATAGTTATTCATTAGTTGTAGTTAGTCATTACTTATAGGTCTTGAATCTGGCCAACAACAAGAACTCACAATTCCCAAAAAAACTGAAACTGTTTAATTTCTTTATTGCTCCCTTTTTCAAAAATGCAAACAAAAACATGCCCGCTGAACCACCTTGGAACCACAAAAGACAATGATATACGCCCCTTAACAAAGTCACACATCTTTTGTGTGAATTTGGGGGTGCATACACTCAGTTCTTAACCTTATTTAACCTTGAAAATCCCCTCAAAAGTAAATTACTTGATGTTTTTTCTCTCAGCACTTTTGAAACAGCAATTCCTTTAGCTGAACCAGACAACCTCATAATGGCGGGCCATCCAAAATAAAAAATGAAATAATCTAAATCCATTTGCCCTTACTTGTTTCTGGTTCAGCTGAAGCATTTGAACACTTTCCTTTTCAAAGTTGGACCTCTTTGAAGCTGGCCTGAAAACATTGAAAGCTCAAAATGAAGTAAGCAATTAGTTCAGCAGTACTTGTTTTTAAAACATGTATGTGTGTTCAATTAGGTTGTTTTTTGGCAATTCTGAAAGGGGCCCAACCTGACAAATATGTATTCGTTTTCAATTCGGCAATTGGCGGGGTCCTTGATTGGGCGATTTGTTCGGCAATACTCATTGTCCAGAGTCCCCAAAAGTATGCCTGGCCTTAATTGTAATGTTGGTTCCTGATTAGTGTGAGGTCCCCCCCTCTAAACAATATCTGGACTCTCTCTAAAGTGGAAAGTCAAAAAAATTCTTCCCAAGAGAAAAACAAATCCTCACTTAAGTAAGGATTTCAATTGGCTACAATTAGTACTTGTAGTACTTGTAGTACCTGTAGTTTTTTGAGAAAAAAATCTGCCTCTCAGCAATTACAGCTTGTTTTTTTCAAAAAAAAAAGCTCTCCCATTTTTTGCCACAAAATTGAACCCTCCAAACAATACATGGGTTTCAGAATAATTTGGAAAAATTGCCACAATAGCGAACCTAGCTACTAATCAGAGACCGACATTATTTGGATGCAAAGTATGTTTGAGGGGTGGGTTTAATAATTAGATATGGCCAATTATTATAAAGGTATATGTACAGATACATATATACTTTTGCCTAGATACACGGGTTTGTCTCAACATGATACCCAAAACCCCAATTTTACATGAAGAACAAAACAATAAACGATGGAACGAATGGGGTTCCGATTTTTCGGTTCTATCTTGGGTTCTGAGTCGACGTGCTGCGATGTCACCACCACCATTTTGAAATTATCAATCGTTGTTCAACTGGCGGTTTTGGTTAACCCACAATGACGTGATCAAAAAAAAAGGAATAATGATGATGTTTTTCCCCTATGAACACTGCCACAAATTGGGGTGGTCAAGCCCCCCATTTTCATACCAATTTTAACCGTAATTTATACACCCGGTATCCCGCGGAGGCAATGCCACTGAAAAGGAAACTAAAGTTCCAAAGTCCTCGAAGAGTGCTGCAGCCAAAGGTCTCTTGCCATTGGCTGCTGGGGTTGGGCACATAAGGACGACTAGTCTGACAGATGTTGGAATTTCAACATAGCTCTGGAGCATACCCAAAGTCACTCTAGAAATGAAAGGAATCCTTCCGTCAGTATCCATAAACTATATTAATATATATTAATCATGTTCTCAGATAAACCGCATATTTATAGATGTCTTCACATTAACACCTCCATTTCTAGTGGATTTTCCATTTCCATGTTTGATTGCTTGGGAGTACGTCTGGAAAGAAGTTCTTGAATCTACAGGTTCTGTAGTTAAGACTGTACGATGCTTGGCTCAGAATTGCAGCACGTCGAGGCTAAGCCAATCACGGAATGCCAACATGTTTGAGTTTCTTAGGATTTTGACCGCAAACATTCACTACTTTCTCAACCAAGAAGTCGAAGGTCCAGCATTTGAAGTGTTTTTACTATAGGTTCCTAGTCGTGATTTGCATAGTTTGCTTTCAAGGTATTTCAGCAATTTCGAATCCTTTTTTAGAAAACCGTGCCTTTTAGTTCAGTGGTGATAAAACATCAACTTCCATAGCGTGCCGTAGCTCGCGCCTTCAATAGGTTCCATCGAAGGGTGGGCCAAACAAGACGAAGAAGAACCGCGCTACAAGAGTGCCACGGGACGCGACGGGCGTTGTTTTGAGGTGTGGCAACAAAAATCCCAGGAAAACAGGGTTATGATATGGCACTCTGATGAACCATGATACACAAACCAAAAAAACTATGGTTTATCTGAACATTCAGGGATAGTATATATATATATATGTACATATCCCATAAATCCAATGTTGTATTATCATGATCACTCAAAAAAAAACATGATCAGAGACACCATGCGTTCTTTTCAGCGCCCGGGAAAACCACCTCGGAAAGCTGATCCCAGAACGAGCCCTTTTTGTTGGCAAACATGATGTTTAAACCAATTATGTGTTTTATATTTATTATACATATATATGTTTAAACAGATATATGTTAGAACTTAGTCATACCTCTTAATCATTTCTTAGGAAAAAATGGTGAACATATCTCATTATTTCCCAAATGCGAACCATGGTGCTGGAATATGAACCCCAACAGCCCAACAGCCCATTTCATCACTCAGTTTTGTAGGTCAAGTCCACGCCTGCGAAACTGGTGCGGCTTCGTTGTTATGATTCAATGGATTGGGAAAAAAGGAAAATCTTAACCGGAAACCATAGATTTTCCCACTAAATATGGGGTTTTCCTGTAAATTGTCCCTTAAACCAATCCATTGAATGATATGTTCTGTATATACAGCGTATACTGGACACGGATTTTTCAGCAATTGTCACGAACAAGCCCAAAAAAATCAGATGGTTTATCATCATCGCTTCCATTGAAATTGATTTCTGCATGGTAAATCTCAGCATTTCTGGAGAGCTCCTGCCGTGCCATCCGTTTCATCCAGGCATTGAAGGTTTTAGCCGCTTGGAAGCCGATGGCCGATGATGTAGGTACTTCAACGTATTTGGCTTACAGGTCATCAACTATTACCAGTAATTCAATAGGATGCCACAAATTGGCCATAGCATTTCAAACATCAATGATAATCTAATAATCCCAATATCTGATATATCTGGTTAACAATAGAATACCAGTAGTACCGCACAAGGTGGTGGCGGAAGTTTCAAAAACAGGAAACCTATAGGAGAGGTTAGTTGTTGTGAATCGCGGATGGCAGAGCGAATCCGCTGATGGACCGAAGGGTGGTTGAAGCTGTGTTTTTTGGAGTGGTTGCAATGGTGGCAGAGGTCAGGTCACCCGCAACTGCTGGATGTAGTGCGGTGTAGCGCAGCTGTAGTTGCAGTTGTAGTGTGGTGTAGTGGAGTTGTAGTTGTAGCTGTGGTGTGGTGTAATTAGTGTAGTGTATTGTGTTGTACTGTAGTGTTGCCTACTGTTGTGTGGTTTAGTGTAGTGTAGTCTAGTGTAGTGCAAGGTAATGTAGTTGTAGTTGTAGCGTGGTGTAGTGTAATTAGTGTAGCGTTGCGTAGGGCAATGTAGTGTTAGCTACAATTTTAGTTGCAGCTGCAGTTGTTGTTGTTGTTGTTGCTGCAGCTGTAGCGTAATGTAATGTAATTAGTGTAGCGTAGTAGTGTTATGTAATGTAGTGTAGTTGTAGTTGCATTGGCATTTGTAGCTGTAATGTACTGCAGTGTAATTAGCGCAGTGTAGTGTAATGTGGTGTAGTTGATGTTGTTGTTGCAGCTGTGGTAGTAGTAGTTGTGTAGTTGTAGTGTAATTGGTGTTGTTAGTGTAGTGTAATGTAGCGTAGTTTATTTGTGTTTGTAGTTGTAGTTGTGGTTGTAGTGTAGTGTAATGTAGTGTAGTGGTAGTTGTCGTTGTAGTTGTCTATCAATCTATCTATCTGTCTATCTGCAATCTGCAAGCTTGAAAACGAAGCAATTCTGCGAGATTTCCTCAACTTTTGAACTTGATAACGCCAAAAAGGAAGCAATCCTGCGAGACTCCTCAATTTTTGAAGTTGGCAATATGAAAAACGAAGCAAGTTTGCAAGACGTCCTCAAGTTTTGACGTTGGCAACAGCAAAAACGAAGCAATTCTGCGAGACTTCCTTCAATAATGGAAAGTTGAATGCAGAGCTGACGGCCTCGTGCCAATGCGTTTTGCATGTTTGTCCAGCCCATGTCTCTGAAGTATTGCGCCTGCCACGAAAAAGATCGAAAAAGCGATGTCAGGTCATACGAAGTGCTGCACCTGTCACGCAAAATCATCTTCCCAAAACTAACGATCTGATGCTCCAAAATGCAACCCTCTCAGGAAATCAGCGCCCGGACCTCCTAACATCTCTGATGAACATGTCTCTTGTACTGCGCCTGCCACGCGACATTGCATCTTTCCAGATCCCCTTCAAATGTCCCACGCTTGCCATCGTTTTTGGGAACGCTACAAAACCCTCACGCTTTCCTCACTTTTGATACAGTGCACAATCCCTTGCGCCTGCCACGCGAAACGACAACTGAACGCCCAAAAGTGGTCCAAACATGTGGTGTTTTTAACATTTTGACTTGGCGATGTGCTTCGCGCCGCAACGGGGTGCACTTTTTCGACATCTCAACTTCCAAAAGTGGTGTGTTTTGTGCATTTTGACTTGGAAATGTGCTTCGCGCCGCAACGGCGTGCAGCCACATGGCTCCGCACCCGCCGCTTTAGCAAGCCTACTTTTTGACCCTCCGGAGCCACAAATCATTGGAAAAAACACAGTGTTTCGCGACTTTTCTAACTTTTTTTGCGCACCTGCATCTTCTTTCTTCTCACTCTTTCTCTTCTCTGATCTTCTCTCTTCGGCTCTTCTCCTCTCTGACACTCTCCCCGCCTCTGCTTTTCCATCTGTTCATGCTGTCGGAAGTGTGACTTCTAAACTTCCTTCGATAAAAAAAATATGTGTATATATATATATATACACATTTCATATTATAGATATATATGTATATATAGTTACTTGCATATATATTTTTATATAGTTATATACATATATATTTTTCCTGGTCACGATACTTCTAGAGACTCTGATCGTTTCAGCTGGACTTTTGCGGTTTTAGCATCTTGTGTGGTTTCTTGACCGGGGCATGATTGCCGCTCAATCCCATTGTGGTTTCGTATCTCCTTTAAGTTGACTACAATGGAACAGACATGCCCCCAGCTGCTGACTTATCACCACGTTAAAATGAATTCATTGGAGACACAGCCCAAACTGGTTGCGGTTCCTAAAATGTTTGCTCACTTCCATTCACTTCCTCCCTGGTTTTTGCTTCCCATTTTTGCCAGTCTCATTACCGTGGCCATGGTATTTCCCGGTTTTTTTTTGTGCGGGAGCATTTGCTGCAAGAATTCATCCCTAAAACTATGGGGTTCAATGTGTTTCAATACTAAAATGGATGATTTGGGGGTACCCCTATTTCAGGAAACCTCCACATCCCAACTCATGGGTCTTATTCCACCATGGTTAAGTTTTACCCCAGTAGTAAACCCAACTGAACCACCATGGTATCACCATGCTGGTTGTATGTCCCGTTCCCGGCCCGTCATATCCCAATTATTAGTCCAACAGCGGTTCCTTCGCATCATTCCATTTCATACATCCCATTAAATTACTGTATAATGTTTTTCTGGTAAAATTAAAAGAATTGATGGTAAATATAGAGGTCATACCCCCAGTCGTCAGCCCAACTGCACCCGTTTAAAACAGAGCTGAGGTACGTGGTCATTCCAGTCAGTTCTGGGGGTCGAAGTTGCGAAGCTGGGCGCTGGAAGAATCTTTGGTGAGCTGGTCTCTTGACTCATTTTGACCCAGTTCTTTGGAGATATCTGAAATGTTTTTGGTCAATGTGAACTGGTAAAATGCATGTTATTTTCCAGTCCTTATGACATTAAGGACTGGTAGAATAAGGACTGGTATATCTTTGATCAATAATGTTCTATTTTCCAGTCATTCTAGATATTCAGGTACAACCTTTGGTAAATAATGGACTATAATGACTATAATCAACGAGGCGGATCTAGCCAATCATCCTCCGATCCAAAATTGGGTGACGTTTGGTTGAAGCTTGGTTGGGTAGCGGATCATATCCGGCATCAAACCGTCATTATAAACATGGTTTTTGGATGTGTTTTTTTTGTTTGGCCATGTTCGCCCTCTCTAGTTTAACCGTTTACTGTAATGCTTTATTTGTTATGGGGGAGTATGCATACCGAGCTCATGGCAGGCGATCAAAAATGAGCCACTTCAGTTAACTTCAGTTGGTAATGAATCTGTTCGCTAAACTCTTTTCGTTTGGTTTTAAACCAGCCTTGGGTCCATGTTTACCCTGCCAAGCTTCTCCTCAGACACCATCAGCATCCAGAGGCTTTGCAAACCAATCATGCCAGAGCAGCCAGCATCAAATGCTTGGAAGATACCGCCTTTCTGCGGATCCCCTATGCGACCTATCAGGCACCACCTTGGGACGTGGTTGTTATTTGGTGTTCATGAAGCCTTCTTGGTGTCTTCGCTTCTTCTTCTTGGATTACTTGGTGTGAAAAACGTCGTGGTTGTTTCGTTGTGGGTATTGCCAGTTTGGTTGCTGGAGATCTGACTTGATCAGAAGAAATCCAACATATATAATCATACATATTTACATACATATATATATATATACAGACATCATAATGATAGTAATAATAATGAATATTTAATGAATACTTAATACTAATAATTCATAATTCACAATAATAATAGTAATAATAAATAATAATACTTAGGAATAAATCCAATAATAAATCATTATAATTATACTTATATATATATAAATATATATATATGTTCATTCAAATAATTCATGGACCCAATATATTTATTTTTTTAGATCCATCCCCGAGAACGTTCTTCCGGTCCGGCGTTTTTTGGTCCACGGCAGGCGGTTGTAAAGGACATCTTTGAAGGTTTGCGGCTAAAACAGGAGCCTGGGCTTGTGACTTGGGGAATTGAGTACTTTCTTCGGATTTTCTATGTGGACCACTTGGTGAATCTTGAAGGATTCATGGGAGAGGTCCCTCAAAATGGGAAGTCAAAATGAGGATTATATTCCTCTAAAATATCATTTTACTATCCAATCAAATGTGTATATGTCAAGTTTTGAACGGCTGCATTTCCAGATACACGAAGTGAAACAGGCAGGTGGAATGGCTAATCGCCACCAAGACTTGGAGGATCATCACAGTGAGAAAGTAATGTGGCTAATACCCTCTGGTAAACATACAAAAAACTACGGAACACCACCATCTTTTATGTGTAAATCAACTATTTATATGGCCATGTTCAAAAGCTATATTAGTTCTATAAATGGCCATGTTCAACAGCAAACTGTTAGTTTACCGGAGGGCAACCATAGGTAGTTCACCCATGATGTGATAGTTAAGAACCCTACCATTGACTCCCCAGAATGGCCCGTTTAATTTCAGCCCGAAAACAGTTGCCATTAGCATGAGGCAAAGCCAACAATAAACCATGATGTCAACCCCGGATTGATAAACCATGGTTTATTAATTAGGGGGGTACTCCTCCAATAGTCATTTCATCCAATACTTTTTTATGGTATCCCCCCAATTAGTCACAGCCGTGTTTACGAGCTTTAAATTCATCCAGGGTTGACATTACTAGTCTTAACCAACCAGTTGGGATGATGAAAAATCATCCCAGGACTCGAATTTCAGTATCTAAAAATGGCACTGGGTTTACCTCTGGCATCTGTAAAAATCCAGGAAAAATCACATAAATTATATTTTTTTGACACAACTATGGAAAATCGTAATTTGAATCTGGTTGGTAAATCATCTCTTTCTATGGGCCATTTTCAACAGCAAACTGTAACAAATTACCAGAGGGTCGCAGCCTGGGAAAAAAAACATGCCCCCCCCGAAATTGCTGCAGAAATGGGCACACCAATACACCAAAAATGCATCAACATGTAGCAATATGAAAATATCACATAGTCCCACTGATATTCCGTTCATATTCCATGAATACCCCATTATAATATATATATATATATATTATATGTATATGTATAAACATGTTTCTACCTTAATAATTAATAGAAAACATTTTTCTACCTTAGCCCCTGGCCCTTGCGCACAGCCCTGTATATTATATTCATGATATACCCATTCAATTGGAATATTACTATGAATATTCAAAGTATGTATATATATATATGCACATATTGAATATTATATTCCCATAGGATCCATGTATGCTATATATGGTAACATGGATCCCATCAATATACCCCAGTCATGTTAGCATATATACCAGCACCATGGATCCTATGGGATTATATGTTATATTCATCATATACCGATTAATATTCCCACATTGGATTGCGGCAGACGATCTCAAGAGCCAGCAACGGCCTGGAAAGACCCCCCGTGGGGATCTTGGTAAACCTGGTAACTCGTCCCGTGTCTGTTTCGGTGCATAGAACATTTCCATGGAATTTTCATCATCAATCATCAATAATGGAAAATAATTGTTGAAGTTTTATGTATTTGTTTATGTTTAGCCAGGTCTGTGTTATATTTCTCTTTGGATTCGAAATCAACGATTTTCCTCAGAACTCATCCAGTCTAAGGCCCTTAAAAACCACCAGGCAAAAACACCAAGCAAAAACCCGCGTTTTTGAGTTCTATGATTTGCCCCAAAAAAATATCCATGATCCCCCATTTTGTTCAAGGATTTCCCACAGCTTTTCCGATCATTTTCCCAGATTTTTCCCATTTCTTGAGTGAAAACCATGGGAAAATCTATGGAAATGGGAAGATCTATGGAACATCTATGGAAAAAACATTTGTTTTTTAGGGGATTTCCCAGGCATTTCCACGTGGAAAACCTTTGACAGTGCCCAGGAATGCACCCGCATTCTACAGGGTTGTGCCTTCTTCCGTGTCCCTTGGCCGCCCAAAACATGGGGGGACGGAGGGGGGAGTTTAGTGTCAGGGGGAAGGGATTAGAGGCGTTTTCACAACGACAATTGTTGATCTAACACTGATATACTGACACAAGTTGACATAATTGTGTCCATATGCCCACTTGTGAAGTGGAACTGCACCGCCAAATGTGCTACCACCGAAAACGTGACTTCAACAACTTTGACGAGTTGAGACCTGCAATCAGGAAGCGAGCCTAACAAGAGAGTTCAGAAAATAGGCGACCATGTATGTTCAGATATGTCAAGATAATTTCAAGATACTGTGGATGGTTGCGAATTCCTGCACTAGTTGGTAACTAATATTGGCAACTAATGAAACACAACATAGCACAACTGGATTTCTACCATCTACCAACTGGTGCAGGATTTATGAAGGATGGACCCCACCTTTGGAAGATGGAAGAAGTTGTTCCACATTCACCATGACCATTCAAAGAATTCAACGTCATATATTTTCCATGGTGGCTGAAGCACGAAACAGGGTGAGAACTTGTGAGAACCATATTTGGTTTGGTTGCATCCCCAGTTCTTCTTGTTTTTAAATAGTTAACACTTGGTTGATGAACTATTGATTATTGTTGCTTATCATAGGGGATCCTTGCCTCCATTGGTTCAACTTTCGATCATGATTAGAAGCACCAGTTCTCAACATTACTCAACATTACTACCCGATATTTGTGGTTTTATTTATTCTCATTGTATATTTTGGCTTAAGCCAACTCCAAATGGTTCGTTACACCCCCATGTTCATCAAACTACTTGAATCCCAATTTCTATGCTTTCTCATGGTGCAAAAATTACTTGAATCATCTCTTCATCCCAATTTCTCTTCAAAATACATTGCAAAACCATTCAAAACCCCCATGTTTGCACCATTACCCTCTGGTTATTTAACATAGCCACGGGAAGTGGCCCATTTATAGATGGTTTACCTATTAAAAATGGTGATTTTCCATGGATATGTTAAATAACCAGAGGGTAATTTGCACATCTTTGCCATTGCCGTTGGACAACGGGTGCAGCTCCGCAGCTTCGGCGAAGCCCTGTCGGGGGTCGTTCCACGAAGCCCCACGGCCGCAGGAGATCGAGCGCACCCAGCCGGGGCTCATCGAGAAATTGGCCACCAAGGGCTGCACGATGATCGAGGAGCGGAAGGAACAAGTGCCTTGGGTCGGGTGAAGCTCCGATGTTAGAAATTCAGTTGAGAAATGATGGCTTTATGAGTTGAATGGTGCTAGAATGGTGTTATGGATGGTGGAATATCATCTATAAAGATGGTGAAGTTCCTAGGGGAAATCAACAGAAATGATGTGCCAGAAATGGTGCTATCATGGTTATGGTGGAATATCATCTAATGAACATGGAAATCAAGCGAAATGATGGAAAGCAACAGATTTGTGATGGAATCTTATGGTGAAATTAACCGAAATCAAGATATTTTGATGATGTGCTACAATGCTACGATAATCTAATGGATTGTTATGATGTGGAATTGTTGATGGACGATAATCTCATGGTGAAGTTTTAATTATGGGGATTTAACAAATATGAGGATGTAATCTGGTTTGTTGCTTCAAACATGAATTTTATTTTCCATAATATATGGGATAATCCTTCCCGTTGACGAATTCATATTTTTTCAAATGGTTATAACATAGCTATTGAAAATGGCCATAGAAATAGTTTATTTACCCAGCTATAAAATGGTGATTTTCCATATTTTTTTGTATGTTTACCAGAGGGCATATAAACCACCAACCAGCAATGGATATATGCTGGGGATATGGTAGACTGGTCACTTGGAGGATGAAACCACCAATCCTGGCGAGTGAACGGTCCCTATTATTACTGGCGGAGGATTTTTTACTGTACTAGGGGTATATAGTATATATATATATGGGTATGGATCAATACCTATTAATACCATTTTTAGGGGGATGAACATCCATTTACCAGCAATTTTGATGTTCACTAGGTGCCAGGGTTTTGACCCATCCCCATATATGTACATACATATTTTTAACTGTATATGTTTAGTTATATTTATAGTTATATATGTATATACATATTATTATATATATACAATTGAGTATAAATATTATTATACAGATGTAGGTTAGCCCATCACTTATGATGATTTGACAAACTCCCAAGTGTGGATTTAACCATCGATCTAGGCAAGAAAATTGGTGGTAAAATAGGGATAGAATGAGAGATCACTTAAAGGATCATAAACCATATATTTGGGTAAATTATAAGGGAAACCATCCCCAAAATTGCCTTAATTCACTTAATTCAGGTTAGTGGAATATGACCATTTACCCATATATATGTACTTGGATGTGTATCCTAGCTACTATTTGATGATTCAATCCCATGTATAAGCCATACAAAACTCAGGCTATTACATATAGAGCCGGGTTACAGCAAGGATGTTTGTTTACTGTAGGTCTCTATTCACAGTGCACAGTCGGCAGATTATGGTTAACTGACTATGATACCATTTGTAGAGGTTGGCCCATAATGGGTTGACTGTTCACTTTAGGTCCCTTTCTTAGATGGGCCCCACTACTATAGGTTGGCCCATCACAAATAGAATATATATATATATACATACGTACAGTGTATGTATATATATATATATGTGTATGTGTGTGTACACCCACTGCAATGTACAGCTATATTCGTGTCTATCTTGTCATTAGGAGGGAACCAAGGAGCCGGTTTACGCTGGTAGATGCTATTAGGATTTACATGAGCTTCAGGTTTGACGGTTTACGGTTTAGGCTTTACTTAAAGTTGACCGTGACAGTGGTTATGATGTGGTTATGATGATGGTGATGATGACGATGATGATGATGTTAATGATGATGACGAGAGGGTGAGGGTGATGGTGGTGATGATGATCATGATGATGATGATGATGACGATCATGATGATGATCATGATGATGATCATGATGATGATGGTGATGATGATGATCATGATGATGATCATGATGATGATGGTGGTGGTGATGGTGATGGTGATGGTGAATGTGATGGTGATGATGGCGGTGATGGTGATGGTGATGATGATGATGACGATGATGATGATGTTAATGATGATGACGATGAGGGTGAAGGTGATGGTGGTGATGATGATGATGACGATCATGATGATGATCATGATGATGATCATGATGATGATGGTGATGATGATGATGATGATGGTGATGATGATCATGATGATGATGGTGGTGGTGGTGATGGTGATGGTGATGGTGAATGTGATGGTGATGGTGGCGGTGATGGTGATGGTGATGATGATGATGATGTTGATGATGATAAGGGGCTATACTGCCAAAAATCAATTGGATGATGATGAAGCCTATGGTGATCTCGTAACCAACCAAAACGATTCAACATGGAATCCAATACCAGATAAGGTTTGATATTTTGCCGTAGCATCCACCGTTATTTTTTTGGAGTGCCCTTTGTGTCGACCCACAGGTGAAACACGGGTTGGTTTGTCTGTGCCATTTTCTATTTTCTATACTTTGATAAGATTTGTATGACCACCAAAGACGGAGATAGGTTCGTGTTGTTGATGTAAGAAATATCTATATCTATATATTTACTGTATAGATTTATTTGGGGAAAGGCACCTGGACAATGAAAGGATGCAGCTATTTCTACTGAAGATATCAGGATTCCATACATCACTAGTATAGTTTGAACATGAGGCACCGATTTTCACCTTTCCGAAATCGAGTCTTCTGAAAGCGTCCTTGGCAGCCTTTTGGTGACCACCTAAATTTCGCGATTGTTGGTATTTCATGGTATTTGTTGTTTATCTTGGTGTTTTTATATATATATATATATTTATATGTACCCATTCTATCGCAGTACATCCCCCTATCACCTCCCTGTGGTTTGTGTTGTTTTCTGATACTTTAACAGTAGCTGTAAAGTCACTACTGGATCATCCGTGGTCCGCCCTGGCACCAGGTGCTTTTTCGTCAGCAGGATCCAGCACTCAATTGCTTCCTGGTGGGAAACAAAAATGCACCATTTATGACAGCTGAGTTGGTTTAAGAACATTTTTGAAAACTATCCATAGCGGGAGATGTGCAAGTCAGCAAGTTACCATTGGACCATGATAGTCATCCGATGTGATTCATCCTATGGTGGAAATCGAAAAAAAAGGAACATATTTTTGTGCCAAGAGATTGATGGACCATCCCCTCTTTTTAGGACACACACACAAACCATGTTTGTCCATATTTCTTCCACGAACCATGGTGCTAGTCGTTTTCTACCTACAAAACCGCTTATGTGTTAATGGGGAAATGTTGGTACCAAAAGGACTACTTAAGTCATGGGGGGTGGGGCAAAATACATTCCAAAATCATTCTGATAGCCACTGACTCCATTGACTGCTGTTAAAACTTCCAATCCTTCCTTTGCTCGGGATGACTCGGGTGCCCCCATCGATTCTGTGAACACTGACAGACCCCGGGTTTCGAAAAGGGCCGTGCCCCACTGAACCATGGATAGAAGTGCCAAAGTGTCCATCAAAGTTGTTTATTTTTTCCAAGTATGCAGAAACAACTTGGGTGTCTAAACTTTTTGGCAGAGCAGCCTTTCGTTTCGATTTTTTGCATGGCCCCACTGATGGTCATTGCAGTCATTGCAAGCACCCTGGCCAAGCAGCAAGGTTACGTTGTCCTGGAAGGACCCATGGCATCCAAATTTGGGCATGGGATACTGCCTGAGAGCGGGAAAACAACACTGTGATCAGGGGGAAAAAACACTGCTGGACAATAGTAATTCATCATTAGTCCCAAAGAAAACAGATGGATCAGATCGGTGGAAGAAGGTGTGGTTCATATTCATTGCTGGGTTATGCTGGGTTTACCAGTAGTGATACTTTGCGCCGCCGGTTGTAGTTCGAGGGCGCTTTGGGTTATTTGGTCCCATTACGGATCTATCCATGTTTGGTGTGTCATTGCAAAACATTCAAACTGGCGAATTAACCTAATAATGGGATACAATCAATGTGATTAACGTGTATGCAATCAATATAGTCTGATTGGTGTTTTTCAATCATGTTTTATTTATGTTATTTCCATCCTGAGCACAGATCGTGTGATATTCTTCCCTGTGACACATATCATTTTTCAGGACAATGAGGGGTGGTTTTTCACCACCAACCAATCAGGTCGTAATTGCTTAATTAAGCATTATGAGGAATCGCAAAACCGGGGGACAAATGGTCGGGAGACAGCCCAACATACATGTTTATTGTATGTCCATTCTTTGTTGGCTCTGTTTCAAAAAAGCACAAGTTTCATTAGATCCAGTACCCAAATAAGATATGGTGCCGTCTTTTTCCAGCAAGAAATTCTTTGGGCAAAAGTACCAGCACTATTGCCTGCGTGTGAGTTGAGAAGGGAAGAGCTATCAATGTTGCAGTTTGTAGTTTGTGATCACGTGGGCAACCCAAAGCCATAAGCGACTACCATTTGGGGATGGTAGACATACAACCCATAAAAATGATGATTTTGGGGATGGTTTATTTTGGGGTTTACCACATTAATCTATCCATTTATTTGTGTCATGCGGTGGCGTCAGACATTCAGTATTGCTGCGGAAACGTTCCATGGGTATATAGTTGAAGACTATACATATAGAATATGTGATTTATATATATATAGCATACTATATATAATATAATATAATATGATATAATGTAATATGATATAATATAATTTGATATAATATAATATAAATATAATATAATATAATATAATATAATATATAAATATTGTATATACAATACAATATATAGATAATATCTAATATATAATATAATATATAGATAATATATAATCTATAGATTATATATAACATATAGATAATATATAATATATAGATAATATTTAATATATAGATAATATATAATATATAGATAATATCTAATATAGATAATATATAATATATAGATAAAATATATATGTTTAATATATATATATATGATGTAATATATATATATATATCATTTATCATTTATCATATGTTTAAATTTATTTACTATATAATATATAAATACAATATAACGTAGAATATTTCAACCATGTATAAACTATATCAAACATACAATACATATAATATAATTAATAAGAATATATTCTTTATATTCTATACATTATTAAATTTTATTATATTTTATTATAGTATATTATATTTTGTTTTATTATATTTTATATAGTATAATTTTTTTAATATTTAAAATTTAATCTATAGTATATTATGTCTAATATTCAATACTTAATATATGTATATAATACTAAAAATGTGATATATATTTAACATACAATATTTAATAATATATAACATGATATATTTAATATACCATATGTAATACATGATAACTAATATATCATAATATATATATATATACACAATATATTTTTTATACATGGGAATTATGTCCTTCACCAAACTTCCATTTGGTTTTATTGTTGCTGTTTAAGAGAAGAAAAACACTATGTGCATCTCAATGCATGCCAAAAGTGTGTTGTTTTTGGGATAGCTGTTTTGATCCGCTTTCTCTTAGGTTTAAAAGCAAAGCATGCTTTCTGTTGCATGTGTGATGGTTATGTTTTGCCAATTTTCTTTCATTAAATCACAACAACAAAACATGTTCTTTTCCTTGGGGGTTCTTTGGTTTTCCCCATGTCTTTCCATGTTTTTTCCATGGTTTCCCAATGTTTTCATAGTTGTTTCCATGGTTTTCCCATGTTTTTCTATGGGTTTTCCATGGGTCTTTTGGAGGAACGATCGATGTCTTGATCTACAAAGCCAAGAAGAAGGGTGGTGGTAGCCGCAGTGCTCTCGCGGATGAGCGTCCTACGCCACGCTTTACAGAGTTGATCGACAAGAGATGCTTGGTGAACACGCTGATCATATTAACCAGGATGGGATGTTTGATGGGATTTTAATGGGATTCTAGTGGGATTTATGGTGACTTATATTGTTAGGCTATATTGTTAATCTATGGTGACTTATCTTTACTAATGGGATTGAACTACTCATGGTGACTTCAATTGGGATTTCCATAAGTCAGGGTATCGCTTTATCGCTGGATGGTTTATTAGTGGAAAATCCGAAAATAAAATCGATGATAACTGGAGGTATCCCCATGACGAATCGGAAACCATATTGGGATTTCATGGAGTTTCATGGGATTTAAAGGTTTTGTATGGTTCCCAGGATGGGATTGACTGGGATATACCCTCTAGTAATCTAATGTATTGAAAATGGCCATTGAGTTTGTTGATTGAGCTGTTTGAAATGGTGATTTTCTATATGTTAGTTTACCAGAGGGTAACTATTTTTCTTGGTTATGACGGTGATCAAGCTTTTAGGACTAGACTACCTGGTTAAAGGGGAATGTAATCTTTTCTGGCATTCCTTATAGGGACAATCCTAGAACACTCCTTTTCATTCATTTTAATTCCAAATAATTCCATGTCATTCCCAGTAATTCGATTTCATTCCAAAAAACCTTGTTCATTCCAAAAAATGTGTCTCATTAATGTTTTTTTATTTGTTCAAAGATTTATTCAAATATGTGGTCTTATTCTTTGTGGATTTGTGCTTTGCTTACTTTTTGGGAACTTTTAGGAATTGTTTGGAAGTTTTTGGAACTTTTTGGATTTTGTGTTTTTTATATTTGCGAGCAATCACTGGAAAAGTCGACGAAGCCCGTGCTGCTGGGATGTTTCAGTGTGTGTCGACGCTGGAAGCTCTTGCTGAGAAATGCCAGTTGGTCAAAGAGGCACTCCAAGTAGCCCAGCTCTACATCAATCCCAGCGGCACCACCAAAAACCAGGAGGATTCTTTCATCAGTGCTTTTGAGAAGCTGCCGGTGACCCTCCTTCACAAGTTCCCTCGTGTGATGCTTGACCGCTTCTACCACTTGATCCATGCAAAGGACAACGCATTCTGCTGAGTGGGATGAACTGTTTTCGGAGTTGTTTTCCAATTTGCTTTTAGAAGTTTTGGAATTGTTGGATTTCGTGTTTAATTGTTTGAGTTTGTTTTGGAATTGTTGGATTGTTTTCTATATGTTTATTTTTATGTTCCCCACCTGCCAGGTGAGGGTTGTTAGATTTTATCAGAGTTGTTCTCCTCCTCCTCCTCCTCGGCTAGCTGTCCTCCTCCTCCTCCTCCTCGTCCTCCTCCTCCTCGTCCTCCTCCTCCTCTAGTTTCTCCTCGACCATGTCTGCATCAACTTCCACCTCCACTTCCGCCTTGCCAACTCTTCGCCAAGCTCTTTGCCAACTTCCCAGCTCAGTGTGCACTGGGACCTCAACCTCGGACCTGCCCAGCTCAGTGTGCACCGCTGGACCTCAACCTGGGACCTTCCCAGCTCAGTGTCTGGACCTCAACCTGAGACCTTGCCAGCTCAGTGTGCACCGGGGACCGTCTCAGCTCAGTGTGCACCGCTGGACCTCAACCTGGGACGTGCCCAGCCCAGTGCGCACCCAGTGTGCACCGCTGGACCTCAACCTGGGACCTGCCCAGCTCAGTGTGCACCGCTGGACCTCAACCTGGGACCTTCCCAGCTCAGTGTGCACTGCTGGACCTCAACCTGGGACCTGCCCAGCTCAGTGTGCACCGCTGGACCTGCCCAGCTCAGTGTGCACCGCTGGACCTCAACGGCCAGATTGAATGCCAGAAGATATGCCAGATAGAATGTCAGATAGAATGCCAGAAGATATGCCAGATAAAATGCCATGAGATATGCCAGATAGAATGCCAGAAGATATGCCAGATAGAACGCCAGAAGATTTGAGTAGATAATATGCTAGAAGATATGCCAGAAGATATGCCAGATAGAATGCCAGAAGAGATGTCAGATAGAATGCCAGAAATTTGCCAGATAGAATGCCAGAAGATATGTCAGATAGAATGCCAGAAGATTTGCCAGTAACAAAATGTATAAATGTCATGGTGTGGGGATCACACGAAGTAAAGCATTTATTATGTTATTTTTTGTTGATTGAATTGTTGCGTTTAAAAAAATGAAAGGATAGCAACTTTAAGGAGTAGCCCTGTCAGGAGGAGCCCAGGGCTCTTTCATGATATAACCCAGACAGGTTTTTTTTTTTCTAACAGAACCATGAAAACTACCAATCAACTAATTACTTGGTAATAGTATGGAAAATTAGTATATCAACTGATGATTAGTATATGATTAACTGCTGATTTGTTGACTGTTGATTGGTTATGAACTAAAGCATTATACTGACTGGTTTTACGAGGATATAACCCAGAGCAAAACCATTCAAGCGACAGTTTGTTTGTGGAAAAGAGCTGAATCAACATTGATTTTCGGAAGATCATTTAAGTTGATGGGTAGATTTATATGCAATGATTTACATAAGTTGCCATTCTTATTCGAGATAATTGCGACACCATTTGACTAGTAGTAGCATGTCACCTCTTTCAAGTCCGCCTCGATGCGCCCTTAGACCGGCTACAGTTGGCGCGCTTTGACTTGTGAGATTGGTGGGTTGAGGACAAATTGCGGTAAAAGCATGATGGATCTACAGTTCTACAGGAACTTTTGTCCACATGATTGGTAAACATTTTGAAATTTATCGGTTTCCAGCCAGCCACATTGAATTACCGAGTCACCCCTTTACCCATAGGATCCATGTATGCTATATATGGTAGCATTTACCATCAATATACCCCAAATGTTAGCATATATACCATACATGGATCCTATGGGTTATAGACATGTTTCCCCTATGTTTCTTGTTAAATGTTGGGAATGTCCGGCCATGTCACCAGAGGGTAGACGTTTCAGGAACAACTTTGACCGAAGCTGCACTCCAATGGACCAAGACGGTGCATTCCCGGGGATGCGGGCTGGGGAGTAAAGGAACATTCATGGCGTCAACACCGATATTGGAAAAGAACACCTTTTGGATTGCCCAGTCGGTGTTTGTTCAACAGTTTTAAAGAGTTTTTCTAAAAAAAAAATGGTTCCCATTGGTATCGCCACCAGAACAATAATATGTGTTCTTCTTACAAGCCATCTTCAGCAAGTCCCTTACAATGATGATGATGATGATGATGATGATGTCCTCACCATCATCATCATCATCATCATCAACATCATCAACAACAACATCAACATCAGCAGCATCAGAATCAGCATCATCATCATCATACATCATGCATCATGCATCATGCATCATACAGCATGCATCATGCATTTTGCATCATGCATCATGCATCATGTATCATGCATGCATCGTCATCACCATCATCATCATCATCACCTCATAATCATTATAACCACCACCATCACATCATCATCATCATGATCATCATCAGCATTATATTATGATCATCATCATCATGATCATCATCATCACCATAATTATCATCATCGTTTTGATCATCATCATCATGATAATCATTATTGTCATTGTCACCAGCATCATCATCATCATTATCATCAAACTTATCTAAATCATCAAATTCAGCATCATCATCATCATCATCATCGTTATCATCATCATCATCATCATCATCAGCAGCAACATTATCATCATGCATCATGTGTCATGCATTATGCACCTTGCATCATGCATTTTGCAGTATGCATCATGCATCATGCATGCATCATCATCATCATCATCATCATCATCGTCGTCACCATCATCATCATCAACATCATCATCCTCGTCATCATCACCATCATGATGGTCATCATCATCCTCACCCTCGCCATCATCATCACCGCACCATTATTAACTTCATCATCATGACCTCAGGAGCATCATCATCATCATCATCATCATCATCATCATCATCATCATCATCATCATCATTGTGATCGTCATCGTCATTGTCATTGGCATCGTCATGATCATCATCATCATCATTATCATCATCATTATCATTATCATTATCATCGTCATCATGCAAACTATGAGATTCAAATATATTCATCATCACTATCATCATCATTATCACCAACATAATCATCATGCATCACACATCATGCATCATGCATCATGCACCATGCATCATGCGTGTTGCATTTTGCATCATGTATCATGCATGCATGCATCATCATCATCATCATCATCATCATCATCATCATCATCATCATCATCATCATCTTCATCATCATCATCATCATCATTGTTATCGTCATCATCGTTGTCGTCGCCATCATGTTCATTATCATCGTTAGGCTAAATTATAACGACCTCCCTGTTTTGCCTCACTGAGGATGATTCTTTTCGGAATGTGTTGATGGTCCCGAAAGTCGCCGGACGATTCAGGTCAGTTAATGATGTTTATACTGATGACGATGAAAATGACTATATAATAGATTATATACTGCATTGAGAGACGCTGTTCGGGGGTCAGGGTGGTCAGCTACAGCTCTCTTTGAAAATCGAACATCGAAGTTGGGGTGGTTTACTGTTTACTGTGGCATTCGCTATGAATGTTAGCAAATCAATGTCATAAACCAACCACATAAATTGATCCTTGGAATCCCAGCCACTAGCAGATGGTGGATTACCCATCATATTTTCCATTGATGTATCTCCCATTTCTGGCAAAAAAAACTGGGGTGAAAAAGAAACACAGGAGAAACCTACCAGGGAGTGTACCAGAATGGCAGGGTCATTCTTTTTGTCACATCACTGAATTGGCTATAAAGGTTCCAGCATGGATGATTCCTGAAGTTAGCCAGCTGGGGAGTGATAGAACCCTTTGCGCTTGGTCGGAGATCTCATAGAAACTCTGCTGGTGCTCGATGCCGGTGCGTGGTCAGAGGAGGTGATTGGCATCATGAAGGGATGCTCAGAGCCATGGGTTCCTTGTTTGATGTTCCACGAGTTTCTGGAAGCCTTTCTCAAGGCACTTGAGCTATTCCTGATCAAATGCAAGTTTTCGTCCTTTGAATTTGGCCAAGTGGCTTGGATTGTCCTTTAAATGTTGACTTTGCTTCACATTCGGACAATGTTGTTGGACATGTGTGTCTCTCGCTGTTGAGGGATGGCACGACATCGCTAGATGGGATGTATCAAGAGTTATGCCATGTCATTCCCCAGTTCAGATATCACCATTTTATCGAAATGTATTTGTACAATTTGTAAAGACTTCACTGCAGATGATGTTTATTGGTGGGGAACATTATCCCAAATGGTAGTAGTTGAGGTTGCTGACTTGTTGAGTTCCTGTCTTTACTATGGCCAGATACATAAATTTCCTGGATCATCACAGTTGTATCTTCTTGGGGGCTACTGTAGCAGGTAGCTGACCTTGTCGTTCGAGCCATTTGACCGTTCCAAGGTGTTGGTCAATTGTCAACAATGTTAGTAAAGCAATAGGATCCAAATCCCCAAATTTACAATTTTTATGGGTGTTGTAAACCATCAACTTATATGGGTGGTGTATTATTGCTTTAACAACATTATAGGAAATATTTGCCAATGTAGTGGGATGACCACAAACTATTAAATCCAATGTTGAACACCACGTCATATGTATTGCCATCTTCGTTTGCCAGATCATATCCTCAGCCTTGGGTCCACTGCTGACTCGGTGATTTGTGTGTCTCTGCCTTTTTTTTTGGAGGCCCATCTCGAATCATTTCACATCCTTATGCCAGTCAGTTTAGGTGATTACATGGGTTGGAAATGGTGCCAAATCATATGGGATTAGAATCATGTCTACTCATTTCCTATAAACCCTATTTGGGTATATAAGGTATATATTATAATCCCCAAAAAGGTGGGTTTAAAATAAGGGAATATGTTTTCTGATCACTGCCGGGCCAAGCGGCCATGTATGTGTTCCAACAATGAACCCCTATTAAATTATGGCGAACAAAAACAAACATCTTAGCATTTTTTGGACATTATCTTTCATGAATAAATCTCACGGCCATTTGAGAAGCCATTCCCCCCTGCCAGAGACCAATGTAGGCAGAGAGCACGAAGAAGAACAAACATTTCGAGCCTTGGCCGAGCTCCTTCACTCGCTACAAGACCACAGAAGGCGCGGAGACTTGTGCGCTTTTGTGTTGCTATAGTTGATTTGCTACAGTTGACTTGCTATTATTATTTATATAAATAGCGATATCTAAATATATATGTATATTATAATATGATTATGTATGTATATAATATACACGTACTGGCCAGCTACTTGTTTCAGGGTACCAAAGATTGGCATAGACTTAAGCAACAATCAAAATAGGGGAAGAACCATCAAACTATGGGTCAACCGTCAAAGTTCTCCACAACATTCCACAACTCTGGGGCAAACCTTGGTAGTCTTATACTTGGATCTCTTGAAATAAGTGGAGGAATGGAATGTCCAGCTAATTAAATTTAAATGGTATCCAATATTGGGCATGACAATAATCAGTTTCTTTTCGGTAGTTTTTGAAAGGCTGCCAAACTCATCCAACTGCTGCAATTATGTAGGATCATTCTTGCCTATGACATGTTTCAAGCCTATTTGGAAGCAACATTTAGGCAGAAATCCTTGAGTTCTTGTATGGAACGCATGAATTCTCCAAGCACACATTTTTGATCGTCCTAACTCTTGGCCATCAAAAACAGGGGGTCGTGCCACCCAGATTGTAAAAGTTGGTTTATCCCTTTTAAGCTCTCTAACTATAGTTACTAGTAGTTATATCCCCCATAAAGCCATATAAAACCCAGTTAACTATATATAGTTCTATCCCCCAAAGCAAGCCTAGTTATTGGAGATATACACTAACTTATCTAACGAGCTGTGGCCCCACCCTGCAACTACTATCAACTAATCCCATCCCCAATAGGCCTTCCCAAGAAACCGAAGCCATGAACGGATTCTAAACCACGGTTTCTCGGGTTATGCACCTCACCCCAACACCTCCTCATGGTGCTGCTGAGGGAAGTCATACACAATACAGTGAAGTATGCCAACCATTTAACATTTCCGACATTCCTTTGGTTGATGGTTTGAAACTGCCAAGCAGATCATCGTATCAATGCGGTTCCCGTATCATTTCTATCATGGTGGATCATCTTGTCCGTCCTCTTCGGGATCATAATGATCCCCGTTGAGTCTACAATAATCAAAAGTTGCTTAACTATATATATATATATACATATATATATATATCTATCTATCCCGTTATATCCCATTATATCCCCATATATCCCCATATATCCCCATGATATAACATTTTCCTGGTGGACCACCTGGCCCGTGTCCCCAAAATGACACGGGCCATGTTTGGGGTACCCCAACCAGGTTTCAACAGCTTCGCCAAAGAGTCCAAGTATGGAACCCGTGACTCACAAGAAATGGGTGGAGTCATGGAAAATGTGGCCGAAACACACGACTTTATCGGCAATAATGGGAGAGCAATGGGAAAATTGTATATATTTGTGTGGTTTTATGGTTTTGTTTAAGTGAAAGATGTGGATCTTACCCAAACAAACATGATTGAACCGGCAAACTAATTGACTTTTGAGAAGCAACTGGTGATATTTCATGATTTGATGATATTGCCAACATTTCGGTTGGGTAACTTACCATCCAATTCGATAGTCTATTGAATTCTATGCTTATTTTGGCCATGAGGTGCCATGAAATGACCTACGTGGAGACCATTATGGCATTGATGGTGATCCGACTCTGGTTGAGTTTCAGCGCTAGGCCCAGGCGACCCGGAGATGGCATCATACGTGATCCCGGAGATGGCTGATAAGTTGATCACATCATTGAAGCAAGCAGCTGCCTTGGCGACCCAGATCAGACCTATGTGCTGATCGCCGGAGTCGGTACTCCCCAATGAGTCGGTCATCTCTGAGTTCTGTACTCCGATGTGGCGACGCTATGGATCAATGGATCAATACCTATAACTCCTATGGTGATTTTGAGGGGATGAAGATCCATTGACCAGCTATGCCACCAGTCGTACAGATCATTTCCTGGCGACGATTTTTTGGTTCGCAGATGAGATCCTCATAATCTCCCTGTCTCGTCCCTGTCTCATTCCCATTCGATTCATTAGATATCCACATCAATTGTACTGCGGCCCATGAAACCGATTTTTTTGACTTTAAGATGATTGATATGTATGAATTGCATACCACCAATATTCCATATATTCAATGGAATTGTTGATTTCGGACCCGCTGTTACCAGTTTTTGAATTAAATCCACCAAACCAGTTATATAAACCATGTATAATCAGCATGTATAATCCTTGTTTGATGGTTAACTCCCCCTGTTGCCATTACTTAATGTATGCTCCTCCAATGTTTAATACCAATAAAACCCTGCAGACCTGGTTAAGTATTGGATTGGTCCATTCTTGGGGTCCATATGCAGTGCTGTTTAATATTATGGGGGATGGGATTGTTCCCTCTTTTGACTCACTCTCTGGTAATTTGACATAGCAATGAACATTAATTAATTTGTAGATTAATGTATGGAAATTGTTTATAAGTCAATCCCATCCTGGTCACCATCAAACCCTTTTCTAAATCCCATTAAACTCCATGAAATCCCAAGATGGTTTCCGATTCGTCATGGGGATACCAGTAATAAACCATCCAGCGATAATATCGCGGTACCCCGATTTATGGAAATCCCATCCTTAAGTCACCAGCAAAACCTCTAAACATCCCATTCTTAATCACTATTAATATACATCTATCCCATCATTAATCACTGATAGATTGACAATATCTGGTTGGTGGTTTGGAACAGCCGTGACAGCCCAAGCCCTTTCCAGAAGTGCGGCCGTTCTTCACTGAGCGCTGGGTGGTGTGTTTCACTTCGTTTGCCATGTCGTTGACATATCCCATGGCCATTGGTTCGACTACAAATGGGGGCAGTTTGGATTTGGTATGTTCTATTCGGGTCTTTGATGTGGAGCACTCCTCACATCTCATGCATGGTAGAGATGGAGTTTCTTTCCTGTTTGAAGGCCTGCTTAGCGATGAATTCCACTCCTTTACGATTTTGGGAGGTGTCTTGAAGCAACAATTTCCCATTCCAGTGATTGTTTCTACCCGAGACACTGTCATCATGGGACACCGACGACCTACAGGGGACTCTTTGCTGTCCACAGTGGACCTTTGTGCAGGGTTCGGAGGCTTAGCCCAAGGAGCAGCAGCAGCTGGGTTTTCAGTGCAAGTCGCCGTTGATCAAAACCAAAAGATGCTAGATTTGTACTCCAAAGTGAATGATGCACATTTGATTTGTGGAGACATCGGTGATAGGAAGGTTTTGCATGAGATTTGGCGTCACTCAGCAGGCGCCTTAACTGTCACTTCAGGTTTTAGTTGCCAGCCCTTTTCACGACTGGGTGACTGCAAAAGCCATGAAGACGATAGGGCAAGTTGTCTCACCAAGACCCTCCGCACTGCATACTACCTGCAAGCACACTTGATTGTGCTTGAATGCGTTGCACCGGCTGCTCAGGATGGTTTTGTCCGCCAGGAATTGTCTCACTTCATGAAGTGTACGGGTTACCACTGCACTCAAACAGAACTCAAGCTTGACCAGGTTTGGCCATGCAGGCGTCACAGATCATGGTGGGTTTTATCGTCACCTGAAATCGGCCCTGTAGAGATTCAACCCTGGCATGTTTTGCCTAGCATTCATGAAGTACAACAGGTTATCCCTGAAATTCGATTGTGGGCCCTCAATGATGAGCAACAATTAGCCCTCGATGAAGTTGAGCTCCAAGCTTTTGGTGTGAATGATGAAAAGCACGGCAAACACATTCTCAATGGTAAGGGGAAAGCCCCTTGTGCATTACATGCGTGGGGATCGCAGACTCGTGCATGTCCATGTGGTTGCAGAAAGTTTGGTTTTTCCAGTGAACGACTTGCCACCAAAGGGCTCCATGGTTGCATTGTCAGAAGTGCCGTCTTCCCTGATGGATCAACTATCATTCGACATGTGCACCCAAATGAAGTGATGGGATTAAACACCTATGATCCGGTCATTGACTTTGGCACGGATGTGCGTCTCACACTTTCAGCAGTTGGCCAGCTTGCATGCCCAGCCCAAGCGCTTTGGGTATTGGGTGCAATAGTTGAATGGATTGACACAATGAGGAATTCTCCCACGTTTGATCCAGTTTCACAATTGCAAGCTTATAGATCATGGCTGATTATGAGGTGTAGAATGGTCTGGCCATCAGAAGCTGCCTTGATCCAGGATCCAAAATTTTTGGAACTGATGACGTTTTGGAAGGATTTTCAGAATTTGTCTCTTCAGGAACTGGTTTATCCTCTCAAATGGGAAGGGAAAATTGAAGGCACTGTTTCCATTGCTGCGATCTTGGATCATCTGATCCGATCCAAGCCTGACATCCGGCCAACCATCCCAGACCCGGAATCCAAGACTGAAGAAGAAGACATTCCTGTTTTTGACTTCCCATGTGTTGTTGATGATCCTACCACGGTAGGCTGCATGTGTGCTGATTCATGCACTGTAGTGTTTTCAGGGATTAATGATCCGCCCATACGGTTTCAGCCCAAGTGTGGGACGACCATTGACCATTTCTTGCATGCCCAGGCCCAACTGAACGGCCCTTTTGGGGTTGCTGGCATCTCCATTAACGGTGTCAATGTTCAGCGGGATCATGTGTTGGAAGTTGGCCAGGTTATCCAGGTATCGCTTGAAGAGGTTGCCAATCCCATTAGTGCTGTGGGTCACCCAGGGGTATCTCCCACTGCGCAGTGGACACAGCCGGTGACAGAAAAACCTGTACAGGCCACATCACGCAAAGTTTCAAAGTTCGATGTAGGGGAATGTCTCACCCCTACTATGGTCCTTCCTGATGACCATACATGGCTTGACTCCTCTGCTTTGCAAGGGTTAGCGGGAGAACAGTTTCTGAAACTTCAAATGCCATGTGTTCAGACTGCCCAGCATTTGTGGTCTCTCAGGCACCAATATCTCCGAACTTCGGACAGACTTGCCATTTTCGAGCGTCAATTGCAGTTTTGGGCAGATGATGAAATTCGTTTTCACCTGCATGCTGTGACACAGGCGTACCAAGAAACCCGCATCCGGGCAGGTGCTGCAGTTCATGAGATCTGTACGATCGACCCATTGATTTTCACTGCATGGGCCCAAAACAAAGGTTTTGACATCGCTTTATGGGCCACGGATCACCCTGAGATTTTGGAAAAGAGTGTCCCAATTGTCACTGTTGCCCTGCTTGACTGCCATTGGGTCCCCATTTTCATGTCACCGGTGAAAGGAGTATTGCAAATCCATACTTGGGACGGAATGGGAGCATCACACCCCGGCCTCGATGAAGTGGTCAACACCCTAGCTAAGGCGCTAGGTTTCCAAAGTGCAATGATTTGTCGTGAACATAGATTGTTTTTCACTTCAGAATTGTGCGGTTCCTTGGCCATTGCGTTCATCAGTTATATCCTCTTGGGCACTCAACTCCCGAATGATTGTACAGAGGCGACAGTCATACATGCAAGGCTGAAAGGTTTGTACTCTGCTGAACTCCAAAGATGCCAGATCGCCCGACGGCCATGGATTTGGGGTGCAGGGGATCGTCCCCCAACTGGTACCAGCGTTGCTTCAAGTGATTTGCAACTGGCTGTCAATGTCACCCGTGATCAAAGAATTGACCTTATCAATGCCAAAGGTTTTGCCATGGCGGATGATGAAATCCGTTTCCATATTTTGAGTTTGGTTGAGAATCAACAGAGGTCTCACCTGCCTTTTCTGGAACGGAGGTTCATTACCCTTGAACCCCTGGTTTTCAATTGTTGGGATTCAATTGGCCAAATCATTGCCAGCCAGTGGTGTGCCAAGAACCCTCAGATTTATGCCCAGGGTCAGAATGTGGTCACAGCAGTCGCCCTAGAAGATCATTGGATCCCGTTGTGGATGGTACCAGATGGTCACATGTTGCAGGTTCACACTTTCCAAGCTGATGTTGATTTCACGCCGATTGACAATATCATCAACACGTTGGCTACTAATCTTGGATTCAGGGGACATGTGGTTCACAAGATCCCCCATGGTCTTCCAGAGCATGTCATGTGTGGTGCACATGCAATGACCTTCATTGCACATGTGGTCGTCCGTATGCCATTACCACGCACACTGCAAGAACTTCGCACTGCCCATACCAACATGCGAGCCTCATTTGTGGCCCACTTGTACTCGATTGGATACACCCCAAAACCTGTCGTGTGGGGAAACGGTTCTACAGGGGAATCCGGGCAACTCCCTATAATGCCCGAGGATGATATCCCTGCTCAAAGTGATCCGCTTGGTCAAAGACGACAGGAGCG